GCTTGCTGAGAGTGGATCTGTTGTTGACGCAAGAATTGAGCCAAGCACCTATTTAGTAAGGTTTTTGTACTGTAACTAGTCAATTGCGAGGATTGGTCATTGCCACTGGGTAAACTTGCTACTGCCTTTGATAACAATGATAGCATCTGATAGGTTTTTAGGTCAACCTTAGTAATATAGTCTGTAATATAAAACATTGCAGCCTTCGCAGCTTTACCAGAAAGAATACATTTAATGTCATGATTATGTCTGCAAAAAACCAGAATATATGGATTGTAGTAGTTCACATTTGCATCTTTACACATCAGAATGACAGAGTTAGTATTACGATCAAAATATGAGCTCTCAACAACCTCATGGGGAAATAAAAATCTGCATTTACCTTCATTACCGTATTTTTCACAGACTTTACGGTGTTGATGACGCTGCAAGACTTCTCCACATTTTTTAATTTCAGTGACAAACACTGACTCCCATTCATTCAGAATATTGAGTGCCGATTCACCAACAATAGGTGGTTGTGGTGGTCGTTCAATACGAGGTTCGTACGTTTGATCAACTTGCATATCAATATTAGGCAAGTGATGAAATATAATGCTCTCCCAGTATCTGAAAAATCGGTATTCAAACTCATGACTGTCACGCAACCTAGCATGCAAATCAGAAGGATTCAGACCTCCAAGTAGCCATAATACAAAGTGACCATGCAGTGTACCACGCTCAGTACATTCAGGTGTACCATAAAATGCACGCAACTTTCCTAAGATTCCACCTTGCCTTTTGGAGCGTCTCTTAGAAAAATCCCAGCCCAAGAGGTCTTCAAATATAGTGTGTATACAAAAGTAGAAGAAATCGCATGCTGCAACTGGATCTTTGGCCAGCCGCAAAGCACGTTCATGTGCAGGCACAACTAGTGGAAATCGTTTGGCCAAGTCTACAGTAGTGTCACCATACATGACTTGGAAAATTGGATTATGTGCAGGCAAAGGATTTATGGTCATGTAAATATGTGGCATGCCAAAGTAACCAAAGTAGCTACGTATCTCATTTCTGACCCGAATTTTTGAGGCTTGAGAACCAGGAATATGTCCACCAATAGTGTTCACATGCTTTAGCAAGTCTAATGCATCTTTTTGCTGGTCAGTCAAATCTGCATATTTACCTTCATTCTCAAGATGGTTAGAGACTGACATAAGCAAGGAGGGTGAAAGAGTGACTAATCTTCTAGCGATAGTCTGAAAGTAGGGCTTTTGTACTGCAAAGTGTGTGTGTAAGTGAGCAGAGCGACGCTGCCATATATTAAGTGCAATGAACATAAACATGTGATGATACCGAAATGCCTTGTCTGCAAGATCAAGATAGTAGTTGACCTGAGTATCAAACTCTATTGGCTTTGGCCTACTAGGATCTTCAAACCCACCAATGCCAAATGGATATAGTGTTGGAAACATACCTGGAAACAAGTTAGGATTGTTGTATTCAGAGACAGGCAGCATACCATGATGAACTACAAGATCAGGTTGCGATGCAGTTGGATTAACTATACTTCTTATTGCCGCAGCAGTAAAGCTTCTCCCACTAAGTTTATCTCCTTCTGGATCTGACATGCCCATTTTCTCCATCATAAGTTGTGGTTCATTTGATAGAGGGCAGCTTTTGGCAAATAATTCTGCAGGATGTTCTGAAAAGCCTGCCGTTTCATCTTGAAATATAAGTGTAGTATCCATTCTGTGATCTTCGACAATTCGTGAACTAAGACCCGGTAACACATCATCTTCAGGATACATATCAAGTGCAGACAGATCAAAAGTCATATGTTTATACAACTTGTTATGACTCTTAAGCCACAGTAAGAAGCTCCAAATCTTACGCTTTCGCACACGATACATGTTTCCTACGTACTCAGGCTTAAACTTATGTGGACCAATAAAAACAACTGTAAGCATACCAGCAACATCGGCAGGTGTTCTTGGAAGCACTGATGCTGTGGAAACAACATTTAAATCATGTGCACATGTGTTTCCATGAAACACCTTTGGCTGTGCAGGGTCAGATGACTGATAAATTCTTGTGACATGTGCAGTGCTACGGTAGATTGCACAAACCATTTCTTCAACCCAGGTTATATCATTGTATTGCTCAGGCAGACAACCACGATACAGATTATTAACTAAGCCATATTGTGGTGTAGTACGATGTTGTATTGCTGTATAGCAGCTCGAACAAATTTTGATAGCTGTGACCATGCCATTATCATAAGTCAGCCCTTTCTTGTCCAACATACAGCCGTCTAACCTTGAGTCCTTAAAAACAAACTCAGAGCTATTCTGTTTAACTACGCAGTTTTCTAGAATGAAAGGATCTGTGATTTGGAATGCAGATAATACTTGCTTATTCAGCAGTAAACCATCCATCTTATATTCAGAAATATGAATCTCATGTGACTGACGAGCACATACAGCACAAATTGAAGGTGAATGCCACTGAGTATGAGTGTAATAATTGTTCAGACAGTTAAGAATCACATTGTGAGGAACAAGTTGTGGCCATGCATCAATATATGCTTTTGTCTCTGCACTGTCCTGTTCAATTTCTAACGCCTTTTCAACTCTACGCTGCTCTTTCTTTGCATCACTGTTTGTATGAGACTCCATGTTTAATTTATCAAAAATCTCAGATGGAACACTTGACTTTAGTAGCTTGAAAATCAGTTCACTACGAGGACTACATAACTCACTCTGAGATAAGAATGGTAAATGACACAAGATAGTATTCAAAAACTTTGAAGATTCAACTTTGAATAAGTACTGGGACAACTCAACAATATGCTCAACTATAACTGTGCAACGTGCATGACGTTTTACCGGCAATTGGTTTGTAAACGTAATACCATAGTTATAAAGTGTTCGCATTAACACAGATGACAAACGGTGAATGAGAACACTAGCTGGAGTGACAAACCAGGGTAATTCTATACATAATTCTACAGGCAGTATGGCATATCCAATTAATGGATGTTCCTCAAAAAGTGGAGAGTTCGCAGAACGTATTGCTAGTGCTACAGGTTCACCATACAATTTAATATACAGAGCACTGAGCAGAGCATACCGGGATTTGAGAAGTTGATCATCACCATGCAGACACTTTGCTACATCTTCATTGGACATGATAGCAACAGATGCACGACTCAATTGAAAGTCAACAAGAAGTCTTCTGCAAATCTCAGACTTGTTACGGTCTTTCTGAGGTATTAAACAGTGAGATGACACAGCTGCAGACTGCAGAGTATGAAGACTTAACCTTTGGAGTGTACGCAAATACTGTTCATCAGACAAATAGAACCATGAGGGATTGAAATCTGCCATGGCTAAAGTCAATCGCTTACGCTACTTCAGTCCGAAGATTTAAAGGTGTTTCAACACAAATCCTTAGTGTACTTGAACAGTGTGCTTGAAGACAAATACTTAATGTGCTTGAACACAAAATATTTAACGTGCTTGAACACAAAATGTTTAACGTGCTTGAACACGAAATGTTTAACGTGCTTAGACACGAACTCAATCAAAACAGCACTGCGAAACTGTGAACACAGTATCACAAATAGCAACTGCATTGTGCAAATTAAACTGTAAGTATCCATTTGAACAAGTCAACAAGCATAGACGCACCTATTTTGCAGCTACACTTGTCCGAAACAGTCGCAAAAAATGCGAAAACTATGTCTTCAAGAGAGCAGGTCCACGTAGATTCTACATGGTTTAGTGGTGAATCAGTAGATTAGTAATAATACGAGAAGAAGAATACACTCACATGCAAAACAGAATGATGTCGTATAGCGACTCGTCGAGGAGCGACACTGAGGTGTAACGTCGTCCAGCAGCGCCAACATCGTCGAGAAATCGAGCGCGCACGTGATGTTTGCGAGCGCCATCCTACGTGAATAGACCTGCGCTAGAACACCGTGGGCAGGTCGAGCGCAAGGGCGGAACGTTCGCGAGCGCGATCTTACGTAAATAGACCTGCACTCGAACAGTGTCGACAGGTCCAGTGCAACAGCGACGTTCGCGACCGGAATCCTAGACGGAGTCAAGACTCAAATCGTAAGTGTTATTACTCAACTTATTTACTGATGTTGTTTTCGCACAACTTCATTCGCAGAGGCGTCTGCCGTTTCCCCTTGCCAAAGCCCTCCTCCAGTTCCTGGAGTCGGGGATATTCAATTGCGAATGCGAAGCATGACGCGACGGTCGTGCCCAGTCGTGCCCACGCGAGGCACGTGATATCCAAACGCGTCGCGTTAGCGCCAGTCCGCGCGTCCAAGCTCAATGGTGCCGGCGACCATTTTGTGGTTCATGTTCCCTGTAAATTTCTCTCAAAAGATACCCTCTTTCAAACGGTAAATAAGTACTACCCTCTTCTTATGAGCTGTTATTTGGCGTATTATCACCACGCAAGGTTCTCTTTCATACCTCCAGGCAGCCTGTCCTCGGTGTGTTAACACTGTTCCGCGGCACTGTATGCGGAGTCTCCATACCCGCCCTTTTTCTCACTTTTATGAGCTTGCTCATGCGCACTATGTCCTTACGCTCATCTACTAACATCGATCTCCACAGGATTCTCGCATTTACACGTTCTGACGCCGTGGATGGGAGTACACGCTCTCAGACACGTATATCCTCAGGTATGAACGTCGAAGCAGATTGGCTCCTTAATGTCAGCCCGAGGGAGAGTACTGAGTGCAAGCAGCGGACCACCGGACATCCGACGGTGATATCCCTCAGCATTCAGCGCCAGATGCTTCGTGGACTACTCCCGTGAATGATCCTGCAGGGTTTCACGCACTGAAGCTGGCGTGGTATCAATCGTCTGGGGTAAGACAGTGGGAGGATATGGATATCAGTTCCGAGCCTAAGAATGCGAACTCCACAGCGCGCAACGACCCATTCACCGCCGTCTGCCTTGCCATGAGTCCCTCTCTGAACGTTCCGAACTAGCTAAGCCTACCCTCCTGACACCGGACAGATCACCGCGACCTCCTCTCCGCCGCGTAAGAACACCGCCTCGGGCTCCTCCACCATCTCCGCGTCTACCGCCCATTTACTCCCCGCCAGGATCGCCCCCAGCCCCGCATGCGGATGCCGCGCGCTCAGCAGCGCCGCCAGCGACGTGAGCGGGAAGCCTGTTGGGTAAGAACAGCGATTGGAGTCGGCTGTAAGTTCAGCTGCGGTTGCAAAATTGGTTGAGTCTGGTAGCAGCGGCAGTGGGACGCGCTCCATCGTCAGCCCCGTCGCCGTCGATGCCGCCGCGAAGTAGAGCACTGTGATCTCTGGTGCGGGAGTCGACATCGCTGAGCATAGGGCGGGAGCTAAGCTCGGACCGAGGTACGTGCGTGCGACGCGCATGTGCGATATAATATTGGCGGTGCAGATCACGCGAGGGAAAGTTGCTGCAACTCGCTGCTGGTGATTCGCCCCGAAACGTCGAACTCACCAGGGATATACTGCGACGTGTGCGAGCCGGCCAAAGGCGGAAGTAGTCGTTTGTTAACGTTGCCCCCTTCTTGGCTCGCCCTCACCTTGGCTCCTTGGCGCGCTTGGTACGTTCATATAAGCTCCTTACTCATGTCCTTCGCATTCCCGCAGCTCTCTCGGGACTACGATGATGTCCATAGCTGCGTTCATCGTCTGGGTCGTCGCGGGCGCCATCATCGTCTTCGACCTCCCTGTGCAGGTCGCACCCGCGCCCCAGGATCCCCCGCCGCCGCCCTACTCCCCCTCAGAACCAACCATCAAGTCCACGCCATCATCAAAGTCGTCGGCACAGCCCCCCCGCCGGAGTGCCTTCAGCGCACGTCGGCTCACCCCCACCACCTTCCTCATCGTCGAGACCGACGACGTATTCGGGGAGCAGCCCTTCATCTACGCCAAGCTCGTCCCCGCCGCGAACACCCTTGTGCTACTCGACACCGGCTGTGGCGGCCGATCGCGCGATCATGGCGTCGAGATCACCAGCCTGCGCGAATTCATAGAGACTGTGCCGGTCACAGACAACGGCGGCCGCCCGCTGAACGAACGCGCGCGCCTGCGTTACGTCGTCGTGCTCAGCCATTGTCATTACGACCACATACGTACGTCCGCACGCCCTGTACCTACCGCATCCAAATCTATGTCCTAAGTTCCTCGCAGTCGGAGTGGAAGACTTCGCTCACGACTCGCCCATCCTGGAGTCCGCACACTCCCCAACGTTCGTCTCCCGCGCAAACCTGCCCGCGCACTCGCAATGTGCGCGCCTCGGAGTGCCCACACCTACGTTCACGCCGACGCTCGTCCCGCACAACACGCCCCTCCTCTCCGCGTCTGGAGTCCCAGTCGGACTGACGCTCCTGCACACACCAGGGCACACCCCCGACGAGCTCGCACTGTGGGACGCGGTCGAGCGCGTACTCTACGCCGGCGACACGCTGTATGAGCGCGCACCGATCATCTTTCCCGCGGAGGGGGACATCGCAGTGTGGCTCGCGAGTCTCAGTGAGCTCATCGACCGCGTGTGCGCCGAGTCGAGCCCGCAGGACGTGCGCATCTGCTGCGGGCACGAGACGGCGGGCCGCCCCGCGCTGGACGTGTTGCGGACCGCGGAGGCGTTTGTGCGTGATGTGTTGGATGGTCGGGAGCTGGTGCGGAGTAGAGAGGAGCGCTGGGGAGTGTGGGTTGTCGAGTACATGCAGGAGGGCGGGCGGTACAGCTTGGTATGCCCGGAGCGGCTGGTGCTGGAGGCAAGGGAAAAGATAGGATTGAACGTGTGATGTATCAGGAATGCACAACGTCGTGGACTACACGGACTTGATTTAGGCATTTGTACGAGTGTAATACACGGAGACATACCAACTATTCAGGACTTCGCGCCTTTGAGCATTTCCTGCGCAAGCTGGTCGAGGAACGCGTCTGCGGCACTGATCGGTGAAGGTAGCTGTGTCTCCTTCGCCTCGCCCTTGCCCCTCACAGATTGTGCCTCCAGTGTCGCGAACGGATCACCAGGTGGCGGTTTCTGTGCTGATGATGATGCCGCCTCCCGATGAGCCTGAAGTTGTGGTGCCGCAGGAGTCACGACCACGTTCGTCGACACAACCGGCTCCGCAGCCCCCGTCGAACTGACATTCGCGCCCACAGTCGGAGTGGCGCGCGCACCGATTTTTCTCCGCTTCTCCTCCACAAGCCTCCTGCGCTCCTCCACCTCCCGCTTCCGCTTCTCCATCGCCCTACTACGGGCTCCGACGACGCTCTCGTCGTCCTCGTGCAGGCCCTCGACACCAGGGCGCACGTTGAGCGCACCCGCCTCTTGTCTTGCCCGCTCTGTTTCCTCTCTCGCGGCGCGAAGCTCGCGCATCTGGCGCTCGCGGGTCTCCTCGTCGCCTGCGAACTGGTAGAACCCCGCACCCGTGGCGCGCACCTCCTTGGACGCATCGTAGTGCGCAGCCGCCGCGCTCTCGGACTCGGCGAGCTCCTCAGCGATGCGCGCAACGCGCTCCGCATCCGGCTCGTAAATCGGGAAGTGGTTTACCGGATCATCTGGCGGTGCAGGAGACCAAAACAAGTTAAATGTTAGAAATTAGAAATTAGAGGTGGTTAGCCCGTGCGAAGGGTGAGGAAAGAGGCACACTCACGGATCACGTAAGGGCTGTGAATGCAGAGATCGATGAGTGGCGGATGGGAGGCATCGATGGTCAGAATGCAGAGTAAAGTGGATGTGGGGAATGACGCACTCGTCGTTATTCTCTACTTCGTCCTGACGCTGTAAGGCTTCGCGCGGGACCTCGGAGCGTCGAGCCGTCCTCACGCGCCCAAATTCGTCTTCATACTCGACTATCGGATCATCCTGCACACCAGCAGCTGAGCACAGTGATGTCACCAGATACCCGAACTGCACGCACCGCTTCGTTTTCCGGGGCCTTTGGGACGATAAGCGACTCGTCAACATCGTCATCGTCGGACTCGTAGTGATCGATAGCCTTCTGGTCGAACTGCACGGCATGAGTCAGGCGCCAAGTCCATGAGGAGGGTGGAGACACGCACATCAACGAGTTGCGTGTCATATTGAGCGTCGCTGAGTCCTGCAGACTTGCCCTTGCGTAGCTGTTCGTACACGTGGGCCTTGTGTTCGAGGTTCGCACGCGCGGACTCGTACGTGCGACGGGAAACGGCCTCGAGCTCGACGTCACGGGCTGCGCGCGCCTGCACGCCGGCATTCTGCTTCGACCAGCGGCTGATCTTCTGCACTGGAGGGATCAGATAGACGAGAACGTGAGCAAGGGAGTGGGACGTACCTTGTCGCTGTCCTTATCGCGCTTCGCACCGACGATGGCGGAGGGCCTCCCTGCGGCCTTGACTTTGTCCTCTTGCTGCACGAGCTGTGCCTTGAGCTCGAGGAAGGTGCTGGCGGAGACGCGTTGGGGAGGCATAAGGGACAGGTTCCTAAGTGCTCGTGCGCTGAGCTATCGGTATGTCTTTGCACAACTCACTCGGTATGTTGGTTGTGTCTCACGCAAGTTCCTGATTATAGCCACGGTTTGAAGAGAGGTAGAATCCAGGTGGGCGACCAGGTAGGGGTTGTATGCGCGACGTGGATGAGAAGGTCCGTTTCATTCTATGAATCTAATTCGAACGGAGCTGCACTTTACTAGTACTACCTTTTGCGGAGTCTAAAATATCCTAATATCGCCTTGCGAAATGTCACGGTGGCGCTGGGCCAAACAAGACGGGTGAGGCCGAGCCATCATGGCCGTAAGAGGTCGACAGAACGGTTCTGTCGACACAGGGCAGACAGATTCAATAGAAACTACTTTGCTTTGACTTTGCTCGATAAATATGTACTCCGGGCGAAGTATACCTACCCAGGATGCGACGGCACATGCGATGCTGGAAAAGACAAAAATTAAAGGCGCGTACTGGAAGGGCGCAGTGAACGCAGGCCGCCTGCATTTTCAGGGCCACTGAGCCGAAAGGACACAATGGGGAGAGAAGCGAGGAACTTTGCTGCCATCTGCAGCCTCCCGCTCGTAGGCTGGTCACAAGAGATCAAGGAGCCCGAACTTGATGTGGCGCCCCAGCTCCTCCAGTACTAGCATCCCGGCCATCCTTAGAGTAGACGAGAGCGCGGAGGCCGACCTCGCAGACTCCGCACGGTCAGAGCGGGACGCTCCCCGCGTCTCGCATGTAAGTCATCGGGAGTGGCCTACCGAGTCGTTAGATTCATAGCAGCAGAAGTGCCCGAGTCGAAGATGGTGTTTGACATTTTAAGACTATAAATTAGAGGTTGGAGTTAGGTCAGAGTTGGTTAATCGGGGCGAGGGAAAGAACCCTCTACTCACAAAGTTCGCAGTTCGATGAGTGGTGCGTGGGGCTGATCAGAACGTACCTAGCCAATACAAGTCACGTATATATCGGCTCAAGATAAGGGGAGAATAAGTATTGATAAGTACTAGTGCTGGCGGAGAAGATGAGTGGGTAAGTGCATTACTTCCCTCTGTCTTGGTATTTCCGATCCCTGGTTCGGTACATATCCTACTGTACTCACGGGCATTCGTTATCAACCTCATCTCGTCCAGAGCCGACTTTATGTCAGAACGGGGAAATGGTACACTTGTCCTGAGCAAATTGATGTATCCAGTCGTGGGCTTTGGCACAGTGAGCGACGAGCTCGTCCATCTTCAAGTTGTAGCTGTCACCGAAAATGCTTCGGTCCAACTACGAACGTTATCAACTTGAAGTATGCTGAGTTGCAAGAAGGAGTCGGACAATAGGCGCCTCCTCGTCGGGATTCTGCGCACGTTCTGCGAGGAAAAGCTTCTCAACATTCAGAGATCTACAGACTTGAAATGAGCCGAGAGGTGGCGCACTTTGGTGTTGCTTCGGTGTTACTTACCCTCAGACTGGGGATCGCCAGCTTCAATTGGCGCGCCAGTCACGAGTACGCGATGATCTAAATGCAGCCGGGTTAAGGTTAGGAACAGATTAGGAACAGGTGCGGGGGTGGAAGCCCTGCTGTAAGAGCACATCTTGGAATGGATCTACACGACGTGCTCTTAGAGCATTGTAACTGTCCCACCGTCTCTCTCGCCCGCCCCCGCGTCCCTTCCGTCCCTCTGCTCCCTCCATCGCTATAAATCATGCCGGGTAAGCATCCTGTCTCTCCATCTGCGCCCCGCGCTCTTCCCCCGCCTTCCCCCTCCTTCTGCCATGGAATACTCCCACCGCCTCAGCGCTTGCCTGCAGGCCCTCGACTCCGAGGCTCCATTCGACGTGCCCCCCTACGCGTCCATGTACTCGGAAGGACCTATATCTTTCGGTGTTACCTCGTCTCCCGCACCCCATGGAAGCCCTGATTCTACAATGTCATCTGACTCTGTCGACATTGGCGCGTCCTTCGCCTTCTATACCCCTTCGGTTGTCTCTGCCGGGTCAATGCTCGGGCTCATGTGCGTACCCTTCTCGTTCCCTACTATATGTGCTCCCACTGACGCTCGTGCTCTGATGTATTCAGGACCTCCTCCGGTTCCTCCTTGACCATGCCCGTGGTCCCCAACTACCTGGGCAACGATATCTTCGGAAACCTGGATAGCACCTCACCGCGGGGGCGCCCGTTTGTCGGGGATACGTTCCTGGACCAACCGATTGACGGATACGATTCCTTCCTCGGTAGCCCCTCCCGTCTCGGCGGTCGAATCCACTCCCCGTACTCCCCGTCCCTCAGCACCTCAGACCACCACCATGGTGGTGCAGATGATTATCACGACGCGCACAACAGGCCCCCATCACCCTCAAACATTTCTGCGTCATTCTCAGAGCATTCCTCGGTCACATCTCCGGCCGAGGTGCTTTCCCCCATCCCGGCTCTTTCACTGCCGCCCTTGCCTGTGACCCACGCGTCTCGCGCCAAGGCAGCGAATGCCATCTTTCAGCAGCAGGTATTGGACACGCAGCAGATTACGGAGGGAGAGAGCGACGACTCGGAGTCCGGCGACGAGTACGTGCCGTCGCGTGCAGGGCCTTCGCGTGCAAGGCCTTCGCGTGCAAAGCCTTCGCGTCCAGCACCGGCACGTCGCCAGGGGGCGCGCACGCGTCGATACGCGCCATACGCGCGCGCGGTATCTCCTACCGTGCCATCGCCGTCGTCCCAGCCCCAGCCCCAGCCGCAGTTCGAGCGCGCTACGCCACGGAACGAACAATTCGACGGGGAGGTACGTCCGCCGTCTCCAGGAGCGACTCAGTGCAAGTACTGCCCGGCATCATACAAGCGGTGGTGTGACCTGGACAGGCATGTCCGGAGCCATGACGGGAATGCTCGCAGGACGCTCTGCGGCGGACTCCCGAAGGCGGAGGCCATTAGCGCCGGCGTCAATGTGAAGGCCGAGATGCCGTATGTCTATGACGGAGTGGAATATTATGGCGGATGCATGAAGGAGTTTAGTCGTAAGGACTCGCTCTCCCGCCATCTCCAGCGTTCGAAGTGCCGCGTCGGAAGCCTTACGACGCAGTACAATTTGGAGCGCGCCCGCAGATTATAGTGAAAAACTGTGAGCCTTTTGATTTTGAAATATTCTGTGTATGCTGACGATGGTTGCGTTCCAGATACTTATGTCGTTCTTTTTTCTGTTCTATACACTATTTTCTCGATCCCCTCCTTCCATTCGCCCTGTGATGTTTTCGTTATCCTTCTGCAGCTATTCGCTGTGTTGTATTATTTCCATCTATTTTCTCTATTGCCATTTATACTTATACTTTTATTCGTTCACCAGGCACACGTGCAGTCTCGTGTATAACTACATTTCACTCCCCGAGGCCCAATCCCGCTCTTCCTCGCGGTCTTTCTGTGCGCCTCGGCCGTTGTATATCTTGTCTTCCTTATGGACGTGTACTTGTCTCTCGCTACTTGTAATATCGCGCCGTCTCCGTCGACCTACCGTGATGTTGTACCATTTATCTGTCGGACAACTCTCTTTCCTATCTCCACCAATCTAATCTCCCCTGTCCCATTAATGCTCTGCAACGGTCTCGACGAGTGTGTCTGGAGGGCTGCAACTGGCCTGGCTGTACGAGGTGGTATGGAAGCGGTGGCTGAGCTACGGCTGAATTTTATGCGATTCCCTCGTGCATCTCTATGCTACACTTGCAGTTGTAATGGACGATGGGCGGGATACAGTACTTGGCTGGTGATATTGTAAAGACGATGCGCAGTGGCTACCTGCGGACGGTACGTAAAGCATACATTAATTACAAAGAACGTCTCTTACTTTGGTGCACACTGCGCGTTATGCGGCGAATGCGAGGGCGACTGTGCGTAGTGCTCTCCCACCTCCGCCTTCGGCGTCATCATTGCCCTTCAGTACGTGTCCCTAGTAGTACTGTCCGCCGCACAGGCATCCGACCCGAAGGACATTTTTGGAGATCATGCCGCTTTGGATTAGAGGTAATTAGAGTTGGTTACTTGGAGCAGTTTGACCTTCGTGGTGACTCCGAAATACTATGGGCATAAATATTGGTCAATAAGTGGCGGGCGGTAAACACATTGACATGCTAATTGATAACTCAGTGGAAACAGTCGGTACACGTCCCCTGGTTCCTTTCTAGGTATCCTACCTTCCCGTTTCGGAATCCTAACTCAATCGTGATGGCTATTAGATATCCCCTTTGCTCGTGCGTCGCCCCCAATTTCCCGAGCTGAGTTTGCGTCGGCATAAGCAGGGGGATATGGTACTTATAGGAAGCTCAATCGGAATTCCAGAGGCCCGTTAACTCACGTTTCTCACTCACCTCTAAGCTCCTGAACGACGCGCCCAGAGTGTCATCATTACTGTCAGAGACAGAGGCCTTGGTGAAATAGCAAGCAAACAAGTACTGTGCATGCCAGCACTGCCACGCTGCCCCTCGGTGAATCCGAGAGAATTGCATTTGGAGAATTCAAGTTGTTCGTGGATCGTGGATGTGATCCTTGCATTGACCAGGCAGGGTTACATGCGAGCTTGGAGTGCCTTCACCCTCCCGCTTCATCCAAGCACGATAGAGGGACCACACAGTTAGATAATGGACCAGTAGAGAGGGAAGCTCAACCTCTTCGTTGTCCTCGGCTTTCTCCGACGGACCTTGCGCGTGCGAGTAGGGTGGTCGCCTGCATCATATTGTCCTCTTGTTAGATTGACAAGGCTTAAGGCTTTGATGTGGAAGGACAGAGAGGCTGGATAGTCCGAAAATGCAAGAATCAAGAGAAACGTCCATCATGATCATGCATATGATTCAAATTGAGAAGATGAAGTCGAAGATCGGTGTGTATGGCACGTGCACATCACTTCCGAAATTGGTAATAATATAATCCATCACATCCTTCACATCGAGCACCAGTGTGCTCTTATAACGATGTAACTGTCCCACCTCCCAGCCTCGACAGGGTGCGTCCCGTCCGTCGCTCTGCGCCGCCCACGGCTACAAATAATGCCGGGTAAGCATGCTATCTCTTTGTCCTCGCCCCGCCCTCCCACTCCCGCATTCCTTCCCCCCCCTCCGCTATGGAATACTCTGCCCGCCTTAACACTTACATGCAGGCCTTCGACAAGGAGCCAACATTCGGCGCGACTGCCTACGTATACGCCTCTTCAACCGCGCATTCGTCCGTTCCCTTTCCGGACGTGTCTTCCCCGGTCATTGATAGCAGTCCTGAGTCCACATCCTCCTTCGATTTCTTTGGCGATGTTATCTCGCACGCTACCCACTTCGGTTCATCTGTCCTCTCCACTGAGTCCCTACTTGGTCTCATGTGCGTGATCTTTCTTTGTTCATCATCTGTGTACTTAGGTTCTTGGCTGCGTGTGCACAGGACTCCGTCTGGTACTTCCCTCGGTTTGCCCCAGGTTGGCCACATAAACGATGACACCTTCCGCGGTCGAGATATCTTGACGTCGCATGCGTCGGCCTGCATCTGGGACACCTTTGCAGGCGAGGCCGATGGCTTGCCACTCCAGCTCTTCCCCATCGGTCCGTCCGATCGCCACGATCAGGCCGCCTACTCCACTCTTTCCGGTGACGCCTCCTTTGGCTATTACCACGATGCGGCGGACGACTACCACCCTTTACAGAACCAGGCTCCCATAGGCTCTTATACCTCCCCACTACTTCCTGAGCTCTCCCAGGTTTCACCTCTAGTCCAGATCTTTGCGCGGTCTGCCTCTCCCGTCCGCGCATCTCGCACGAAAGCCACGAACGCCACGAACGCCACGACCGCACTATCTCAGGAGCAGGACGCGGAAGGAGAAGGTGATGCCTCAGAGTCGCAAGATGAATACGTGCCGTCGCGTCCTTCGCGCGCAAGGCCTCCGCGTCCAGCACCAGCACGTCGCCAGGGGCCGCGCACGCGTCGATATGCGCCATACGCGCGCGCCGTATCTCCTACTGTCCCTCCGTGCTCGTCGCAGCTGCAACCGCGGTTCCAACGCACCGCGCCACGGAACGAACAGTTCGACGGACCGTTACGTCCGCCACCGCAGGGCGCGACCGATTGCGAGTACTGTGGGATGTCCTACAAGCGGTGGTGTGACCTAGATAGGCATGTCCGGACCCACAGCAAGCAGGCTCTCAGGATGCTCTGTGGTGGGCTGCCGGAGGCTGAGGCGATCCGCGTCGGCGTCAGGGTGGAAACCATGATGCCGTTTGTGCATGCAGGTGTGGAATATTATGGAGGATGCATGAAGGAGTTCAGTCGTAAGGATTCACTGTCACGCCATCTTCTGCGTTCGCGGTCCTGCGTTGGGAGCCTTACCACAGAGTACAATTTGGAGCGTGCATGCAAAAGCGGAATCAAAAAATGGTGAGCTGTTTCGTCTTGGAGTCTTCGCTGCATACTGACGATCCTCGTGCTGTAGACCCGTTGTGCCTCTCACTTTATTTTTAATTTTTATTGTAGTATTTTCGCTGGTTGCGACTTCGTCCTCTCGTCTGCTCTGTGCTGTTCTATCTCTTGTCTTTATCTATCCGCTCCGCTGTATTCTGTCCATCTATGCTCATACCTTCGTTCTCCTGAATTCCGATGTATAACTAATTCTCTTTCACAAGTGTCTGTTCTCTCTGTTTTCAGGCTCTCCTGCACATCTTGGACACTATACACCTCGATTGTTTCAGTGTATCTCCATACGCTTGGTCCCCGGTCATAGCTTGATCTCAGCGCCCTGTACTCTCTGGCGTTCTAGTGTGATGTTATTACCTTGCTTGCAAGGTCTCTCCACCCTCTTAATTGTCGCGCTTTTTGACTCCCCGGTTCCTTCCGTGCATCTGAATCTTGCACGACAAGTCCCGACTCGGCTTGCGACGTCTCAAGCTCAAGTTCGAATCTATGCAGTGGCAAATTTCGCAAGCAAGGTCTCTGCCACGAGGAGGCGGCGCTTCCCTCGTTCTCAGTGCTCTCTCTGTCGACCAATTCAATCCCCCCAATCCTATCAGCTTTCGACTGGTCTGGACGAGCGTACATGCATCTAATCTGCGTGAGGGCCAGGCAGGCCCGCAGAATACAGACGCAAGCGCTGGCAGTGCATTTCTCGGTGCGTGTTTGTCATGTTCTGGTCTCGTACCCAGACGGTTACCTCATCGCACCTCACCATCTAGTCTCCGTTGCTGACTATATATGGCTATGGATGACAGTCGATCCATATCTAGTATATACCTACCACCGCAGATAACACGTCTGGGGCAGTTTGATAGAGCCCTCCTACCTTACAGTTAGCGCGCGTTAAGCGCCGGATAAGCGACAGACCTTAGGCTAGGTCTGTGCCGAATCAGGCAACTACTGCGAAGCTTGAATGTCCTCCTTCATTGAAAATCAAGCTATTGTAGGCATGCACATCTCAGAACTAGCATGAACACTGTATAGTAATGCTGTAAATGCCTCTAGAAACATTTTAGCACCACAGGAAGAGCCCAAGCATATTTTCAGCCAGATTCCTTGACATTTTCACTCAAAGTAGCCGGCTTAATGCATTTCTGGTGCTCCTTTGTGTCAGCAGTATCCGGGCCATCTCAGAAAAGCTTCAGAGGTTCTCTGGAACTCACTCCCATCAAATCTCCTCAAAAGATACATGTAAACTGGGCATAGAGATCAAAAGTCGCGCTCAACGAGTGGGCAGGCACATAATTAAAGAAGCACGTAAGCGAGGCTTCTCGAGCGGCTAACGGGCGCTAACTGTAAGGTAGGAGGGCTCTATCAAACTGCCCCAGACGTGTTATCTGCGGTGGTAGGGTGCGATGAGATAACCGTCTGGGTACGAGACCAGTCATGTTCATGTCTGGCCGGCCTGCTGGTGGTTCGTGAGATCGCATCGGGCGGCCTGGGATAGTTGGGATAGCATCCCAGCCAATCGTGTATGTACGTAGAGCCGGCTAGGTGGCTGAGTTTATCTGATTCATTCTGTCTCCCAATTTAGTCCTCTTGGGGCGGTACGTGACGGCGGGTTCTTCCTCACTACTTTGTTGGCCTGTTGCAGCGCACTGCTGTAAGTGCGGGAGTGTTTCGATGTCCGGAGTCGCGAGGTGATGCCTTAGTCGGTGCGCTCCTACGCTGCAAAAAAAATTCATATGCACGCGTCGTATGCATGTTTTCGCGAACACGTGTTCGCGCAATATTAAACAAGTGTCACTCGGATCTGTCACGCTGTGGCTGCACAAATTGCTGAGTCTTGCCAAGGGGGTTCAAACTGCGCATGGGGGCACTGGGGGTTGCACAAGTCCGTGTAGGCATAAAATTTGGCACATCACTCTTGCACGGACATTTTTTCAACTTCTCCTCCTTTGAATAGGGAGGAAATGTACTGCCAGTATCACCAAACTGTCACTTCGCCACGGCTCAAGCGCTCAAGTCGTAAATGTTCAGACTCCGACTGGGGAGGTGACCCACTGCTGAGTTTGATTTACCTTGGGCAATCAACGTCCAGTGGCGCCGCGCGAGTCCTCCCACTGCTTGAGGTGGTCCCTCTCATATATACCCCTTCATCTGCTCTCCAAGATGTGCGGCCCCCTCGGTTCACACTTCCATCTCCGTCCCACTTTCCCCGATCTTTCTTCTGTCCCCTTCTCAAGTTATGGACTCTTCTTCCTCTTCTTCGTTCAACCCTCTTTGTTCAACCTCAGTTTCGGATGGCCAGCAGTCCACGAAGGATACTTTCTCGTTTATGGACAACTGGTCCCCGTATGACTTGTTTGACTGGACTGTCGACGAGTCATTATCCTCCCCCCTGGACCTGCCTGACGACATCGTCAACGGATCACTGGAGTACAAGTCAGTGCATCCCCCACAACTGTACGACCATATCCTGACACAGGGACGCTATGCTCCCTCCAGTTACGTCCCCCCTTTGCCCGACTTCGGGCAAAGTGTCTTCGCAACTCCTGAGGGTGTCTTTCCACCTGGGCCTGTCGCGGGGCCATCTTCCCAATGCGATGGCTCACCACTCGACACCTTGAACCTGGGAAACATATGTCCTCCCTTTTCAGTGGTGGACGCTCCTCTTCACTCGATGTCAGCGTTTGTACAAAGTCAGAAAGCATCGCCCTCCGCACCGCGCCGGCCTCGTACTTCACCCCGTGCGAGGGAAGATCGGTATATGCCATACTCATCTCCCTCACAGTCGGCATTTTTGTCCTCTTCATCGCCCTGCTTCTCTCCCACCTCGTCGGCCCTCTCTACCTTCTGCTCCTTGCCACCCTCCTCCACGTCCTCATCCGCCTTCTCTTCACACTCTGCTGCTTCCTCGTTGCTCCCTCAGGATCTCGGGGTCGCAACATCGCTCATCCTGCCGGATATTCCATTATCGCACTTGTCCTTTTCTCCCAGGGCCCAAGCATTGGTCACTCCACCCTCGTCTTCCTATTCACGCTCTTTAACCTTCCTCAACGCCCCCTCCTCCTCAACTCAGGACCATGCGATTGTGACCTCACCCGTCATTCCCGTCCTGTCATTCTCCCCTCTACCTTTCGGGGAAGCCGATGAATTTGTGAGCTTCACACCGCGAACGATGCGGGTCAGCGGGCCAGTGACCCCTCCATCACCGGGCTCGTGCGAGTGCCACATCTGCGGCCTGCGCCTTAAGCACAGTGGTGACCTCTCGCGACACCTAACAGCGCACAAAGAGGCGGACAGCAAGCCGCTATGTGGTGGTCTTCCCCTGGCGGAAGCACTCGCAGCTGGGGTGGACATCGCCTCTGCAAAATCGCACGTTTTCGATGGGGTCGTGTATTATGGCGGTTGTCATCGCATCTTCAGCAGGCGGGATGCGCTGTTGAGGCACTCCAGGTTCGTCAGGGAGGCCGTTGAGCAGCGGAAGAATGCGACAGAGGGCGTGGATCAGCGGCAGAAGGTGACAAGGATGCAGAAGAAGCGGAAAAGTAAACAGAATAGGTCAAAGAGGGGCGTCGAGGAGGATGTTAAGCTATGTGTCACTAGTATCGATGCGCCGTACAATGTTGCGCGTCTGGGGAGGCGGGTGAGTCGCAATGCGGTTGAAGTCTTCCATACTCGCTGATCTTTATTTCCTAGTGATTGGCCTCTTCGATGTTGCAGTGTTATCTCTGTGCTGTGCTATTTACCGCTTGCTATCTCAGGTTAATCTCAGGTTATATCTCAGTTTCACCTGCAGACCGGTCCATCGGTACGCAGTTTTGCACGCTAGGTTTATCGCTCCTCGTTTCTTGCTCTTTGTGTTTCTTCATCATCGCTCCTGGTTCTCCGGAACGTCATGGACGCTGCACTATATATCTCTGTTTCGCGTCTTCGCTGGTGATATATCATCTGGAATGTTTTGTACTACACTATGTTGTAGACTGCCATCTGTTACAGTATTACAGTACTAGATGCTAACGCAAACCATTCTCGATCGGACTCAAGAAGTTCCACGCGTGCGAGTGAGTTATGGCTGTACACCGCGGGTCGTCACAGTGCACGTGCCCACGCAAAGCGTGCAGTCACAGTAATAATCGTGGCAAATGATCGAAGTCATGGCAAAGCGACAACAAGTTGGAACTGCACCGTCCTTTGCTTTCATGGATATTTATACTTGACTCGTACCAGAAGGTCATTGAGCTTCGATTCATTCACCTCTGGACTTCGGGAAAATTTTGCCTCGGCAACAGTGACCTTTGTGACGCAGAAAGGCGGTGAGTCGTGTGGAGACTCTTAGCAGCTTGCATCTCTCCACATGGATCTGCTTGTTGTGCCTGCGCTTTTTTCTCTGCAGCCGTCCTAGGCGAGCAAAGCGTCTAGTTTCCCACCCATCCTTTTGTATATATACTGGCATTTATTCGTTGCTGCGCGGTTCTACTTAATCCACCTACACACCTCCATCCCCCTAGCCCACTTAACGCTGCTCACTTCGCGTCCGTCAAAATATGCCAACTGATACTTATTCCGATTCCAACTTGCTTTCCGTGTCCGACATGCACACCGAGTCCGACGCCCACCCCGAGTGCAAATCCGATGGGCGATATAAACGTGAGAAAGTTTGTGTGTCTTCCAGGTCGCCATTGAATATTGACTTGGATATTCAAGCCGTAGTAGCACATACACCTTCAAGCACCATACATCCGGTTGCCTTTCTTTCGACCTATTTGCTTGACTCCGGCTCGGATAGTGCACGTGGAAGACAAAGTATCTCCTCGCCCTATGTTTCGTCTCCAGGTTCTCTCCCTGTACAGCATGCTGCATCATCTTCCGGTCTTGGTTCGGTGTCCAACTCTGGTTCGTCGTCGAACCGTTCCGTGTTATCAAGATATGATTTCCCCTCGCTCTCTGCCTCAAAGCCGCATTATACCCAGTCTTCGACTAAAGGTCCCTCCCAAGACATTACACTTTCAAACGATATTTTGCGTTATGCCCGCCCAGAAAACATAACACATGAAACCAATCTGGTGGCCTCTGCGTCTGACATTCCCTTGCCCCCATCCTCTTTTGGCACAATGCCGCTTGTTTATCCGCACAGAGCCTTTGATCGGATCTCCCCGTCTGCGGAAGATTCTCACCCGCGCACGGGGTACGACAGCGAACGTATTGCCCCGCATGCTCGCTCATACTCCGACATGCGTCCGTCCCCAGTGCGCCCGTCCAACACATTCCATGGAACTACCCCGGCTAACCGTGGCACTAATCGCAAAGGAACACAAAAGTCCCGAGCCGCAATCCGTGACTCTGCGTCCTCTTCTGCACGTCCGGAAGGAGACTTTCATCGTAGCAACTTGAACACGCATGACTCTGGTGTGCGCCAAGACAAAACTACTACTTCGCCCTGCCTCACTTGCTTTCCCCCGCTAAAGTGCGAGGAAGTGCCTCCCAATTGGTCCACCACATGCCCATATTGCTCCAACATCATCGAAGAGACCTACTTGCCCGAACACGTCTTGATTCACAAGGAATTCTTCGCTCCTGCTTTCTGTGGAGGGCTACCCAGATCGGACGCCATCAAGGTGGGCGTTAACTTAAAGATGGCGAAGAAGTTTGAATACAAGGGTGAAGTTTATTACGGCGGGTGCCTGCAAAATTTTTGTCACACCCCCGCCTTGGTTAGGCATCTGACGGGTCAGGAGGGCTGTGTCGGGAACCCTAATGCACCTTACAACCTCGCCATGCAATCGTAGCGACCACTGGAGGAGTAGCATGGACAGCGCTCAAAGCTCTATCGAAAACTGCAGATCTGCAGGCGCAATTTTTCCCCCCTTTTTTCTCATTTGAATGTTCTCCTTGCTCGGTTTCTACACATTTATCTCATCATGTGTGCACCCCTAGCAAGCAGAATCACTGTTATTCATTATTCTGCCGGATTTTTCACTTATATTTTTCTGAATATTTTGACTGTTGACATTGCGGTTATTTCTTTGATGCTTCTGGATATTACAAGATCATATGCCGGTACACGTGAGGTTGATTTGAGATATATCGCTGTATTCTTTCTTCTGGACTGAGAGCTCAGTCAAAACACCCTCAAGCCATATCGAGCCTCTCGATACAGTGGCTCTACCTCACCCAATATTTTGGAATAATCCGTATCGCCGTAGAGCGACATTGAGTGAAATAGTGAAATCATAGTGTCAGATCATGCCAGACACAGTGATATTAATTGCTCTCTAGCTAGCTCTATACAGCTCTACCACACTCAATACTATATTGCACAGTCCCACAGCCACCGCCGCCGCCCCGCACCTAGCGTTGTTGCCTAGCACCCAGCACTGCCGCCACGCACCTTAGTCCCCCTTACGCGTCGCCCACGGCCAGCGCCCTCGCCCTCCACCTTGTCCACATATCACCCATGAGTAGGCCAGTGTTGTGCACATCACGATATGTTGGACACGGTATCAATCGGCAGTCAATATTCAATGAGGGAAATGTTTGGACTGTACATTTGTTGTGCAGCAGTGTGTTCAGGCCGTTCAGGCGCGCCGCGCGCTTCCGCGGGAGTCACGGTGCACGTGCCAGTGCTAGCGCTTGAGGTGACAAGTACTGACAACCGCGTCGTTGGACAACAGAGCCAAACAAAACCCTGCCGACGCGACTGTTTGTCCTACTTGTCTCACACTCTAGGTTTAGATACGGGTCATATAACTCTCATGCTGGCATCTCAACGACTCACCAATGGTCTAGCCGAAGTACTGTATGACAACGAAGTTATCTTGGCAGGCAGCAAACGAAAGGGGGGCCAGGATTCTTTGCTGTAACACTAGTTAAGCCCCACAATATTGCTGTGTTTGAGGTATTGACTTCAATGCTGTAATCTTCTCTTGTACGGTTCCCGGTGATGAGTCAGTTAGTGCACGGACCACGCGTACGTCCTGTCATGGCGCTTTGTTTGGAAAACCGATTGTTTTTGGAAGAAGAAGACGATCTGGATCTCTCGCTATTGTGCTGTGCTGCGCATGTTGCATGAAAAATTTGACCATTGCTCCAATCTAGACTAAATAGGAAATCCCTTTATTCTCTGGTGACACTGTCTGCGTATAAATAGGCACTCCATTGAGCGTTCAGAATTCAACTTTTCACTCCAAGTCTTAGGCATCATTTCCTCGGATCTACTCAAAGCGTTTTCAGTGCTACGCATCGCCTGGCTCAGCAATGGTGAAGAGAACTGCTGCAATACGGCCTTACGCGTCATTACCACATTCCATTTACACTTTATCCCCTTACTATAAGGCGGTCTCCTGGGCCTGGATGTGCGCGTTCTATCACCCTCACTGATTCACATACTCAAGTATTAGCAGAGGTCTGAGCGGTGGCCACGCGACGAGCAGTAGGCTCGTTGTAAAGGCCATCGATCGAAGGCGCATACCGCACGATATACATATAATCGGACTGTGTCGACGTTGGCGCGTCCCCCGCGTTGTACACCTCAACCGTCGTCTCCGCCCGGTCGGTGCTCGGGCTCATGTGCGTGATGTTCCCGCTTCCTACCGTATGGACTCATACTCAACTTGTGCTCTCATGCATCCAGGACTCCCTCCGGTCCCTCTTTATCCTTCCCTGAGGTCCCTAGCTACCTGGACAACGATATCTTCGGAAACCTGGATAGCACCTCACCGCGGGGGCACCCGTTTGTTGGGGATACGCTCCTGGACCAACCGGTTGATGGATACGATTCGTTCCCGGTTGGCCCTTCCCATTCCGGTGGTCGGATCCGTTACACATACTCCCCGTCCTCAGACCACTACTATGCTAGTGCAGATGACTGCCCCGACTTGCACAACAGTCCTCCATCGCTGTCAAGCATTTCCTTGCTGTTGTCAGAGCAACCCTCGGTACCATCTCCCGTATACCTAGCACTCCCGCTTACGAGACTTTCCAACCGCCGATACGCTCCTTACCATTCAATCCGGACACCACGACTTTTTGGTCGATCTTACAATGGCGTCGCAGAGCACCCGCTTGGACAATACTCTCTCCATGTTCCTTCTTACGACCCACCTTACTCAGGGCCTTCCGAATCCGATCTCAACTCATTCGCTGTCTCTACAAGTGATCATGACACCTTTCATGTGGGAGGAAGATACCTCCTTCCATCGAACTATCCATTGAGCCCTCGTTACCCACGGGCCGGTCAAGATATGAATATGAATGCATTTCCTGCGACTGCGGGCACTAGCGCGCCCCGTCCACATGCAGTTGATTATCAATATCAGGCAATGAACCAAACAGTCCCTTCTGTCTACCTTCACGAACACCGTGAACGCAGCAGGCATGGGTGCGGAGTCACAAGACGAATATTTGCCATCGTGGCTTTCGAGCACATCCTCAGCGTCCATTACCGGCGCGTTGCCAGAATGCGTGCACGCGTAGATACACGCCATATGTGCGCGCCGTGTCTCTTAACTGTGCCCCCATGCTCGTCGCAGCCGCAGCAGAGGTTCCAACGCGCCATGCCACGGAACGAACAGTTCGACAGACCGTTACGTCCGCTGCTGTGGGGCACGACCGAATGCGAGTATTGTGGGATGTCCTACAGGCGGTAGTGTGACCGAGACTAGGGCTGGTCTCTTGACACTCCCTTGCCGTGCGCTAAATCAAGGCTTGAACTCGTCGGTTGTATCGGCATATCACACTTTCGTTTTCGCGTTCGCACATACTTCTCCATCTGCACGGGAGGCGCTGCAGCGCACTGGAGAAGCGGAGAATGTCGAAAGTACAGGACCACAGGAAGAAGGATGCTCCGGCACACACCTCAGACATCCATATGCATCATCATCATCGTCTCGTCCCTCTCTTTCCTTCTCATGTCATATGTATTACAAGCCAGTGCTCCCGTGCGGCTCCCACTGCCTCGTCTCAAGATGTCCAGTTTGCGATGCGTTCTTTACCACTAAAGGGACACGGTAGTTACTGGGTGGCGGGATCGTGATGGAACTTCGCCTCAAATTGTTATTTGTAGATGGATTGTTGCTGTATGGTATATTGTGTATGCTTGCTTAGTGTATATATCCATCCCTTCTGGGATACTTGGTACTGCTTACTACACACCGAGTGAAAAGAATTCATAACGGTTATACCTCATCTTGGCGGCGTATGCGTGCGTACACACGTCAGGAACGAAGCCTTTGGACAACAGAGCCAAACAAAGTTTTCAAGTTCGAGCGGTGTCTGCTCATCATTGCATATGCGTCCCGAGTGGTACTGTATTACTACACGCTGCGACATGGTATGGGATTACGCGTAGGTGCCCAGCGCTCACGTTACGCTCGCAATTGTTGATGGCCTTACTCGAGGACGCGAACCGGATGGTCAGATACGGATATCCTGAGGGTACGAAGTTGAAGCAGAGTGTCTACCGTCTGCCTTCGGGCGACTAACCGGATAGAGACCGTATCAGGAAAGTAAGAGCGTAGCTGGTAAGTTCCTTACTTCGAGAGTCCTCACGCGGTTTAGCTGTTGAGATGTGATTATCGTTACTCGTTTACATATCTTCTGATTGTTATTGGAAACTGCGGAAGTTCGGTCTTCTGTTCCGAATTCATGATGGATTCTTCTTTGGCAGGCGTGCAGTCACAGTCAGTTGGGTCACCGCAGGGCAAGTGATTCGCAGCCAAGGAACTTACAGCTTGAGTTATCTCCTGCTGTCGTCCTGTGCTTTCATGGATATTTGCGCTTTGACTGTGCTAGAGGACTAATGCTAGAAGGCTAATTGCTTATACGGATGATAGTCTGGCTAGTTACTTAACCGCTTGGTCAGACAGACGGCAACCATTTATTCACCTCTGGGCTCGGAGGAAATTCTTGGCGGCGCTCTCCAGCATAATTCCGAAGGGCGGTGAGTCGCATAGAGACTAACTTCAACTTGCATCTCTGACTTCTCTACCACCACACCGTGTCGATCAAAGCGTCTAGTTTCATACCTTCCACACCTGTTCCCAGAATTTGTATATACAATAGGCATTTATTCGCTGCTGCACGATCTGCACTTTCACCCAACTACACGCTGCCCCTTCACCAGTGCCACTTAGCACTGTTCCCCTCGCGTACCTCTAAGTATGCCGACTGACGACTACGACACTTACGTGCATTCCAAGGGCGACTCCGATGGGCGATATCAAGATGAGGTATTATTCGTCTTTCAGGTGGCCATCGATGAGGATACGTGCGTCCAAGCCATAGCTGTACTTCCTACATCTTCGAGCGCCTCATATCCTGCCTTCCATCCCTGCATGTGTCTTCTCGAACTACGGTTTGTCTCGAGACTTTACCCAGGTCTGCATCATTGTCTGATCTTGCCTCGATCTTATATTGTATTTTGTCCTCAAATTCTGTTTTATATGGGTTGACCTCATGCTCTTCCCCGTTAAGTATCTCGTCATGCCAGATGTGGCAAGCACAATGCCTCAAGAAGGAAGATTAACGGGCCGTCGACAGCACAAAGGAGATGAGAGTGCGGGCCTTGGACACCGCCACACCATATAAAGGCACGCCTGGACGGTCCTCATCCCTTCGTCGACCCATCTAGGACGCTACTCAGCATCATGGTTCAGCAAACACCATTGCGCGTCCATGTCTCTGTAGAAGAGACTCGGCCCCAGTCTCCCCTTGGCCAGGCGACGATTCTTTCCCGCCCAACCCTCCATTCGGCGCCACGCTTGCAAACTGCGAACATTTCCAATCAACAGTTCCATGGGATGGCAACGTACACATTATACCCGCCTTCGGAGTCGGCCAATGACGTGGCCCTCCCATCTGAGCACCCGTCTCCGGTCAAGAACTGGACATGCTTTCTGGTTTTATTCGCCATTACGACTGCGACTTTATTGTCCGCGGTAGTTGCGGCCGGGTGGTCGTATCTCTGCTCGTTCTCTGGAATTGTGCTCATGAGGAACATGGCACCCTATAGCGATGCCCACTATTCTGCGATGTGGGCGACAAGTACGGTAGGGGGTGTAATCGTCGGTGGCGCAAGCGGCCTCGTCCTCCTTGCGCTGTCACGTCTTGACCATCATGCCGATCGCATATGGCGGTATGGCTTTGACCCGGAAAGCCTTCGGTCGAGGTACGGCAGGATGATTGTTAAGGTTGTCGGGGTGATGCTTCTCGGAATCTTTGGAACTACAGGACAGACCCTTGGTGTTGCGGTGGTCAGGACCGTCCCCGGGGCACTCGATGCGAAGCACGCTGCCATCATCAGCGCCGTGGGTACGGCATTCGGGACAGCGTTTCAACTCCCCTGGCTGCTCACTCGGTTCGATTTTGGTACGTACGTGATTAGTGCTGTCTTGTTCTTCCATGCTTGGATACGTTCATGAGCACCTTTCCACCTCTCATTCTCGCTGCGTACGGCATCCTAATTGCTTGAATGTTCGACGCCCATTATCGGACAACCAGAGCTTATTACTGCATCTGCCTGTCTTCAATATCTTACTTCATTATGCTGTTGAACGGCCCTACCCTGTATATATGTCTGCTTCCCAAAGTGTTGTAGATCTTTGAAGAAAGAAAGGCCAACGTTCCGGCCGCCGGCCGCCAGTTGGGCTGCCGAGGTCCAGTGTTTCAGGTGGTCGTGCGTTGATTTCCAAAGGCTTGTTAAGATTGATGAACTTTTGCAGTTTCAGCGATTGTCAGGTTGTCTAAGGCAGGCATGTCCTTTGCATAGCCGCTGAAGAACGTCAATGCAGAACAGCAGACAAGTGCGGCAGCGTAACAAATGGATAAAGTGTTACACCGAGTATTAGTCTGTATGAGCACGAAGAAGTATCCGTCTAGATGTATGTGTGAAGATGAACGGAAGTCCATATGCGAGACAGCGACGAGCAACCCAGGTCCGAATCGACCGAACCTAAGGAGATATGAGCGGAGGGATACGACGGGAGCCATATAGGTGTGGCTATGCCTACAAGCTGGCAATGCGAACAAATGAGCGACACGACCTTGATCAAACGGAATAATCAAGAGGAAATCGAGCGACGAGACTGAACCTGCCAGCCTGCACTGCACATTGCGGAGGACAACCATGATGGCCAGCGCGTCATCATAAGCGATCGGGAGGACGGAGAACAGACGGATGAATTCAAGAAAACGAACACGGCTCTTGTGTGGCCGCATACGCGAATCACATAGGATTGGTGTCGTCTCCTGTCCGTCCTCCACAAGCGTGCCTGTCCCCGTCCTCAATGACCTTCGCTAATCCAACCACATCCTCCAGATGATTTCTTATATGGTCCAGCCATCGATCCTCACCTTCACCGAACCAACCTTGTCTCCCCTCCTACATACACACCCATTATCATGGGCCATAACTAGGTGGAGCACCGTAGGCGGATTGCGGTCCTGGGGACGCCCTTCCACTGTAAGTTCCACCTGGCCCTGGACTTCGTGCTCTTGCCGGCTGCGGCGGAATCCCCAAGCCTGTAGCTGGTCCCAGTACTGGACTGGGAGCTCTGCCTGCATCGTAACCAAAAGCCGCCTGCGGCCCTGGCGACCGCCGCCCGTCCATTACCCCAGGCATCGGGCTTCGCGACCGTGCCGCGATCTGCGTCATCGGGATCGCCTCTCCTTCGATCGTCTGCGGCACGGGACCGTTGTACGGGTCGTAGTAGCCAGCACCGGAGTCGTCGTGGTACGGCGTGCCCGAGTTCGGGTTCAGGTGCGGCAGTGGCGGCACCGCGTACGGGTCGTTCTGCCCAGGGTACATCTCCGTCGACGCCGCGAAGCTCCCGCTCCGAGATTCCGGCCGTATCAGGTTCACCTCTGACGACGTCTCGAATCCCGCTCCGGCCGTACGCTGCGTCGGCAGCGCGTGCGGGCTCTCCCCGTGCGCGTTCAACTCGGGCCATTTGATCGCGTCCCCTGGCGAGTCCACCCGTGAGCAATCGAGAAACTCAAACCCAGACATACTAGCAGACTCACCGTCCTCGAAGTCGTTCGAGAAACGCTTTCTGCCTATCTTCCATAAAACGAACGCCACCAGTCCGATCAGCGCCACTCCTCCCGCAACGGACAGGCCGATGATCGTCGAAGTGCTGACCCCGCTCGACCCACCCGATGAGCCCGAGCCCGACGTGTGACTCGCCGAGGCTGAGCTCGATGACCCGGACGCGGTCACCGTGTACACCAACGTCGAAACCTCACCGTCCGCGTTCGTGCTCACCCTCGTCGCTACCTGCGTCGTTATAGCCGTCGGGGAGGACGACGACGTCGACTCTGATGACGCACTGGCCGAGGCCGACGGAGTAGACGACGTAGGAGTGCTCGTGGGCGCCGAAGACGTGGCCGAGCTCGCCGCCGAGCTTGCCGTGTCGGACGAGGAGCTGTGACCCTCGCTCGTCGTGACCTGCGAGCTTGCTGCGGAAGTCGCTGATGCACTGGATGGGGTGGAAGACGTCGCTGAGGACGTGCCGCTGCTGTGGCTGGCCGTGGTGGCCGAGTCGCTCGAGCTGGTGGGACCGACAGGATTCGGGAAAGGAAAACTAAGCTGGCGACGAGCTATCGCGCGTGCATTCCCGGCGTGCAAGTTCTGGAAGTCATGGCCGGATACGAAGGGTAGGAAAACGAGAGCTGCGGCGAGTGCAACGAACAGGCGGCGGCGGGTGACGACAAGCGACCTCGGCATGGAGCCAGTATGCTAAACGGCGAATTTTGAGAACGCAAACGCACCCTTCTTGCGTCGGTCGTCGACGGAAACGAAAGACAAAGAGAGGATTTGTAGAGGATATAAACGTCGGTGGCGAACCGACATTCAAGGCAGTGTATCACGTGAGAATATTGCCACGGCGACGGGCGCTGCGTCTCAATATCTTCACATTGACATTGCACCTTTTTTTGGGAAAAACCAGTCTCCTATCCATTCGCCCGGGCCGAAGGGAGACTTATCTATACTATCTATACTACAAGAGACAAGACATCTTTCCCACGAGACAAACGCTTGAGACAACCGCTTGAGACAACCGCTTGAGACAAACCGCTTAGAGACAACACTCGAACTTGATTGGCCAGCTGATATCTTTAGCACCTGACACCGCGTCTAGCACCAGGCGCTTCTGACGCGTCTGCACGTCGCGTCCAGCACGTCGCCCTTCTGGCGCGGCCGTCTCTCGCATTACGCCATTATGTTCTCCTGTCTTTCCATGCTCACCATACTCTAGCTTAACTTTTCTTATCTCGAGTCTCACTCATGCTATATTTTTTCTTTCTTTCTTCGTACTGAGCTTCATAATTACATGGCTTCCGGGGCGCGAAAATGGACTCAGACCGCGGCTCGGGACAACTCCAGGCTTTTCCGCAGACACCGAAGAGTCTGCGCCGTCACGCTGATCGACAAAATCGAGTGCTGCTGAGCCCGACGCGTTGACGCGTCCCCCAGGTATTTGATATGTTATTCTTCTCGAGCTGACGTGCTGATGTCGTGTCGCACTTAGCCCATCATTGGAGACCCTCTCAACACCCGTAACAGGCATCGACTACCTTGAGCTCGGACTGAAGCAGTATCACATCCTCAGGGCGACATTTTTCACCCTGCACCACCGACTTCTCCCTCACACACACCTCAGGCTACAAATAAGCGGTCGGAAGCTCAAAGGTGGCGCCGCGACCGAGAACGTCAGCAACGTCAACGACATGAAGCTGAAAATGAGGCCGGTCCATCAGTACCTGCCCCGGAGCCTTCCAACCGTATCGCTGTCCAGCATTGACGGCGAGAACAAGAAGGCACTCCTCATGGTCTCCTCACCCCTGCTGTGACTACAACACGCTCTGAGGCTCAGTAACGCCGCCGTCAGCGTGAACGTGAAGCGCGTCAGCATGCGGAAAACCAACACGAGCAGTCTGAGGAGGAAGGTGCTCTCCCTACCCCTGCCGCGACCTCAGCACGCTCGAAGGCTCAGCGACACCGCCGTCAACGTGAACGTGATACACGTGAGGCCGAGCCTCGCCATCAGCAGACCGAGGAAGAAGTGGAACCTCCCGCGACCTCAGTGCGCTCGGATGCTCAGCGACGCCGCCGCCAACGTGAACGTGATGCACGTGAGGTCGGGCCTCAGTATCAGCAGATGGAGGGACGAGATACACATTCTTCTCCCCCCGCGACTCCAACACGCTCGGAAGCCCAACAACACCTCCAAGGTGAGTATCAAGCGCGCGAAGTGGAGCAGCAACCTAGCGAACATGAGCGTCAACACCTCCATGGCGAGCATCGAGCACATGAAGCTGAGCAGCAACATGACGAACACGAGCAGTCGGAACAGGCACTCACTAGACGGCAAGTCGCTCAACGGGCACGACGTGATCGTGAGCGTCAGACTGCACAAGGTACGTTCTGCTGCCTCGAGAGCTGTCATGACATGAACTGATGTGCTGAATCAGCCCAGAGTGCGGCAGATCATGGTAATGATGGGGATCAAGGTGCTTCGGACGATCAGCTCGCAGGTGTGCCGAGAGGTGAACGCGGACGGGTGCACCCTCCCCCAGTGCGCATTGAATGTTCTCTGGGCATGCCAGCCATATATGGAGCCGCAGGCCCGACACGACCTTGGGCGTATGGACATCGTCTGCTCCCGCTGCAACGCGCTGCGTTGGCATGCCGAAAGGGTCGCTTCCAAATCGACCGCAAACTTCTCTGCATTCATAACCTGCTGCAATCAGGGACAAGTTAGACTTTTGGTCTCGGATCCACCTCCAGAGTTTATCAGCAACCTCTTTACCAGTACAGATGATCCCCAGGCACAGGAGTTCCAAGAGAATATTCGGCAGTACAATGCAGCACTCGCTTTTACGTCGCTCGGTGTTCAGTTAACGCTGGAGGGAGAGCACAGCCAGTAGTTCGTATTCACGGCGAGTTGTGTCATCATCATGGAACATTGCTACCACCCGACGACGAAGCACCCTCATATGCACAAGCTATATATTTATGATCCCCAAGATGCTCTCGATCATCGCATGCGACGCAACATGAACCTGCGAGAGGAAACCATGCAACGGCTTCAGACGATACTCCTGGTATCTGCTTAATAATGTCATCTTTTGCGATTGCCATGTGACGTTGCAATAGTGTTGCCCGTCGCGAAGCACGGGTCACTGCTAGTTCCGAACATGCAGGAACTGCATGTTTGGAAACATAAGACAAAGAATGTTTCTAGTGACATTTTATATCTGCTATACTGCTATTTACATTATGACACCTATAGACTAAATTTGTAGATGTTGTAAACTACGGTTAACCTTATAAGCACCATTGAAGATTTACTTTCTGATCTTAGAATTTATAAGCACAGCCTTTTTGTCAAAGATGATATAACAATTTCATTGAACGATATAATGTGTACTAAAGATGCCATGATGAACATCCTTTGTCTTATATTTAACTCAGTCAACATTTTTGTGATGAGCAGAATTCGGTGTCTAAGTTCTTTTAGCAAAATTTACTATATCTCGTATCTTAAGCAGTACCCCCCTTGGCTACAAACAATTGTAATGCTTACTACATCCAACGATGGAGAACCCCCCCTCGCTGTAAGCCACCACGTTCACCTTATAGTTATAGACATGCGCTCACCTGTACCTGGCAGAGTGATATATCAAGTACTGAAGTAAGAGCAGGAGACCGATACACCCATAGATGTACTTACCAGAGGCCCTGATACATCATTCTGCGCTGCTTACCTGTTTCCTTGGTGCTATAACACTGCTGCAGGTACCTCCATGCATGCCTCCTTTTTTGGGGTGGCCAGCGTCACTGTTTCAACACGTCCATTTTTGACACCTTCCTGCAATTCTTCTTCAGATCCATCTTCAATTGACAGCAACATTCCCGACCCCCTTCTTACCGCTCCTGCCCTGTCCTGCCCTTTTGTCCACTGCCATCTTAGCGCCACCTACTCCATTTGTTTGCAAGTGTTTTTGTAACAAGTTTCCTTATACAGAATGAAGAAAAATATTCACAGCTGAATGCCCATTGTCTTCGTAATGACTTTTCTTATACAGCCATATCAAGAAATTACATTTATTAATTCCCCTCAAGTTGGTACAAGAAATTGCGGGTCAAATATTAGTAATTGGTCATGCCAATGTACTCCGGATTCTCAACATATGATATTGGCCACAGGTTGAATGAGACCTGTCAGTCCGAGACTACAGCCACACCTCCGCTCGAGCCTGCAGTCACATTGCGAGCCCCTTCGGGGGCAGAATCTAATGTGCAGCCACAGATGATAACTGAAAGAATGGCAGGTTGATATTTGCAAGTCCCGATCCCGATGCAGTAGCCTGAGGCTGAATGGGGCCCAGGACTTCAGAGGGACCCAGTGACAGACCAGCATCTGCAGACACCAAATTTGCAGCCACCATCAAGGAAGCAGTATCTGATGCCCCCATAGCCAGCCATTGTCCGACATAGTGCCACGAGTTCTTGCAGTAGTTGCGCATGGACTCTCTTATTACAGCCTCCTGGAGGGTGTAAGCTGTGACCCCCTCCTGGTGCTCCCGTGCCAGCAATAACATCCTCTCGACCTACTGTAGCCACCACTGAGAAGACCAGTTATGAAACCAAATTACCCGCTGTATGTAATGACATTCTTCGATCCATCGAAGCGCCCTTGCTCGAGCCTTGCACCACTCGATATGGAGTTCTGAGACATCTTGTCAGCGACGGAGTTCCTAGATTCACAAAAAACACAACGCACGCTCTTGCATGCCATCATCCTGCCCGATTGAACCCACTCCATGTGTGAGCCATATCCAACTCAACCTTCTACACAATTCTGTCTCCCCATTGTTTGCGTCGGTCATTCTGCATATGTCACTGTTGATGCTCCATCGCCAAATCTTGACAATGTATTAACAGCACTATAAGAACACCTATAGCATGGGGTGTTAACTTGTATCTTAGCCTTCACTTGGGAAACAAGGGTCCACATGCAGGTGTTGTATCGTTGGCCTTGCAAAAAGGCATCCTTGAACTTGTACATGTGGGCACAGAGTTGTAAGTGGCCATGAAAATCCCCCAAAGAATCAAATGCTTGAGCAACTCTCAGGCAGAGCTCATAATCCCACAGCAGTGGCTCACAAGCCATCCCTCTTGGCAATTTGGATGGGAGGTATAGAACCATATCTTGGTAAAACACCTCATGGCAGGCAGCAGCCATCGCACACATGCGCAGCACAGCAGCAGCTGGAATGTACAGCTGCTGCACCTCGATCCAAGCCTCTATCTTACGGTGCAGCACATTCTGTTGCTCGAGAATTTTCACACACTGGAGCATCAGCAAAAGTGCCAGGAGAAATGTAGGTAGATGCACGGATATGTAATTTTTACACAGCTTGCAAACCTCACCATGCAGGCAATACATTTGCTATTGTAGCCATTGAGTACTTAATTAATTGTAAAACCATTACTGGCACTTGCATATCATGGGCCAGCTTGCAAATGTAGCCGGGCAGGTAGCTATTTGCAAGATAGGTTAGCATTTGCAAGACTATACCATCGAGGTCAATAATTTGTATGCTAGGCAGACAATTACTAATACTTTATGCTTATTCACTCCCGTTCACGTGCGGTAGGGCACATAATAATGTATTTGTGAATACTGAAGTCCCGTTAGACTACGGAGCACTACAACAATGGCAATAACAACAACAATAAAGAGGCACAAGGACAGAGAGGGACAACGAACGAAGGATGACGTGAGAAATGCAGGGTATAAGCACGAGTGAGGACTAGAGCACAGCATAGACATGATGCACAGAAATGCAACATAAATAAGACCAGAGCGGGCAAGATTCAGAGACCGAGAGGCATGCAAAGAGACCCAGAATAGCCGAAAGTGCGAGAAGTGGTTGACTAGCGTGCAAGAGTTGCGCAATGACCAGGATGGGGCTGCCGGGGGCGAGCATTCATGTGCAGGTTGTGCACATCAAAACTAAAGCATAACTAGCACAGTAAGTATCAGCAAGATCACCTGAGAAGTGAAAATTACCTAGGACTCGCTACGGCGTGCGCGAGCTGCACGTTGCGCTGCGAGTCGCGAAATGGTGCCAGAGACGCGAGAAGTTCCTGCGGCAGTGTCGTCACCATATGAAGTCATTCCGTATACTTCCCTAAGCATAAAGAAAGTGAATGGTAAAATAATGTCAGCAATACTTTGCACTCACCGGTCCCACCACTCAATGGTTTCCTTTGCCCATGCAGGATCATCGTCGAAGAGATTCAATATAGCGTTGAAGAATTTTTCACCGTGGAAGTTGCCATCTAGTGTCGACCACTTGTCTTGGCTTGTGAGAATGAAATGAACCTAGTGGCATCTAACATGTGATGTGTAGGAAGCTGAACTCACTATGACTGCAACATGGGCGATGTGGCGTGGAGAGACTCGCGAGAGTTTGTAGATCTTCGTGAGCAGTGGACGTCCGGGACCCTTCTCTTTTCCAGTTGCTGAGTTCTTAGCAGTGCGAGGGCCAGTGAAGAGAGACTTGAAGCACTATTCAATGGGGTTAGCACGCTATAATGTGAGTAGGAAAGAGAACCCACTGCAAGCAGTAACGGTCCCTTCAACAGCCCAGCATCTAACTCCTCCGGGTCGTACTCATCCTGATCGTACAGAAAGCAGGGAAAGTCGTCTGACAGAATCTCGATCTTGCCATCTCGGACTTGCCGACAGAAGCTACAATGTGAAGAGCAATCAGTGTCCGTTCTGGAGAGCAAACGAAGTCATACTCGTTCGGGCCTTGCTTGAAGTCTTCAAGCTTGCTCTGGGGGCACAAGAGACGCCCCGTGGTGATGTTGACAAATCCGCGCTCCCACTTTGGGTCCTTCGGATCGAGAATTGGGTATTCGGCCAACTTCGGTATGTGGCTGATGATCCGTTGCTTGAGGGCACCTATATCATCCGAGCGTGCACTGCGCATCCACCCATCAAGCTGCACAAGATAGGGCAAATTTGTAATACTCTGATGAGACAGAACAGGTACTCACATAATTTCCCAGGACCATAAGTGCCGTTGGGTCTTCCATGAATAAATTGAGGTTATCCTTGAGTCCAGGTATAATATCCAGGATTGCCTCATAAGTATACTGAAGCTCTTGAAGCTCTGCAGGAGAGCTGATAACAAAGCATATATTAGTGCGTGAATATATGCGTACAGTCCTTCGGGTAAGTCATCTTCCTCCTCGTCGCTGTCACTATCACTGCTTAGTGCAGAGCAAGGGTATGGATAACCCTCAAGGGTCAAGGATAAGGGTATCGGATCAGAGGGTAAGGGTAGGGGGATGGATTTTCAAACCCTTGTACCCTTGGAGGGTATTACTACCTATAGTATATATGATGTAGATAGTAACTACAGGGTGAATATAGAGTATGTACAGTCTGAGTACAACTTGAATCATGTTTACAGAAGCTTTAAAGATAAAAGAAGAGGGGTACAAACCTCAGACTTAATATATATAATGTCATTTTCTCAAATAAGAGCAAAGATTGAGGGGTATACCCTCAGGGTTTGGTACCCTTACCCATACCCTTACCCCTGGTCAAGAGTATGTACCCTTGGAGGGTAAGGGTAGGGGTATGCCTTAAAGTACCCAGGGGTATACCCCTGCTCTGCACTATCACTGCTAGCCGCGTGCTTTCTCGTGCTGCGTAGACCCAGCTGCAATGACTGCATAGGCTGCGAGAATACTCCTATTGCCTGAGGAGTAAACTGAGCACCTTTATGGTACAACACCTGAACTCGATCATCTCTTAAAGGCTGATCAGAAAATATTGAGAAAGAGGACAAGAACTTACTTGTAGACCTTTCCGGACTCCAGCCTGTCAAGGAGATAATCAAAACGGCAGCGCTTGCATCGCTCAGCTGGGTCTAAGTCCATGTAATCCTCACGCTGACACTTTTTGCGGGGGAGTTGCTCTTCTGCCTCAGCTTCTTCATCATCTTCTTCATCTTCACCTGGATCTTCATCTTCTCCTGGGTCTTCATGATCGTCCATGGCACCTGGGGTATCTTCTGCATCTGAGTTCTGTGCATCTGAGAATATTGAAGTACAGCCTCGATTTGATGCCTGCAGACGGGACGGGCTTCTATTAACAGCAGGATGGCGTTGTCGTCGAGATACATGCGCAGTCTGCGCACTATGGAAAGATTTTCCATGGCCAGTGAGAGCCTCGGGACGGAGTCGTTTGTTATGTGGAAGCACTTTTCGAGGTTTCTTGCCGAAGATATATGGAGCAGGCATGAGGAAAGATATAGGGAAGGATTGGGGGTTCATTGTGGGGGTTCATTGTGGTATGGAGATAGGATCATGAACGTGCTCACCTGGATGCACTGAAACTGTAGAGTGTGAATGCGTCACCTCACGTGACCATGACGTGAGGCAGAGATACGGACTTTGACAGATTTCTGCGTGATCCTGCACTATCAAGCACTGAGATGCGCCTTTTTTTAATATTTCTTGTTCTCATGACTATATGCCTTGCCTATCAAAAGAACATCTCGGACAGACGGTACAGAGCTCACCTCGGACAGTGTCGCAAAGCCTACGAGTACACAGCATCATCTATTGACAAGTATGAAGCACGGGGAGAAAAGGAGAAGAAGGCAAAGCTTAGAAAATGGGATAGGACACAGAATCTAGATGAAGAATGTGCTGCTCTTAGAGAAGTGCTGAATGAGGTGTGCAAAATAACTCGTTAGCTATACTGAACTGTTCATAATCGCTCAGCAATTGCAGGTTGAAGATTTCGAGTCTGCAGGTTATGCCGGGGAAGCTAATGATTCCATGGCAGTCCCTCCGTTAATACAAGAGGACCCCCCTGATCCAAGTACCATTAGTCGAGCTGGACGACGATGCATACTCCCCCGGAGGTTAGTGGATTACCTTCCCTCCAACTTCGGCGGTCTTGCAGCGCATATTCTGAGAGAGAAGATCCCGACCAAGAGGTCTCAAAAGGCTCATGATGCGGGTATCATGGATGATGCACCACCTCTCCCTCCTGATCCAGAGCCTGCTGCCGAAGAAATTGTTCCTTGTTTCCAGACAGAACCCAACCAATTCGGAGTCTATTGCGAGTATATCACGACACCTCTAGCAGATCCTGAGGATGAAATAACACTGGATTCTCTCTGTGACTCACCGACTCTCATAACAGCTTGGTCTTCTGACTCTAGCCACTGGAATTCTCTGCGCAGTTTTGGTGCGGCATTTATGAAGAAACTCCATGATGCGGAGCAAAACTACTTCGCCCCCTTCCTTAATGCCACCACATATCATCTCATATCATGGCTCTACAACTCATCTTCTGTAAAATCTGTCGCAGATCTGGATTGCTTAGTAAATGATGTGCTTCACGCAGAGGATTTCGATATTGCAGATCTCGAGAACTTTCGAGCAGCTCGGGAACTCAAACAGCTAGATAATTACAGCGAGGCATTTGATGCAGGTGACGACTGGTGCGAAGCAGCCGTCAAGGTCCATCTGCCGAAAGAAAATGTCCTGTACAGATCTGAAGATGATGCGCCAGAGTTTGAAGTCACGGGTATATACTATCGACCCCTTCTACAAGTGATCAAAGCAGCGTACCAGGACATCTCAGCCACCCGATTCCATGTCATTCCTCACAAGCTGTTTTGGCAGCCTCCTTCTTCATCCAACGATGCATCTTCCTCGGAGTCTGCATCATCTGATGATGATGTAGAGGTGGAACCAGAACCGGTGCGAATATACAGTGAGCTCTACAATTCGGATGCCATGCTTGAAGAGGATGCAAAGCTGCGCACTCTGCCACATAATCCAGATGATAGCCTGGACGTTGAGATTACCATTGCGCCAATTATGGTCTGGTCTGACTCTACGCACCTTGCAAGTTTTGGAACGGCATCGCTCTGGCCCATATATGCCTATTTCGGGAGTCTCTCCAAGTACTTCCGAGGCAAACTGAGCGCTTTTGCAGCACACCATTTGGCATACATCCCTTCAGTAAGTACTTCCTGGCTTATATTTATAGTACTCTTACCGAATTGCTATTTCTCTCTCTGCGTTACTAGCTCCCCGACAAGATACAAGACTACTACAGGTCGATATACAAGGTTGCTGCAATGGCCGCTACCCTGACATTCTGCAAGCATGAGCGAATGCAAGCAATCTGGCTTTTACTCCTGGATCCAGAATTTATGCATGCATATAAGCATGGTATAATTCTCCTGTGTGGAGATGGTGTTCTTCGACGATTATTTCCGCAATTTTTTACATATTCGGCTGATTACCCAGAGAAGTAAGTAAGCTCCACAGTGCTGTTCTCATGATTGCTCATTTGGAAAACACACAGAGTTCTCCTTGCATGCATCAAGTACCTTGCGAAGTGTCCATGCCCTCGCTGCTTGACCAAGAAGGCAAATATTGGAGCCATAGGCACTCGAGCTGACTAACAGCACCATGCGGCCACTCGTGAAGATGACAACTGGCTTCGCACAATGCTCAAAAAGGCCCGCCGATGGATATTTGAGAAAGGTTGGGCACTGACCAGCAAGAAGTACGAAATTCTCAACGCGAAGTCTTTTACACCCTCTCATGTTCGTCACCCTCATCTGCAGCTTATATCTTCACTAACCTACCATGATTCAGAGTGCGTTCTCAACCCGTCTAGCAAAGTTTGGATTCAACTTCTTCTCCATGTTCGTACCGGACCTGATGCATGAATTCGAACTCAGTGTATGGAAGGTGATATTCACGCACTTGCTCCGGATCCTTTATGCAGCGGGTGGGGACAAGATTCAAGAATTCAACCGAAGGTAATGTCAACTCTGCTACATCTTTATGAGCATGCTCACATCACAATCTTCAGATTTCGGATGGTCCCTACTTTCGGGTGTGATATCATACAGCGATTCAGTCGCAACATTTCCGGCATGAAAAAGTTGGCCGCCCGGGACTTTGAAGACATGTTACAGGTATGTACAGCCTCGTGTGAATATATTACTTTCAATAACAGAAAACCGTCATGGCCAGTGCATTATCCCCATCATCAAAGGCCTGCTCCCCAAGAACCATGACAAGATTGTTGCCGATATGCTGTTTGAGCTTGTGAATTGGCATGCACATGCCAAACTGCACATTCACATGGACTGGACACTGAAGATCTTCGAGAAGGCCACAGTCTCTCTCAGTGCTGCTGTGTGCCAATTCCGTCGCACAACCTGTAATGCCTTTGTCACACGGGAACTTCCAAAGGAGGAAGCGGCGAGAGGACATCGTACAGCCGCAATGGCCATGAAGGGGGCCAAGGTCAAGGGCAAAGGTAAGGCTGGACAGAAGATTAAGAAGCTCAATATGGAGACCTACAAGTACCACTCACTTGGGGATTATCCAAGGACAATACAAATCTATGGCACCACTGATAACTATACTACCCAAGTGGTGAGTTCCATCATGTATTTCCAGGAGCATCACAGTGCAAATATGACTTAGTAACCTAATAGGGCAAACTCGAGCATCGGCGAGTCAAGCGATTCTACGCGCGCACGAACAAGATCAAATTTGCATTTCAGATTGCAAGACATCAGCAGCATGAGGCCATTATACAGTCCATCAAGCGGAGGGAGGAAGAATCTCGATGACTCGCTGACAGTGTTACAAGGTCCGCCGCAGAGAGCACTAAGAAAGTCACCCCCGCATTTGCTGATCAAGAGCCACTTCCTTTTACTCTGCCGCGAGCTTGCTACCACGTGTCTGAGTCTGAGAGGTACTACGCGGATATCACAAAATGGATCACCGAAAACAAAACAGACCCTGCATTTGTCGTAAGTCCTCATGTGCAGTCCGATATTACATGCTTACATTCAGTGTCAATACTCACAGGACTTCGTTCCAAACCTCAAAGATCACCTGCTAACATGTCTCACTGGCTGAATATCCGATGGTGACTGTCAAGTTTTCTCGAATGAAGACCGAGACGGGATAAGGTTTGTCAACAATTGTCTCTATGGCCACAAGGTTTTCTGTGTCAATTACACAAGTTACGACATGCGATGCACACAAGATTCTATCAATCCTCGCACTCACCCTCACATCATGGTTCTTTCACAGAACGGCGAGTCTGACAATGCCGGGGAGCATTTGTATTGGTACGCGCGAGTCTTCGGGATTTTTCATGTCAATGTGCGAAATGTCGGTCCATCATCAACATCACGGGAGCCTCAGCGCATCGACTTCCTCTGAGTTCGTTGGTTTGCACTGGATAATTCAGCACCAGGTGGTTTCAAGGCTCGTTGCCTCCCACGCATCAACTTCATTCCCTCAAGTGATCCTGAATATGCTCAGTTCAGTTTCGTAAGCCCAGATTAAGTTCTGCGTGGTGTTCACCTTATCCCGGCATTTGCACATGGGAAGACGAAGGAGCTGATGTCTCCTACTATCGCACACCTGCCGGCTGAAGAGGATGAAGACTGGAAATTCTACTATGTAAACATGTAAGTAATGATTTCTTACCGCTGTAGCTCTGTTGACTCTGTTGGGCAGGTTTGTTGACTGGGATATGTTCATGCATTTCTTGGGCGGCGGCATCGGCCACAGGGGTACGGTAAATTCTGAACATTACCAACCCCCAGATTTGAACGATGGATCAGATGATGACGACGAGGATGAGGATGAAGAGGGAGAACAGGAGGATGATGCGAGAGACCAGGAGGGCAATGAGGGAGATCGGGAGGGTGATGAGGGAGACCAGGAGGGAGACGACTATGAGGATGATGAAGATGAGGTGGCAGGCAGTGATGGTGAGGACGATGCCGATGAAGACCATGAAGAGAATCTTGGACCCGAAGATGGCGAGGAAGGAGCTGTTGAGGATGAGTATGGACAGGATGGGTTCGCGCCGCTTTGAGGTGAGTACTTCCAAGTCCCTTCATCCGTGTCGTGCTGACAATTACTCAACTCTTTCATATATTCCACTCAGACCGTAGCACCGGACATACACGCATGCGGGTTGTGCTGCACTGTCTCGGCCATCGACTTCCAACTCCTCGACAGCTGGGTATGTTTTTATTGCTCATATCCTTAGCTCTACTACCTAGAATCATAATGTATGCCACCAATAGCTTATAAAAACCGCACTTCTCTCACTACCTTAATATGCCGGTGTCTAGATACTGGAGCCTATTTTTAGTGTGTGCGACACTGGGCTGAAGTCAGTAGATTTGCATGTATATACAATTACTAACTACGCTGCTAGCTACGTGCAACGGTGCAAGTAATGGCAATAAATTGCCTGTGATCGCAGTGCTTGCAAGGCTTGCCGCTGATGAAAAAGGCTTGCAAGAGCCTCTGTGAGTATACAAGCTACCTCGGCGACTTACAAATAATCACCTGCTTTGGAAATCCATGCAAGCTGTGTGCACTTTTGCTGATGAGGTCAGTGAAGTGAGCACCAAGATCCCCAATGTCCTGGTGAAGATGGCACCTAAAAGAGTGTTCAATTATCAGCAAACATATGACTGATTGACAGAATACATGTGGAGCACTGGCCCATCTATTTGCATATTATGGGGTTTGTTACTTTTCCTATGTCTCATTTGTGTGCAGCACTCAGCCATTCACAGAATACTCTGGAAGGTTGTTCTGATCATCACCAGTGAGTATGCATCACTCCCTTTCTCCATCTCTGCCAACTGATGCTCTGTGAGAAATGTCACATGTTTTTAACAGAATGGACAGTCCAGATTGCGAAAACAATTTCATCTGCAGATTTGTTTTGTAAAGATATTCTGTACCTATGCAGGCATTGTCGTGCAATATATTTCTAAATTTCCGAACACCTGTATTTTTGAACCAATGGATTAACCCGGTTCACAACAGTAGATTGCTGCGCCAATGATACATCTGAAACACGGGCTGCCGAGAAAGAAGATGTACTTCGATGAAATCTCGCATAATTTTGAGCCCAGCAAGCTGTCTGAGGCTTGTGTGGGTGGTCTGCTTGGCCACACCTTGCCCACTCAGCTGCTGGCCAGATAGCTTGGCCAAGGGTCTGTCCATATATGATTTCACTCTCACAATCACCTGGCTGGGTGACTCCCACGATCTCAGTGAGGCGCTCTGGTAACATGACACATTTCAGCCAATTATTAGCCCTTCACAAAATGGGTGTGTAAAGCTCAGGTGCGATAGTCTACATGGGACATGCTGCTTTCACCCGAGAGCCGCTATGAGCTCAGCTAGTAGAATATCTTTAGGTAATTTGGCTGGGAGGTGACACTTCTACTTGAATCCCTGGCCTCCCGTGGCCTCAAAAAATTGAAAAAAATTCTTGATTGTATGCTACAATGCCCCCATACATGCACACAGAAAATTTCCTGCTTGAAAATGGGATGGGAACACCTTTGCAGCATGAACACTGCTGAGCGTGCTCCAAAATGCGTGTGGGCACCTGTCTCGGTGAAGGCAGAGCGTCACGCATCACATTTAAGGTTCACGTGTCCCGGGATGTTCTAAAGGTTGCTTTGCTGTAAGATAGAGACTCAGAGAGCCACTTCATCCTTGGCTACTATCATCACAGCATGACACATCAGGTGTCTCAGCCAAAGTCTGTCACGGTGATGCAAGATTGGCAGAGGAAGCCAAGAGGGGGGCGAGATTGGAATCGGGAATACCCTCCTCTTAGCAAGGGAGATAGGAAACTCTTGTACGAGGTCCATTCTCAGTCACTTGCATGTTATCCTCCCCGCATTGGACATTTTCTGTTTCTGGCCTTACGTTACTCAGATTTGTTGAATAAAAAAATGGAGATACATTTCTAAACATGCCATCACAGCATCTGTAAAGTTAAATCAACATTTCTCGTGAAGTGTGAGCTCTAAGGCAAAGTATGTGAAAAGTCAGGGGCACGTGACAAATGTGGTCTGTTGAATGCAGATGCAGAGTGCTGGCAGATGCAGCACTCTGAATATACTCTGGATGTGTTGCACCAGCTGCACACTCCCTATCTTAATGTCATCTTAATCCTACTTAGCCATGTTTAATGGCTTGGACCTTTGTTGCCCCAACACCTCAGGATGGCTGGGTCAAGCAGAGGAAGACAGAGCCACTCATCTATGCCCATCTCCTCAACAGAAAAGCTTGTGCCCTTTAACATCTGTGGATTCCTCCATATTGCTCTCTGACCTTTCCAGGGCATCTACTCCATTATCTTACACCTCTCCATTGCAAACAAGTTTCGGGCGATGGCAGTCTCTTCAGAATTGCATGCAGACTCATCTGCAACAGTGTCTCCGAGTACTTCATTGTCGGTCCAGACTCCATTTTTTCCCTCAGCATGCACCTCACCAGTACTTCTATTACAAAATCTATATAATTTTGGTTCTTTAGACTCACTTACTTCCGATCCTTTTGACACAAGTCTCACTTCTCTTGAAGGATGTTTACCAAGCTCGGACAGACATAATCTATTACCCCATTCAGCATTGCTACCTTCTCTTTCTATTCCACATCTCATCCGGTGAGGGATACCCATATATCAGGCTCCTGTACTCCAGACACTTCAGCCTCTACAGTGCAATTTGTTCATACTGCCGCTATCATTTGCACATCCAGTCGTGCATCAAGAGCCAGCACTTAAGTTGGACATCAAAAATTTGTCTTGGACTCTGGATGCTAGTGGGAAAACATGTGTGCATTGCCCGAGTTGTGCCAAGTGGATAGAGACAGGGTCTCGCAGGCAGAACACAGGTCCTTTGGTAGCTCACATGCAAGGCTGACATTGCAGACCATATACCCAGAGTGCCGAGATGCATTGTACACAGGATGCATGACATGTGCTGTTTCCATTTGTCGAGCTGCAGCAAAATAGCACAGCTATGACATACCCAGCATCATCTCTTGATGATTCTGGAGCATGCATCGAGTTCATGAGATGTGCAATAACTGGTGAGTAACAATGTCATGTTTGGATGGCACATCCTGTTACAATGCTCCTCAGTTATGGTGCGTCTTTTCTTTTTCCTTTCTTCGTTCCCCTTACTTTACCAGACCACGTGATCCAACACGTGACTCATCGGAGCGTAACCTCCGATTCTCTACCCAAACGTCCAGAACCCCTAGTCTAGGGTTATATCGGATCCAACTCCGGACCTTCCTCTTATCACAACATGCAAGACGTGCATGTATGCCGCATCTTTACCTCGTTCTGATACACGACTCGTCATCCCCATTAGTACTAATTATATCTCACGATCTTACTCAGCTTTCTCACACATATTACTTCCTCACTGTTACCTTGCCCAGACATCGTTTCACCTTATCTAGCCAATGAACGATCCCGTATTACTGCGTAGTACTGCGGATACCTTTTGTATAAGTAGACGACCTTGTCGAGCTGAATCCCCATCTCGACCTAGTTACCATTAAACCAGCTTTTCACTTGTCTTTGACTAAGATCGACCGCTAGTAGCAGACAGCTACTGCGAGTCATAAGAACGAACTCTGATCGACCTTCAGTGCGAGGACATCGCCAGAAGTGTCTCTTGAACGGACTTGTGTCTTAGACTAAGACCTTGTCTCGTGACGACTCGACTTGACACTCGTGTTTCGCTGCCGCGTAACATTAGGTCGAGATCTTATTACTTTCTGTGACTTCCCAAAAAGTCTAACAATGAACTACCGACCGGACCGAACCTTGAAGACTAAATGATACACCTGATTCGATTGCTAAAGCACCGTTTGAGATTACTCTGTAATCAAGGTAGCTGAAGGGATAGACTGATCACTCATCTTCGGAGAGGGGTCTGTCCGAGAGACCAATAGGCCGAGGAGACTGAGGTAATCACTCGAGCAATTAGCAAATAGGTGTATCAGTTTGAAGACAGAAGACACTCTACGGGCTTGTTAGCCAACGACAAACGAACCCACTTAGTTAAGGACGGTGTGCAGTCTACGTGTAGACGTAGGTCACACAGGAGAATTTATCCACACTGGATTTGAACTTTATCAACCCGACTGCTCTTCCCAAGCAATACATCGATCTCCTCTCATCTCGGGCAGAGTGGGACGCGCAAAGGAACATACACGTTTTAAACGGAAGACCCTTATTCATCAGACCAGACCAGCACATCGATCACCCAGGTGGTGACTACGAAGCAAATCTACCCCATAACGTTGGAAAGCTTGTACTGCTACACATCGCAGACAGCAGTATACCAATCTCTTATCGAGGAGAAAGACCAGACGCCCCTTGGAACCCCCCTGCCCAGGATCCCATACCACAATCGACTCTTGCACCAATCATAACTGTTGACGTCCCACCAGTGGCTACAATTACCATGGATGAAGGTCATCACCATGTTAGCCAAAAGGAACTTAGTTTTAGAAAACCCGAGATCTTCAACGGTTCAGACCGTTCAAAGCTCAGGGAATTTATAAACCAATGCAAGAATTACATGGCTGGAAATAGCCATGTCTACCAAGAGGATAATCAGAAGATTGCATTCGTGCTGTCGCACATGCAAGGAGGGACGGCAGGATCATGGGCGCAGAGCTTCATAGAAACGGAACTCACCAATGATGACTTCCTTTCTTATGGAAGTTGGAAAGAGTTCATTGCGAGTGTGAACAAAGCATTTGGCGATGAAAATATTGAAGAAACCGCTCGTACCTTGCTACGTAACATCAAGCAAGGGACTCGTACTGCGGATGACTACATTGCCGAATTCCGATCGCTTGAATCCAAGGCGAAATTAGAAGATGCCGGAAATATCGAGTATTTCAAATGGGGACTTAACGACCCACTCCGACAAAGGATATAGGGGATGGAAAGCATGCCCAAGACACTTGACAAGTGGTACGAATATGCCTCGCGGTTTGATAACCAATGGAGATCTGCTCAGATCTTCAAGCGAGGAGCCACTACGACGACACGAGGAAAGGGCCGATCTGTCCATCGTCCCTACTACTCGACTTCTGCAAAGGATCCAAATGCGATGGATATTGATCATATCAACATCTCGCACTTGTCCCCGGACGAGCGACTGAAGAGAATGAAAGAAGGATTATGTTTCCTATGCGAACAGAAGGGCCATATAGCCAACGACAGACAATTTCACTCCCAATTTGGAGGTTTCACCCGTGCTAGAATGATACAGCCCGGGTTGGACACAGACACGATCACGTGGATCAAGAAGATGCGAGAAGATCTCGCACAGAAGAAGGAGATACTGAAGGAAGGAACCAGAGAGGAACAGATCGCCTATGTGCGAAATGTCTTCAACGACATGACTGATGAAGAACGAACCCAGTTGAGTTTTTGAAACGATGGCCACTAGTAACGCATGGACTGTTGTATCTTACCGTATCTCCCCTCGTTATTTGTAACACTAGCGGAAATTCAATCACTGTGAATATTTCGTTGGGAGAGAAGGAAGACGTTGCAACAGAAGCCTTGATCGATTCCGGTGAGGCCGAAATGTTCATGCATATTCGATTTGCGGAAGAAAATGATTTCCTTAAATGGGAATTACCAAAACTGATTAAAGTCGTAAATGCAGATGGCACACCGAATCAGATGGGTACCATTACCCACTATACCTGGAAGATGATGAAGATTGGAGGAAGGAAGACACTTACTCGCTTCCTCTTAACCGGTATTGGCAAAGATAATATACTTCTCGGCATGCCGTGGCTTAAACGCCTCAATCTGATGATTAATTGGGAAACCGGTGACTTTTGGTTTGGCAAGGATGCCAAATGGCCGCTGAAACCCACCGTCGAAGATGTACCAGATGAAGAAGTTTCAATTTTCAAAGAAGATGACCTCCCGGAGTTAATCACCACCGAAACTTCTCCGACCTCATTTGGACATTCAGAATCTATCAGAGAAATCATAGCCGATGACACTGAGCGTGGCGAGTTACCCGCAGTACGGAATGATACCGAACCAGACGACCCACTATTAGAACCCTCTATGGATCAATTTGATGATGACGATCTAGTTATCTCCTATATTGCAGGAGAACCAGTTATTGGAGTATTTGAACCCATCAGGAAGGAGTCACCTTTAACAAATGAAGAGACTGGAACCGCAGTCTTCACTATACGAAGAGGCCCCACCATCGGAAGAATTACACACAGTACTTGATCCCCATTATTCTGTAATGCACAGAATACGGTTTTTTATAAACCATCCGGTAAATCACAGGAATTGGCACAACAAGCACACAAGGAAGCATCAGCTGTAGACAAACCCAAAACCGTTGAAGAGTTGGTCCCCAACTACCTCCACGATTTGAAGTCAGTCTTTGAAAAGAAAGCAGCTGAACGCTTCCCAGAAACCAGGCCCTGGGACCACACCATTGACTTGAAACCCGATTTTATTCCACGAGACTGTAAAGTCTATCTGTTATCGCTCAAGGAACAAGGAGCGATGGATGACTTCTTGGAAGAAAATCTGCGAAAAGGATACATTCGACCGTCGAAGTTCCCCATGGCCTCGCCATTCTTCTTCGTTGGAAAGAAAGATGGAGCACTACGTCCCTGTCAGAACTACCGATACCTGAATGAGGGAACGGTGAAAAATGCATACCCTCTTCCGCTCATTTCTGAGCTCATGGATCAACTCAAAGGTGCATCGATCTTTACGAAAATGGATTTACGCTCCGGATATAACAATGTCAGAGTCAAAGATGGTGACCAATGGAAGGGCGCGTTTAAGACAAATCGCGGACTTTTCGAACCTATGGTCATGTTCTTTGGACTCTGCAACTCCCCGGTGACTTTCCAAATGATGATGAACGCACTCTTCAAGGACATGATCGATGAAGGATGGATAGTCATTTACATGGATGATATCCTCATCTTCTCGAACAATTTGGAAGAACATCACGTTCGAACCCGACGTGTACTCCAATGACTCAAAGACAACGACCTATTCCTTAAACTGGAAAAGTGTTTTTTTGACGTTAAGGAAGTCGAATTCCTAGGCATGATCATTCGAGAAAACTACATCGGCATGGACCCTATCAAACTTAAAGGAATTGCAGAATGGCCTGAACCAAGCACGGTAAAAGGTGTTCGCTCTTTCCTCGGGTTTGGAAACTTTTACCGGAAATTCATTGCCAACTTCTCGGATATTGCTAAACCATTGACGAACCTTACGCGTACCGCTGCTGGATCTCCACCTTTTGAATGGACAACAGAATGTCAGACAGCTTTTGATACATTGAAACAACGATTCAGTACTGCCCCAGTGTTGTTGCTGCCCGACAAAGCAAAACCCTTCATTGTCGAATCTGATGCTTCCAAGTTTGCTACGGGTGCAGTTTTACGACAAGCCGATATCAATGGAGAACTCCATCCTTGTGCCTACATTTCACAGACGCTCAATCCAGCTGAACGAAACTACGAAATCTATGACCGCGAACTTCTCGGAATCATTCGAGCCCTTACCGAATGGCGCCATTATCTAGAAGGCTCTCCTCATCCCGTCGAAGTTCACAGTAATCACAAGAACCTCACGTACTTCCGTACAGCGCAGAAGTTAAACCGCCGACAAGCACGATGGAGTCTTAAATTATCACAATACGATCTTCACCTCATTCACGTCCCTGGCACTCAGATGATCCAATCTGATGCGCTATCTCATTGTAACGGACTCGATGACAGTGAAAGTGACAATGAAGATCACATCCTTCTACCCGATGCACTATTTGTGCGATCCATTTCCCCGATGCTATTTGACGAAATCAGAAATCACGCAGCAAAGGACCTCATTGTTCATGAAGCCCTTGAAGCGATCGCGCACAAAGGGCCGTTCCCAATGAAGTCCTCGCTCTCCGACTGGAGAGTTCGCGATGGTGTCATCCTTTACAAAGGAAAGATTTATGTCCCACCATCTGAATCTCTTCGTCGTGACCTCGTTCGACTACATCACGACTCCCCTGCCATGGGCCACCCTGGAAAGTTCAATACTCTTGAACTCCTACGTCATGAATTTTGGTGGCCCGGCATGTATGCATTTGTCAACAATTACGTTGAAGGCTGTGCCGCCTGTCAACAGATGAAACCGAATACTCACCCAACTCATATTCCTTTGGAATCAATCCCCGCAGACCCACACGCATTACCATTTTCCTGTTGCACCACAGATTTTATCACCGACCTCCCCGTTTCCAACGGCTTTGATTTGATTATGGTCGTAGTAGACCATGACCTTACGAAGGGGGTGATTCTTACGCCCTGCCTCAAAATGATCACAGCTGAAGGAACAGCCAAGATTTTTCATGACAAAGTTTACTCGCAATTCGGACTACCTGACCGAATCATCTCAGATAGAGGACCTCAATACGCATCCAAGGTTTTCCAAGAGTTAAATCGACTACTCCAGATTAGATCACCGATGAGCACAGCTTATCACCCTCAGACGGACGGAGAAACAGAACGAGTCAACCAGGAGCTGGAAATCTATCTTCGACTCTATTGTGGAAACAACCCTGAAACATAGGCTGATCGCCTGCCAGACCTCGAGTTTTGTCATAACACAAGGGAACACTCGGCACGGAAGATGAGCCCATTCCGCATCATGATGGGATATGAACCATGTGGACTCCCTTCCGTATTCCCAAGGACGAACATTCCATCGGTTGAATCCAGGCTTGACATGCTGCAGAAGATAAGACTAGAAGCACTAGCCATGCATGAGTTAGCCCGACAACAGATGGCGGACCGAGTCAGACAAGGATCGCCGAAGTTCACACTAGGACAGAAGGTCTGGCTAGACTCGAGGAACCTGAAGGTCAACTATGCCTCGCGCAAGATAGCTCCCAAGCATGAGGGGCCATTCGAAATCATTGGAGTCATCGGATCAGCCAACTATCGCCTCAGACTCCCGAAGACCTGGCAAGTTCATTCCGTATTCCACGCCGCCCTTCTATCTCCTTATCGCGAAAACGACATACATGGTCCGAACTATGTGAACCCACCACCTGATGTCGTGGATAATGAAGAAGAGTACGAAGTCGAAGCAATCCTGAATCACAAGGCATACCGAGGTCACCTGAGGTACTTAGTCAAGTGGAAGGGATATTCATCAGCAGAAAACTCGTGGGAACCTGCCCACAATTTACAGAACGCAAAGCAGACCCTCGACGCATATAAAAGGATGAGGGGAATCGAGTAGAGGATGAGGAAACTGGAATGACTACCACGACGGCCTTCCTAGTTATCTTCCTAATAGTCCTCCACTGCACAACCCTCACTTTCCTTTGGATCATCCACCGAATGCTTATCAGATGACTCATCGAACACACGCTCTTCACACGAGACCACCCACACGCTAACTGCTGGGGTGATCAGAACGATGCCTGGAACTGACCAGGCAGTCCTTATCTCCATGGGAATGCTCTTTATCGCCCAATGGATTTTCATCTATTTGATTGTTACCCACATCCACGACATTCTGTTTCACATCACAGATAACCGCAATTCCCTTAATGACCGAAAGGTATAAAGGGAGGAGAAAACCACGTATCACCAATGCCCACTTCTGCTATAGACGACCTTGTTCACAACATACTCGCTGAAGTCGTTTCTACGATTATGAGTACCCCCGCATCACCTACGCTTGTCAATGGAATACCCTCCTGAACACAGACACCCTTCATCCACGCTTCATCGCCTTCACCTTCAATCGAACTCAGTCACGCATCGGACGAACAAGAATTTGCTACATGTCTGATCTCGGCCATCCGTACCCCCGTCGACTTCACAGATATTCTCGTCGCCCTATGAAATCTCCCGCAAGATCGACAAGCGGTGGTTTCTATGCAACGAGCATTAGAAATGGTCGAGTGGATGCAGACGGCCAGACAAGAGCTCATTGCAGCAGAGGAGAGGACGAGTAGAGCCCGAACCAGAGTCGACCAAGTCTGGTCTCTGATGCACAGTACAGTCAGTCGTACAGCACAGGAGATCTGGAGGGAGCATGGAGACGAAGACATCGGGCACATCCTCGGATACACCACTAATGGGAGACCCGCATCCACTCCTCGTTCATCACCAGAACCAATTCCTGTTCGACCTCGCCCCCCTCGTTCGCACGTACCTACAGGTCAATCCCCATTATCGCAACCCTCCTTCTCACACGCATCGACTTCTTCGCGTCGCAGTCATCCCTATCGTGATGGACGTACGCATGAACAAGGACCACGAACTGGCCGAAGGATGTGCTACAGATGTGGAGGTGATCATTATGTCCGGGACTGTCCCCGACGACGATGAAGACTACAAATATTTCTTGTGGGACAAGAAACATTAGACGGGAGCTGATGTTACAATGCTCCTCAGTTATGGCACGTCTTTTCTTTTTCCTTTCTTCGTTCCCCTTACTTTACCAGACCACGTGATCCAACACGTGACTCATCGGAGCGTAACCTCCGATTCTCTACCCAAACGTCCAGAACCCCTAGTCTAGGGTTATATCGGATCCAACTCCGGACCTTCCTCTTATCACAACATGCAAGACGTGCATGTATGCCGCATCTTTACCTCGTTCTGATACACGACTCGTCATCCCCATTAGTACTAATTATATCTCACGATCTTACTCAGCTTTCTCACACATATTACTTCCTCGCTGTTACCTTGCCCAGACATCGTTTCACCTTATCTAGCCAATGAACGATCCCGTATTACTGCGTAGTACTGCGGATACCTTTTGTATAAGTAGACGACCTTGTCGAGCTGAATCCCCATCTCGACCTAGTTACCATTAAACCAGCTTTTCACTTGTCTTTGACTAAGATCGACCGCTAGTAGCAGACAGCTACTGCGAGTCATAAGAACGAACTCTGATCGACCTTCAGTGCGAGGACATCGCCAGAAGTGTCTCTTGAACGGACTTGTGTCTTAGACTAAGACCTTGTCTCGTGACGACTCGACTTGACACTCGTGTTTCGCTGCCGCGTAACACATCCTGACATGAGCATATGGCAGCTATTCGAATTCAGATTATGATAGGGCATTCAACTGTAATGTAGATTAGTGGAGTGCATGATGAATCTGAATATGTCATACTGTGAGCAGGCATGCAAGTTGTGGCAGCAAATCAGTTATCCCAACATGCCAAGCTTCATTGACAACAGCGTGGATGCGGAGACAGTTGTGATCAGCATAGGAGACATAGACACCTTCAAGCAGAATATGATAGTGCAGTCATTCTATTTGGTGTCAGTATCAATTGACTGTGCATTTGAAATAGGACTTACTGTGTAAGGCATTGTGCATTATTGAACATCGGAAGAACATACAGAAGATGACACAGTCGTCCATTGCTGAAAGTGTGCTGCCTGACATTGCCTGTGGAGAGACGATGCATTATATCCTGCAAATTAGAAAATCAACCACAGGAGAATGAAGAGCAAGTCATGCTGCAGCATGAGAACACCGAAGTCGCTGCAAGCCCAAAAATGGAGAGACCATAGTACCAATGAATGTTTAGTGTGATAAAAAGCATATGACAGGGTGCATACCATGTCAGACAATCCTATCATTCAGTGCAAACATGTGAACATTGTTGGAATGGTGGATGTCGGGGGAATTCAGCATGCGGTATCCTGAGCTGTGCTAGCTGAGCGCGCAAACTGAGGAATGCAGAATCTTAATGTGTGCACAACTGTACTAACTTTTGTGACACTCATTGTTGAGCTCGTGCCACGCAATACAACACAGTCAGGCTAGATTACAGACATAATAATAACCTGTTTGACATAGACATGTGACAGTTCTATCTACTGCCATCCCTACTTCGCAGCATGCTTATCTCACACCTTCTGAGAGACCAGGGAGCCATCAGTTGCCTCCATCTTCAGATCCTCCATAACGGATCAGTGAGAGGTGTAGTGCCACTGTGTTCTCCAGTCACCTTTGCTTTGCTAAGCAACAGTAAGTATGATGTAGAATGCCAGTCCACGTCCAATGTACAGCAAAGGAAACATCTCCATTTGAATAGCGGCATTCATAATCGAAAACAGGAGAGACAGAGTGGAACTTAATTATACAGTTACTACATGACTGTTAAAACAACAAATACCACTCACATAGCCAAAGTACCAGGCTGCGCGGAGAGAACAGATGATGATGTAGTGGATGGAAATGCTACATAGCACTTGCACTTCGAAGGTGAACTGAAGTCAGGAGGAGGTGCAACTTGGGGAGGCACCGAAGGTCCACCAAGGTTCATAACGATAGACTCGATGCTAATTGCAATCTTCCCAGTAGGGTCAATCAACCAGCATGGACCGAAAAAGTGCACAGTAGATCCCGCAATCGGAACCCGAGCATTCATCCAGTGCGGGCCTACTTGCATGAGTCTGTATACAATATCATCAGTCAATAATGCAAGAAGGAATACATATAGGTGCACTGCATAATAGACAGCCTCGTACTGTTGCGGACATAGTCCGATATGTTAATGTCAAATACCTTGATCTTCTCCACGGGAGCATCACTGAACTTGGCCGGACGTTCAAGCATGCCATACCCTCCACCAACAGTCCCAACACCAAAAATGAATGCAGATGGAACATTCGCAATCGTATCTTCATAGCTATCACTACTCAGATCATGGGGAAAGGGATAAAGGTGAGATGCCTCAAGAAGAACTGTACCACCACTGGAGAGGATATGAGCTCTTGCAAACACCAATGCAATCATGTTGTCAGTGAGGATGACATCATTCATCGGGCTATAGATACGCAGTTCAGCACCAACAGCAGCGGCAGATGCACACTGGACTGTGGTGTCGTAGATGCAATAATAGGTCTTAAATGTAGAATTGGGCTTCGTGCTAGACACACAATGCCCAGAAGCCAGGCAGAAGAAACCACAAATGTTGAGAGATGACATCTGTGCAGAAGGCAAATTGTGGGGTTAAATGGCAAAAATTTGACTTTTAAATGTCTTTATCCTCACCAGTTCAAATGACCCAGTGTGCACCGGTCTCCATACCTCTGCCAAACTGAAAGAATAGAGCTCAGCATGGCTGCATAAAACAGGTATGCAGAGCCACCATCAACATGCAGATCTTCATTGTGCATTCAAAATCTCAGTCGAAGAACCATTCCAAGTCCATGAGAGCACACCAGGTGTATGTGTGGATTTGATACATTAAATGCGCAAATGAGAACCAGACAGCGATACATTGGGACCAGAGCTCACCACTCACTGGTCATGATGTACCCCGCAGATGTGCGCAATATATCAGCTCTTCCGGCCTGCACTACAGCACTTCTCGGCCTTTGGGCCATATCCCAATTTGGCCACTGACCGAGAAATATATCGGGATGTTGGGCATAGCGCTCCTTCCCTAGTCCAGACGGTAGCTGAACTCCTATCCTTGGTAGATCCCCAATGCATCATATAGATTGACATGTTCTTTGATCCATCGGGAAGCCTACATCCTGCCACTCACCATATTCGGACCCACTCAGAATTTTGTGCCCCTTGCCGTTCCCCATTCGCACCTCCCTTCCTGCCTTCCGGTCTCAGCTGTGCTATTGTTTATCTGGTCCGTACGCTGTTCTTGTGTAGTTGTACATTATTGCCTTTATTCTCCATCTTTTTATCTGCATACTACTGTAGCTTTTTGACCAATCCGGATGGGGGTGTAACCACAGATAGTTTTGCAATGATCTGGACAGGTGGACAGGCAGGACGTGACAGCGGATGCATAACATATTGCGGACACCTGCCAGCCATCAGGCCGGCCAACCTGCAGCTATTCATGGGGGTGTTGAAGGCTAACTGTGATTAGCCTTCATCTATCATTAGTATTGCAGCATTCTCTGCACATTGTGAGTGTCCTCACGCTGCAGGCCTGAGAAAATCTGCCTGGAACAGCGAATAGTCACATCTGGACACCACCTGTGTGACCGCGGATAGAGTGTCGGATTCCAGACAGGCCAAGGTCCTTGTGACCTGTGACCATCCAGATTGGTCGAAAACCTACAGTAGAGCTTCCGGTCAACAGGCATAGTCTGCATTTTCGTGTCTTGGATCCAGTGGGACAGACTCTCAAGTTATCCGAGCTATACAGCTCTTCATAGTATGGCCTGCATATCGTGACTAGTGTTGCTGTGACTCCGACCCGAGCCGGTCAAACCAGTTTGTCGGGTCATGACTTGTTCAATTAAGCCGGATCGGATCGCTTCGGTAAATTCCACTTGCTGTGGCTCAGATCACGTGGCATTCTGACCATACACCGGTTGCTGTGCGTGCTACAGTCCGACCATGTAGTACTCATGGAAAGACTTTGAGTCCTCCATGCAGTGTTGTGGCCCTCAGAAAGAATCTGCAGGTCAGTCACACAGTGCAAGCCAGAGTGAAAGCAACCTTTAGATCGACCCGGGACACGGGGACCTAAACGGTCATATCGATAGGCCCCTCCAAAAAATCCATTCACAGTGCGGACTGCGAAATCAAACGCTCCGGAATCTCAGGGTGGTACCACTGCGCATCGGTGTGCCACCAAGTCGCGCCGCCTGGGCCGCTCGCGTCCGCAATCCCTGCATCCCGGCGAGATGCGAAGATCAAGATCCCGCCTTTTCTTCGCAGACCGCCCAAAGGCCGCCTGTGGACGATTTTTTGACCAGGGGCCTCATGATACGATCCTTACTGTAATATTGTGGGTAGCCATCCACGCCATTTCGTGGCAATCTGAGAAGCAAAACCCTGTTCTTCAAGCTCGTGGTGCGGTCATCATAACTGGGGTATTTGAAAAGGTTCGTGATCATCGTTACGATGTCTCACCTTGTGCACTCGGTCTGTCGACCGATGTCTCACCTTGTGCGCTCGGTCTGTCCACCGATGTCGCACTGGCATCCCGAATGACCTTGGCCGCCCGTCCATATCTTATGCGCTTATCGAGTGGTTATCCTTCGTTAAAGCATGAATCCGGAGCCGGTCACATAAGACCCCCGCACCAGCTTTTCCATTCGTTCAGCAAACCTTTCGGGCAGTGGAAGTGCTCAATGGCTCCCTCAAACATCATTGTGCAACGCATTGACAAGCCTAGTGGTCAGTCAATTCAATGTCCGGTTCATCACCATTCACTGATAATAATGCCTGTGCCAGAGGCTATGGTTGAGGAAGCAGTGAAAATTTTCTCAGATCTCATGCCGAAAGGCCAGTCTTCGTGCAACTTCACGAGGATCAACTTGCTCATAAGGTCTTCGTTTAGATCCTCTGGCCATAGCGCTGACGGGCGGAAACCCTACGATCATTTCCATCATGGTCCGCGCAATGATCAAGCCACTGGCCCTTGTGTCTGGAGAAATGTACACCGCTACTGACCAAAGCGGTGTCATGGTAGCCTTCACTCTCTGTACAAGACCTGGAAGGAATCTCTTCGACACGTACGCATCTTACACCTCCCGTATCACCCATGTCTCATCGGACGGTGCAGGGAAGGTCAGTTGGAGTTAGGCTACCATGATCTCATGAAGGTATTGTCGGAAGAAGGCAAAGCTTACCATTCACAAGCAGTACGTAATATCAGTAAACGTGTTGTAAGGTCGTTCATACAGTCCATCCTAGCTCAAGAAAGACTTCCCTGCCTTCATCGATGAAAGCATAGGTATCACTAATGTACATTCCTTTCAAATGCGTTCTCAGTTGGCCTAGATACTAAAGTGCTTGATAGACCGAGCTGAATGGCTACTGGTGCAATTTTGCGTTCGTCCGCAAAGATTATCAAGGCAAAGGGATAGCCAAAGCCCTGTTTAAATTAGCTTTCGACGAGGTACATGTCGAATTGATGTGAGTGTGCAGCGATCAGTCTGACATCTTGCAATTAGGCGAATGGTGAGACCTTCGGGTTGGCCACGACGAATCCGATAAATGTGAGCAACGGGCGTTCGCCATTGTTGTCGACTCTAACGTGCCTTTGCGCAGGTACAAATCTACGAGAAGATTGGCCTGGAACTGAAAGGATATAAGCTCATGAAGTCTCCGTGGATCGATTGGCCTGTCTGGATATTCGCGAAGAAGGTAGAAATAGTGTCTTAGGACTAAGGTCCTCCATGAGTGTACAGTTTATTATTCCCTAGAGACAATGGCGCAAGACGTTATACCAGGACGGACAGTTATACTGTGTGAATTAAGGACATTAGTAGCCATGCCTCCATCATAACTCCAGGGTCTATCACAATCTTACTCGACGTTCTGTGAGTGTTTCTCCTTTGTGAATTATTCTCCGTCCCTGGATGAGTTCCAAATAGCCAAGGATGGCGATGAAGATCCGCGCAAATGTTTCCATTTAGCGAACTGATCCTACAGCTATCGCCTACTCCAGTGGTATCTCAAGTAACATCGCAGAAGCGATTACACTAGACTGTATGTTTGAGCACAAAGTATCAAGGTTGCAGCCTATCGTGCTGATTCCCATTCGCTTTCACGCTAATTTTGTGAACCGTATCCAACAAGCTTAATGCAGGTAACGGTGTCATCTGCCGCCTTGTGTGACTAGTTCACCTTTCGGATTCACTCTTTCACAGTAATACTGTATTTTCAAGTCGTTGAACCCTGGTCACACGCGAGTGCAGCAATGAAAGGAATGATGGCATCGAATACAGACATCTACTCTGAGTGCGTTTGAAATTGTCATGTCGCTAATGCGTGTGATCCTCATACGCGAGCGAAGTGTCCCATGGGTCTTCGTATTCAGTCTAGTGACCTGCGTCCCAAGAGCCTGGTGATTTCCCTCCGCTCCCTAAGCCACGCGGGAAAGGGCACATCCGATCCTTGCAACTTCCCTTCCCGCGCCTCGATGAGATAGTTGGCGAATACAATCATCGTCCCATAACGATACCTGGGTATTATTTAACACGCCTCTTGCCACGACGTAGAGGACATGAACTTACAGGTAATTCACGCCGAGGTCCATCAACTTGGACTGTCGAGCGCTGCCTTTCTCGCTCGCATTCACTTTCAGTTTATAACTAGTCGTCGATTTAGGCCATCAGGTAAATAACATAAGCTCATTGAGAACGCACTCGTATATAGCCTTGCGCAAATTCTGTACGTCTTGCATAAGGTCGATCGCTTGGTCGGTAAGCCGCTTTGCTACCTTCCCATGCGAGAGTACCCCGACGAGTTGCAAGATAACCTTGTACTCTCCTATCGAACATCATCGGTGAAAGCAACTGCATGACAGGGAACGCGGAACGGATACCTTGTAAGTACGCCTCTTCCTCAGAAGGCCCATCAATTAAGTCGTATTGTTCTAGTCCATATTCACTTTCTATTTTTGGTGACAGCAGACCCCTCTCCAATTCATGCTCCCAACTCAGCGTTGTCGAGATAAGGCACGCAGCAATCATGCCAGTCGTTGTGCGACCCCGACCCATCTGGCAGTTGAAGAAGAAATCGCTCACTCTACCACTGACAAGTCCTGAGCGAACGCGCTCGAGCAATTGCCAGAGAGCATCAGGGAGTGGTGCTTGTTCGTCCGTCTACCGATTCATATTTTGTTGTCATGACAAAGACCATAGAAAACATAAGAATTAACGTAGGAACGTACCACGGCAATCCGGGCATAGTCCACCTGCAATCTGTGAGTAGATGCGACCTCTGATGAATGGAACACGCTTACCTTGTAGTCTTCTCTTACCATGAGGTCAAAGACATCTCGCGGTGTCATGATGTCTTGATCAGTGACGTCTTCCCAGATGGGTATGATAGAGAATACACCGGGACGCTCCTCAACTTCATCGTGCAGCAGAATGCGGCCGCCGCCGGAGTGAACTTCGTTCAAGACGTCCTTCTTGAAGTTCTCTTCCATTGCTTCCACCATAGCAGTCGTCACACCAGTAGCTCTGTACCATGGAGTGTCAACGGCAAGGAAAGACATAGTAAGACAATGCTTACTCGACGTTCTCTAATGGCTTGTCTATGAGGCGCAAGACATGAGGTCTGCCAGCGATGTATATTACCGGCTCCTGAGAGATTGTTCAGACAATCACCTTGCCTACGAAATTTGACCTGACCTCTCGCAGCGATGTCCAATAGACCATGTTGTGGCTGTCTGGGCTACAATCCACTCGTGCTAATGCACGCCTCAGCCTATGTAGTGTTATGAGTAACATATATGTATGCTGAGGAAGGAAATATACCCTTGCACCGTGGGCATTCCACTACCGTCCACGACCGTCAGTCACCAAACAAAAATAAAGCAGAGACCAAGACGAACCTTCCACAGACCCACCTACCGTCAGTCACAGTCTCAGTCAAGAAGTCCGCCTGGTCAGGGGCCGACAAGGTATCGGAAGATACTAGGCGGAGCTTAAGTGGGACACGTCGGAAATTAGGTGCCCCCTCTATCCGTCTATGTACCTCTTCAGCAGAGCAGCAACGGCAGATGAGATGCGACTCACTCGGGCAGACTCATCTTCTGCAGGTTTGAGAAAAAATCACTCTTGAGGATAGTTGAAGCAGAGAGAATACTTCCGGCGCGGTTGGTGACGACCTGTCGAACTTCGTCTGGTAGAGCAACACCATCTGCGAAGTCCGCCCGTTCCAAGGGCTGTAGGGTACTCATATCGTCCACAGTCAGCTCCTTTTCAAAGGTCTTAATCACTGATGCAAATCTCACGTCGGTAAACATCTCTGAAGAATGAAGGTGTGAACACACCAGGACGGCTCTTTACGAACGACTCAAACGTTTCAAAGGACTGCATGGTATCTGGCTCGACAGATTGCAGATACGCCTGAAAGAGGATGAGCTCGAAGTAGCGTCTGAGATAGTGCAATCCTGTGATGCATTAATTTCAGTGGGCGTGTCATGATGCGCAAATTGGAGCGAAGATTATACTTGCCTTTGTGTGCGTATGAACGCCTCCGCTGCTGGTCTGTAGCTTGTTCCGCTTGCGCTCTCGCTTCCTCGATGGCGTCCCGCAAGTTCACAACTTGTGCGCACTGATCTATCGCGTCGTCTACAATGCCCTTCACGGCAGGTCCTTTGCGGATGACACGCAGGAGGTCTGGAATATTGGTGCTTAGGCTCGCACTCAGCAATTGAACCAAAAAAAGCATACTGTTGATGACCTGATAGGAATGACGTGATGGTAGATGCCCGTTGATGCCGACGCGCCTTGCAGTTGACGATGAAGTAACCGATCGGCTGCGTACACGCGGTATAGTGGATGATTTAACTCTGGCAGCATCTTCTAGCCACTGCTGTATGAGAACTAAGATAGTCTTTGTACAAATGCAAAATGAACCTCATGGCAGTGCACAATAACAAGCGAACGCTAACTCACAGAAGTCAAGGTGCTCCTCCCGCGCCCAAGCTGACAATTGATTACGATAGGTGTATGCGATCCGCTGTTGCGAACGACCACGTCGATCAGCTCGCTCAAATCGGAGAAGTCTGGCGGCCGTTCGGCCGTTATGGGTATGCGCGCATAGCAGAGCTCAGCTTCATCTCCAATGTGCTTGCGCACAGCCATGACATCCTTCAACACGGAAACATTCTGGTTTTCTACTTCTTCCCAAACTGGTATGACAGCTCCGTCCGGAGTCTCCGTGTGTAGGAGCAGCCTGAAGTGTCCGTGTGCTCAGCATGGACAGTAATACGGTCTGAGGATTACTGACCTGCCTCCGAAGGCGTTCAGCTCCGCAAGCACATCGTCTCTGAGCCGCTCCTCAAGTACCTCCAACCTCGAAGCGGATATACCGCCGTAGTCTATGACCACACTCCGATCACTGCCCATACTCCAGCAGGCAAGTGTTAACGTACCTTTCATGTTGCGGAGCGAGAACCGCTCGCGTCGCAGGCAGTACGGTGCACCATTGACGTACACAATCGGCTCTTCCCTGAGTGTAATCCACATCACGCGGTCCGCGGATGGGTGCGCGCTGCGTACGCGCCTCACTACCTCGTCGATGGCCTCCAGTGTCGGTTGGCCGAGCGCATATATTTTTGTGCCGGGAACATTCCGGAAGTTGATGGCACCTCTCACGCCGTCCTCGACATGATGAGACTGGCTCAGCCACAAGTCGGACTTCAGCAAAGTTCTGTAAATTTGCTCCAGTCGATGACACTATCGCGCACTTAGCAGAATACACTGACCCTTCTCGCAAGATAATCCCACTACGATTCTATACACAATTAATTCATACGTTCAAGCGCTAAGGCGAAGAGACTTACGTTAATGACATGATCAGAATATTCGTCGCCCAGTATCTGTCCTCCAGAAATTGCGACATCGTTCCGCCGTCCAGGAACTAAGACCCCACCTTGAGAGCCCGTCTTGGACAGTGACGAAAGGTCGCTGACGGGCGCGAAGACGTTCAGAATGGACCCATACGATCGGCGCAGAAACATGACTTGGCTAGAGTGCGATGATTTAGCAGAATAAGACTAGCTCTGAAAGGTGTAACTTACTTCCAGATCTCTGACCTTGCCTGTGAAAATCAGGTGCATCAGCCATATGGCTCATGTTCTCGCAGAATAGATATCCGACCTTCAGCCAGCTGGAGAAGCTCTGCGAGAAATCCGGCTGCGTGTCGACGTACTCGGCAAAGGCAATCAAGAAAAAGCTGAAATCATTTAGGTCATTGTTGCTTAAAAGAACTCGAATACACTACGCACTACTTCTCAAGGGCTTGAACGGCCTTTTTCAAGAAGGTATCCCGTTCTGCTTCGTCCATCGTCGTCGTCAGCGAATACTTCACTCGGTACATAAAGATGTCTTCCCGCAAGTTCGTGACATGATCACCTTGTGGAGTAATGTCATCTCACGTCAGAGGTGTAGTCAGTGGTGACAAGTAATACAGTGGCGCACAGGAATCGATGACTCTGTCGACGAGCCTTTTCGACTTGAGTCCATGGTCAAGACAGCCCAACAAACTCAGAATGATACCGTAGTTGCCCATGTGTGCTTTGCGCAGACTCTCAAGAAGCGCGGGCTGAGTAAGGAGCAGTTCAATAGCGGACCGCGAGCTCTTTGTGTCAAGGCCTGTGTCGGAGCGTGTAAGGCGTAAGAAATCATTCCTGACCGAAAATAATCGGGTCGTAAAAAGAAATAAAAGGTCCTTACATTGCTGTATAATGTAGGTGATCCGGAGGAGTGACCTATTGTGATCTTGCTGCGCGCTGGCCTGCTCTAATGCCTGTGCGATCTTCATATTGGACAGCTGTCGACGGCGATGACAGTCAGTCGCGCGTGCATCAGGCGTTGCTGGAGGATATATAAAACCTGGCTCACCTGGCTGTTTGACGGCTTATCAAAGATCGCATGAGCACAACGCGTATACAAGGCCTGACTAAGATCTGTGTACTTACAGTGCTAGTACCCGACTTGATCTTGCCGGCGTACGGGTCGTCCATCCCACGAGCAATCAGAAGCTTCCGTCGAACGATACACGCAGCTACCATGGCGAAGGTAGTTCTCACGACGCCCATACCACAGTTAAATACCAGAGCTGTCGATGACGGATCCGTATGTTGTATGACGCGTAAATATGCATCGAGGTAGTTATCCTGGTGAGCGGAGTGAGTATTTTGATATATCCTGATGAATATGTGTTCCCACCTCTATGGGTCGCTCAGGAGATATCGGGATACTGCGGACATGATCAGTTCGCGTGTTCTGCTCATCAACGAGATGCCTACCGGTGATACTGAGGTGAGCTCAGAGAGTTAGAAGTGGGTAAATCTATAATTTCAGTAACCTTACCTCGACATTCCAGCCGACGTTGTGCATGTTCTCCATTAACTCTCGAGTAGTTCTGACATTTGCGGTGTCGACTGCAGTCCATGTGGGCAGAATAGGGCCATCTCCAGTATCAGAAGCTGGAGAAATTGTCATTCGAGAATAATGATGTTATCAGCTTGGTATCCTTACCGACTTCATTGTGAGTAAGTATTAACCCTCCGAATCTAGGCATCGTAAGTTGATTCAGCACATTATTCGAACAGACTGAAGCTTACTTGTTGGCTTCTACAAGAATGTCATTTTTCAGACGTAGTTCAATAGCTTCCAGATTTTCCGCGCGATCAGATAGCTTCAACGTCCGCCGAGGCTCAGACGCGTCACGCAGAACAAATGGTCGACCAGATATATAAACTTTCAGAAAAAGTAAGCTATGGTCAATATGTGTACCAGAACGAGCCGGCGGAGATAGTCAGGATGCATCGCGACAGACTAAGACGCTGCTACACAACTTCGAGCCTGCACGCATGTACATTGACAGAAATCAGCTCACCTATTGGCTCTTCTCGTGTACAGAACCACACCACATGAGTAGGGTTAGAGGCATTTGGCCGGCAGCGTAGTACGGACAGGATACCACGAAGACCTTGTGTGCGTGGCTGCGCCACGCCGAACACGTTCAGGTTGCCATGTCTGGGAGCTCTGAAGTTCGGGGCTCCGTGTACATTCAGGTCAAGATCCAGAGCGCGTCCTGCAGATTTTCAGAGGTGAATCAAGAGTAAAATGTACGCCATCCATAAGCACGCAGCTAACCTGATGGGTAGTGATCCGTCTTCAAGATGAATCCTCTCGAGAGCACGCTTCCTGTTCGCGTCTTCACAACCGACGGTCCAGACCGTTCGAGCTGAGGCATCAGATCTATAGTCGTACTAGTGTACGAGCTCTCGGCGGTAGCTTGTGCTGATAGACGAGGTTGAGAGGGGGGGAGAGCCATAGCGGGAGGGCGTGACAGGCCAGAAGACGATGGTCTGACGACGTCGACACCGGGAGGTGCGGACGGAGAGCGTCCATTTTCACTACGAGACGTTGACAAGTGTGACAGTTGTGCGAGACCTAATGGCGAGTTGGAAGACATGTCGGACAGTGCGTTGTCGTGGTTAGAGTCAGAAATGCAAACTTATATTCCATCCGCCACTTACGTAGGTAGGCTGAAGATCTTATCTTCACGGATAGGTAGTCCACAGCTGCGGCAAGCGCCGTCTGAAATACAACATTTATTGATCACTGACAGACCATCCCACCAGAGTCAGACCAATATTGGTCAATCGCGTAGTATCTCAAGCCAGACGATCGTTGGTGATAGTCTCGCAAGCCAGACATTCATAGACATTCACACTGTGCCGCTCCTCAGCTCCGCCTCGGAGGCTGCCGGAAAGTAATATGTCGAACGTCGAAAAAACCATGGCAGCCAGCACAGTAAAACATTTGGTGACTTTCGGTACAGCGGGTGCAGATAACTCCCTGGCTTCTCCTCCCGCCGCCAGCTATCTCGTAGCTACCTCCCTTTCCCCCACTATCCTGCTCAGTGATCTGGCGTGGTGAGATACTCAACACGCGAAGTCAACCCACATGAAACAGAATTTGAGTACGAAACATAATACAACGACTAGACAGTGATGCAGACCTGGGCAAAGTCGAGACGAACCGCAGTCCGAGTCTCCGAGCAGACATGTTCTCTTCCATGTACACCATTCAGCGGGGATCAGGCAGGATGGAAGGCAGCCGGAATACGAGGCGCTCAAAGGTGTATGTACAGCTATGGCGTGGACATCGCACGTATCCTCGTCGATGGCCACCTTAAAGATGCATAACACCTCACCTTGATATCCCCCATCCGAGTCGCTCTTAGAATGCACGTTGAGTGCGATAGTCGTCAGTCGACATACATGGAGGTGAGCATCGCTACTTAAGTGGCACTGAGGAAGGGGCCGTGGATGGGTGGTTGGGTGAAAGTGCTGAGCAGCGGCGAATAAATACCTGCTGTATATACAAATTTTGGGAGCGGGTGGGTGGAAGGTAGGAACTAGACACTTTGATCGACGCCGCGTGGTTGTAGAGAAGAAAGTGCAAATGGAGTCACCCATGATCAGAGATGCAAGCCGGAGTTAGTCTCTATGCGACTCACCGCCCTTCGTAGATGTGCTGGAAAGTGTCGCCAAGGTCGACTGATGTGCGTATAAGCAACGGGTCTTCTAGCACAGATAAAGCATAAATATCCATGAAAACACAGGACGACAGTAGGAGATAACTGTCGCAAACTGCGAGCTAGGTTCCTCGACTTTGAATCATTCAGCCTGCTGTGACACAACTGTAACTGCACACTCCCCAACGAGGATCCAACATTCGGAAACAGAGGACTAGGGAAGACCAGACTTCCGCGGTCTCCCATCACAATCAGGAGATATGTAAACGGGTAACGACAATCACATCTCAACAGCTAAACCGCGCGAGGACTCTCGCAGCAAAGAACTTACCAGCTACGCCCTGACTTTAAATTTTATGATGGTCTCCGTCCGGCTAGGCACCAGAAAGGCAGACGGTACACTCTTTGTTTTAACCCTCGTACCTCCTCTGTATCTGACCATCCGGTTCGCGTTCCCGATTAAGGCGTCACACATTCTCGCTAGAAATGTTGGTATGGCACGGCCGTACGTTCTTCACGTTGAGGCAGCAATGAGCACTGTACCGCCGACCGCACTTGGACGCGGTATGTTTGGGGCAGCCCGCACTACCAGCAGCCGGTAGCTACGGAGCCTGGACGACGTACTGTGCTTGGAGTGACTGCCGTCATCATCGTGTGGTAACAGGCTTGCTCGGTGGGCGCAGGACGTCTGCGGATTGAACGAAACTTACTTGAGGAAGGATCGTCTTGGATCGGAAAGGCCGCCTTCGCTCGGTGGCAACAAACCAGCGAACAAGCTGCTGGCGAGCGAGCCTGCATCGGCGTTTCGCCGGCCCCGCAGAACACATGAGGCGTCGAGCACGCAAACAAGTCGTTCGGGCTTGATGCACGAGGATGCACGGGCGATCGACACCCCCGCCTAGGGTTCTCGCCCGCACGAGCCGCACGTCGCGGCCCTCGCGGAGTGAGCGGCCACTGCCCGAGCCAACATCGCGTGAGTGGCGCACACGTCCGCGAGCTGGCACTTACCCGGGTCGCGCTGCCATCCGTAGGCAGGGCGCTGCCAGCAAAAGACGCACGGAACGCGTTCGACGCACATTCTGCACCGCGCGAGTTCGCATCAGCATTTCACCAGGCCCGAAGGACACACGAGGATGCCGGCAGGTCGTCCGGGCAGCAAAACCTCAAGCTCGCTGCTCCTGGAACAGGCGATCAAACCTCCAGCCGCACGGGCACTAGCAGCTCGCTCACACACGTCGCAGCCTCTTGCGGGGTGATGAGTGCGGAACTGAGTCACTCTCTCTACTATAACTGCAGTGCATACGTTGCGTGGGGCGGTACCCGGACCGCGACGCCTGCAGTTCTTCATCCATGGACGGGGCAGCACTAGCAAAAGGGGGGATGGAAACGTTGGGTAAGTATACGCGAATGTTCCCTGTTGGGCTATGCACCGCATCGCGCTGCGCGCGTGCAGCGGCGGGCTCAGCGAAATGACTCACAACGGGGGCTGTAAATAAACGGGAAGACACGAACGATGGTTTCTGATTGAATGATTGATGGCGCTGGAATATTCGGATGCGGCCCGCTCCCGAGCGTCCAGCTGTGACGCGCATCTACAACGGCTCCGAGACCGCCACCGTCAGAGCGCTGTCGCAGCGCGGATTCGAGAAAAGAGAAAGAGGAGAGTCGAGATGGGCGCCGGTGCCATACAGTGGCGCTGGTGGTCGAGCAGCACGTGACCTCGGAACGGAAAGGCACAGACTCGGGATCAGAAGGACGCCGTCCAAAGAGTCCCGCCCAGCGTCCGCGCGCGCGCGTGGCGGCGCAGCGCCACTGTCAAACCGAGGCGAAAAATGGTGGCGGAGGGAGAAAGAGGCCGAGGAGCAATGTCGCCCGCGGGGCGCTCCATCATCGGCGTTTCCCAGGCGCGCCCTGATTGGCTGGGCCTATATGCCGGCTGATCGGGAAATAGCTATAAGGATTCGCCTCCCTCACGCTCTTTCCCTCCTCCCTCACCCCCGTCCTTGCTCCCGCTATCCCCGATCGGCCTGTCTTCCCTGCTTGGCCACTCTCTGCGTTCATATACTCCTCCTCGTTCGTCCATCGTCGGGCGTCCCAGCGCGCCCGACGGCCCGCTTCTCGTGCAACGCGACACTGACACCTTCCCGTCGCGATCCTCGACGCCTTTCCGCCCCCTAGCAACAAGGTTCGGCCCTGATCCACAAGGTATAATTCTATTCCCGAACATAATAATAACAGATACGAATGCTGACACAAAGCCATTAAATTACTTCTATTAAGATTGCAAATAACGTCGGTTGGGGGGTATTACAGCACCAGAACGCACAAATGCGCGGCTGTACGAAACGGTAGCACACAGAACGACACAAAGCAGGTAAGGATTAACTATCGACAGAACCCGAACGGGGGGAACAGCGAGCGCGGAAGCATCTACAATCTCGAAAAAAAATGGAAGCAAAACGGTGAGTAGATCATGTGACTTTTCATAGCAGCAGCAGGTTCCGCCACTGGTTGCACAGCGTCTCCCGCCACTCGACCACCGTGACCAGCGACGACCCGTGGATCGGTGCGCTCCTGCCCCAGATGTGCTCCAGCAACGTCCGCGCCTGCATGATGTGGCCCAGCCCGTCGTCCACCAGCGCGAACCGCTCCTTGATCACGTTTTGCAGCAGCGGGTCCTCCGTCATGCTCCCCGTCAGGAACAACGGGAAGATGAGCGCGCGGTCATAGTCCGACGGCGGGAGCTGGTTGAGCAGCGCCACGATCGTGCTCACGCTCTGCACAATCTCCGGGACACCTGCAGCAGCAAACGCGCAGACAGAACGGTCAGACTCGCTAACCCCGTTCTCACACAGGCGGCGCGTGAACACATACCCCGTATAGATTCGCTCAACACCGTGTGCAGGTATAAAACCGCCGTCTCCCGAAAGATGTCCGCCGTAAGCTGCCGCACTTCCTCCATCGCATACGACCCGACCGCGGACGCAGCAGCGTCCGCCTGCTCCAGCCCCGGCTGTTGCGCGTCCGCCGCTGCCGCCGCCGCCTCTTCGACGTCGGCATACTGCCGGGGCACCGCCAGCTGCCTCAGCTGCTGCTCGATCAGGTCCCCGCGGCGCACGAGCTCGCGCATGCTGAGGCTGCCGCTGCGCTGCTCCGCCGCCTTCCAGTGCGCGAGCGCCGAGATCTCCGCGATGGCCAGCACGGCCTCGTCCGGGCACCCCGTTAGCGCGTCCATGCGCAGATCAAAGTGCTGCTGCTGCGAGTTCGCCCAGAACCCGCCGCCGCCCGCGAAGAGCCGCCGGTAGAGCGGCAGGAAGCGCGGCGGCTGCATGAACGTGATGCTCGAGAAGACGTCGATCCACTGCGCGGGTTCGCACGCGGAAGGTCAGTACATTGGGCGGGGGAGGAAGGGGGAAGAGGCGGCAGGGACGCACCATGGTCGCCTTGGCCGCGTACCGCGCGGCGGGGCTCATGTTGAGCAGCGTGAGCTTGGGGTTTTGCTCCTCGTGGATCCTGCTCTGGCCGAGCCAGTCGCACGCGACCTCGAGCAGCGCGGGCCAGTCGCCCCAGCCGTTGGCGAGGACGGAGAAGGAGATGAGCTGCACGGCGGCGACCGCGTCCGCGTCGGCGTACTGCGCGCCGTGCGCCTTGGCGCGCGCGATCTGCGCGAGCGCCTGGTCGTAGAAGTACTTGGGCATCGACTGCTCCGGGTTCTGCACCGGGGCCTCGAGCCGCTGCGCGATGCGCACGCGTGTAGAGTGTAGACTAGATAATGCGCAGATCGCGTGGGCGACGACGCCCGATGGGTCCGCGGCGACGATCTGCGGAACGAGATCTGAGCGATCGAAGTGTGATTGAGATTGAGGGCGAGGGACTTACGGGGTAGAGCGTGTTGGTGAGCGCGGGCCCTGCGAACGCGTATTGTACTTTTTGGACGTAGTTGAAGTAGTACCCGACGTACTCGTCCACGGTCGTGAACGGCCCCGGGGCGACGTGCGGCGAGGGCAGCGCCAGGCCCGCGGAGTGCGGCGCGTCCGTCTCGTGCGCGGCGGGCAGAAATGGTGTGTACGGTACGGGCTCGGGTACAGGCTCATTAGTTGGAATTGGTAGTGTAGGGGACAGCGAAGCGGGGTGATACGGAAACTCCTGCACGTCAAAGGGTGCGTCCATCGGGGCAACGAACGGCACACCAAGAGGGTAGTGCTGGGCAGTAGGGCTGCTGCGCGCACTGACGGTCCCTGCGGAGGATAAAAGCAGCACGTCAGCGGTGTCTCCGCGCGCGGTGGCGGGGCCGGGGGCATGACAAATTAGCGCGCCACTCACCTCGGCCGTGGACGAGCCGGTGGGGGTGGTGGTAGGGCGACGCGGCGTAGGCGCGCCGGAAGCTCGCGTCGCCCTCGCCGAAGCTGTGGTTGCGCCGCAGGGTGCTGGGGCCGGGCCCCGCGACACCGAGCGGGGGAGGGGGCGGCGGGGGCGGGTGGAGGTGCCCGAAGGTGGTGCGGGGCTGCCCGCGGATGCGGCCCTCGCGCGTGAGCTGCTCCTTGATCTCGGCGCGGTACGCGGCGACGCGCTCCTTGTCCTAGAGCGCCACGGTGAGTGCGCGCAAACACAGACGGAGGCAGGGGGGAGAGCAGGGAGAGAGAGAGAGAGAAGTAGCGGACGTACGCGCATCCAGTCTGGCCGCTTGACGCCCCAGCCGAGGCACTTGAGCCCGAGGCGGAGACACGTCTTGCAGGACTCGCCCTCGCGCTCCTCGTCGCATTTCTGCGGTGCGCGCGGTCAGCGGTGCGCACACGAGGATGGACGGGCGAGACACACCTTTCGCCGTACGCGGCAGGTCCTGATATGCGTGCGTGCGTGCGTGGTCAGACGTCAAGTGGAGGACGGGAAGGGGGAGCGCCGAGGCACGTACCAGCAGCCGCCTTTGCCAGCAGAGTGCGGGCGCGTTGTTTCGGGGGCGGAGCGCGCGGGGGTGCTCGTGGCGCTGCCTCTGCCGGAAGAGTCGCCTTCGTCGAACATTGCTGGTGTCATATTGAGGGAAGGTGAAGCGGAGACGGGAGAGGCATTACTGGACGGCTCGTCAGAGTAAAATTCGGGGGAGGACTGGGCGGGCTCGTCCAGTGCCTGGTGGGCCATGTGGAAGAGAAGAGACGTGACGGAGAGCGAATGATTATAGCGGTGCGCAGTGAAGCATGTAAGTAATATAGAATGCGGAGGCGGGGAGCGGGGGCAGTGAGAGACTCGGCAATTGTGACTGTAAAAAGGCGAGGCGTATGTTCTTGCGGAATGTCAGCGACCGCGAGAACTTGGGAGGATTGTTGTTTTTCGTGACTGAAAATCACCGCCACGCCGGATCGCAGCACGCGCGACGGGCTGGGGAAATAGCTACGGGAGCATATGTTTCGCCGCCGTCCTGTGCGCAGAACGTGCACCCAGAAAGTGCTCCATCACCGACGCCACCCGTTTCGACTCCGATCCCATTCTCCGCACCACCGACCTCCGAACCGCCGTACAGATCCACTAGCCTCCGGTGCTCGTCCTCCGGCACTTCGCTACTACTCATCCTCCTTCCTCTCCGGCGTTCCCAGACCCCGTCACTCCAACGCCACCGTCTTCGACACCCCGTATACGTCTCCGAAGCCCCTGCGATTATGTAAGCCCCGTCCTTCCGGAGCGTCTACCATATCAGGCCAAACCACGTACTCACACCTGTCTTCTCCCTCGACCGCACCATCAATCCTCCTGCCATCTACGAGAGGAAACTTCCGGACGAACGCACGTCTGCCATCTCGTGCCTAGCCCCACAGATCTACCGCTCGAAGATCGCATTATTGCGTCCCGTCGCTACCTCTTCCTCCCTAACAACCGTCTTCTGCACATGCTCCTCACGGCGTCGAGCTGCCCGCGCCCAAAGCTCAAGGCTGCGAGTCGACGTCGCTGTTCGGGACTTGTATGGAGCCAACTAGCTTTTCCGAGGCGATGCCCCCCCAGAGCACGCTGTGTTCCATTTCTAGAGAGAAATAGCTGTATTTCGCACAGCCACCGCGTCCTCGAGTCCAGCGCGAGGAGCGAGGTCTATTTACCAATTTACCGCGTACAGCTCTAGTTGTCTCATTTGGTGCCTTCTGCACAGCTGGACGTCCTCGAGTCGTCAATACGAAGTAGCAGCGGTAGCGACTCTCAGCATGACTCACCATCTCGGCTCATCAACACACCATCTCACCAACGCGAGCCACCGGATGGGCTCGCTGCACGATCCCCACACGTCTGCTGTCAGAGAGAGTACAAGGCGACGACGGGCAAGGTCTGCTGCACGCAGTCACAAGGGACATGAACTTCGCATCAGAAAACGCGCTGCTCTCCGACGTCGACTCGTCGGGAAGGGCACGCGCGAATAAGGCAGTCCTTGTATTGATGACGACGACGACGGCAGGGACCAACCCGCCGCGCTGTCCACGCACGTTCAATTGATGCGGTGCGCGTGCAGCCGTCCCCTCGGAGAGCAGTATCCATCGCTGGCGACGACCGCCTCCGCACACACCGGAGCGCCTGCCCACCGCGACAGCGCGTGTCCGCGACCCCTCATAAAGACGTCCTCGCCGTCCTCGAGGCTCCCAAGCTCTTCCGGCCCAGAAGCGCACGCAGACTCCTCCCCAGCGCCCCCGCTGATCCTGCCACGGCCGAACCAGTCCGCGCCCTCGGACACACAGACGCCCAGACGAAAACCTGTATTCCAGCACCCGATCGAGCCAGATGAGTGTAGGTCCACATTTGCAGCGCGTGCCGAACGCTGAACACGCAGCTTCTGGATCCCCCACCGCCACATCCGAATCACCTTCGTCGAACCCACCACCCTCAAAAAGACCCACTGCCCGCAATTGCAAGGCTCGAGGCAGAAGAGGACCCACTTTCGTATCTCGGGTCCCCCGCACGCAGAACGCAGACGGAGCCCAGGAAACGCCGGTGGAGAATCGAGCGCTTCCTGGGGGCCGGGGGGGACCACGGAGCCTCCGGTGCGCCGGACATTCATCCTCGTTATCGCTGCGAGCCCAAACGGGGCAAGCGCCAGACGGGCGCACGCCGGGGCCCCGGTGCGTGGCTGCCATATCGGTGCGGCTAGGCGCTCATAATGGAAGGCGCCCTCGTTTTGCCTCGTTACGATCGAGTTAATAATGTGGTGGTCGTTGCGGTGCGGTGCGTGTGCTCTGCGAATCAGTGTTTTAATCGTGGTGCGAAGCTTCTTCGCTCTTATCGGCGCCTGTGCTCCCCCGACACTATGATACCCTGTTCTGCGGCCGTGCACGGTGCACCTGTGGTCGTGTGCAGAGGGCAGAGGGTCGACGGCCGATAAGCCCACGGAACGTGTTCGCGTCTTGGAACCGGAAGCCTTCCTTCTCATGATCAGTCTTGGAATAGAACGACGAGCAGCCCGAAATACATCCCGAAATAAAGGAGGCCAACGAAGGTATGTCCGTGCATTGGGAACATAGAACAACAGCTGGGCGGTCCGGGGCGGGGCGGGAATCCGTAGACGGGGTGGTGTAGTACACGTAGCGTATTAAATTTACAGTTACGCTACAGCAGCTGCGGGGGAGCGAGACATAAAACGTAGCATGCGAACGGTCATAAAATTCGAGGCGGGAACATACGTCGTGAACACGGGGAACCGGCGGAGAGCATGAACGGGGAGAGCCTCGTCTGGTGTAATATTTACATTGAGACACTGGAGAGGAGGCGGAGACGCGCACAGCATAAAACACGGAGCAGCGGAAGCAGAAAACAAAGCAAGCAGGAAGAGAGCAGATATGGCGTTGTGCTTTTATTGAATATCGTGGGCTGTAACAGAGAAGTGGATGCGGGAGCAGGAGGGGAGGGGGGTTTTCGCATCGGCGAACTAGACGAGCAGCAGCAGGTCCCGCTGCGACTCGCGCATCACGTCGCGCCAATTGACGGGCCCTCCCTGGTTGCGCTCGCGGCGGGCCCACACGTCCTCCATGAGCTTGCGCACCTCGGACACGTTCCCGACGGACTCGCCCTGCTGCGACTCGAGCATCTTGAGGAGGAACGCGCGGTGGCGCGGGTCGTCCGTGAGGCACCCGCAGATGCATATCCCGAACACGACGCTGCGCACCACGCCGCGCGAGACCGCGGGCAGGTGCGTCGGCACGCGGCGCAGGCACTCGATCGTCTCCGCGACGCCCGCGATGATCTCCGGGCACGACGGGAAGTCGCCGGAGAGGACGGTGTGCAGGTACACGCGCGCGGACGCGCGGAAGATGTCGTTCGTGAGCTGCCGGCGCGCGGCGACGTCGGGGTCCGCGGCGAGCGAGCTCGGGTCGGGCGGCGCGTACGCACCTGCGCTCGCGGAGAGGTAGCGGTTCTCGATGTCGACGCCGCGCTCGACGAGGCGGGGGACGCTGAGGCAGCCGCGCGCGCGGTGGCTCTCCTTCCAGTGCGCGAGGCTCGATATCTCCGCGATCGCGAGCACGATGTGGTTCTCGCAGCCCATGACGGGCAGCATCGAGATCTCGGGCGCGGACGCGAGCGGGTCGTCGATGTACGCGCCGCTGCGGCCAAAGAGCTGGCGGTACGTCGCGAGGAAGCGCGGGACCTGCTGCGTCGTCACGCTCGCCAGCACGTCGAACCACATCGTCGTCTTGATGATGAACCGCGTCGACTCGGAGCAGCGGCGGAGCACCTCTTCTGGCCCGTAGAACCGCGGGTTCGTGAGCACGCTGTCCACGAACTGGCTCGCGATGTCGAGGTACGGCATCCACGCGCCCCGCCCGCCGGTGAAGAGGAACGTCGACACGATGTGCAGCCCCGCCATCGCGTCGCCCTCGTTGTACCGGCTCTTGGAGGACAGGGTGCTCTCGATGCGCCGGAAGATGGCCGTTACGTCCGAGGAGTGAGCGCGCGAGGGGAAGCGCACGCATTGCAGGTGGAGCGACGAGAGCGCGCATGCGGCGTCTCGCGCAGACGAGCTCTCCTGGAGCAGCCTGAGCATGAAGGCGCTGATGGACGAATCCGCCAGCAGATACTGGATGGGGAGCACATTTTGGAGGTAGTACTGGATCATATCAGAGTGTTCTGCGGCGATGGGCAAGGCATAGCCATTCAATGTAGGGGGTATCACAGGGCCCGTCGGGCTGGTGGTATCGTTGAGGTCTTCGTCGTCGTAGGTGAAATTGTAGTACGCTGAGAAGGGCGTGCTCGAAGATGCCGGGGAAAGGTATGTTGAAACAGTTTGTTGCTGTGCGTGTTGCGCAGAAGACGAACCACCCGCCGGGAGCCCTGCCAACAAACGAGGGCATTAAGCACAATACATTCATAATACACTAATAACGGTACGGAGCCTTACAGGACGACGACGAGGAAGACAAGGGCACTAGACTAGTAGAAGACGGTAACATAGAAGTGGATGGTGTGGGATACATGTCGGACAAGTTCGGCAGCATGGTGGTGCTCCGAGCCATCGACGGGTCATGATGCCCCATGTCGGGAATATGGGGTTGCCAGCCTAGAAAAGGTTACTACCGAGCGGGAGCCCATACGAATAGGAATACACACTGGAGGCAGAGTATGGAGGCTCGGGCTGCATTGGGGGGTAATGGGAGCCGTCGCGAACGAAGGACGTTGCGAGGCCGTTGTGTGGCCGGTGGCCATCGCTGGAGCTTGCAGACAGAGTGGGAGTGGGAGGGCTGGAGGGGGATGCGCGCAGGTTGTCGACGAGGACGAGCATCTGCGGCTCCTGTTCAGAGGCGCGAGGGCCCGAGCCAGAATGGCCCTTGATCATTCCCTGGGAGGCGAGGAAGGTCTTGATCTTCTCGCGGAGCTCGGTGACGCTATTGTTCTCCTGCAGGAATGTGTGGCGTCGTTGGCACGCGCCCCTATCTGATGCAAAAAAAAAGCTCACTCTCATCCAGTCTGGACGCTTTGCACCGAAACCGAGACACTGCAGGCGAAGACGGACGCAGGTCTGGCAGGCGCCCTCAGTGTTCGGTTGTTCGTCGCATTTCTGTTGAAAACAAGGATGCGCCACAGGGGGTGGAAGAAAGAAAGGGAGAAATCGGTCAGCGTCTAGCGAGGGAGAAAGGAAGAGTGACGAGCGGGCGTTGGCGCGCAGAGACAGACCTTTCTGCGGATGCGACAGGTGTAGCAGCCCGACTTGGCGCGGACGGCGCCTTTCGGCTTGGGCGCTCCGGATTTCTTTTGGGAGGATCTGAGCTGGGCGGAGGTGGAGGAGACGGACTTGCGGGGAGTCGACGGAAGGTCGGGCATAGAGGACGGAGAAGGTGGCGGTGAGGAGGAGAGGCAGAGGACGACGTCGAGTAGACGGGACGAGGCGGTGGAAGGAGGGAGTGGCCGTATATGTACCCCAGGGCGCTGGGGTGAACCCGTGCGAACTGCGAAGGAAAACGGTCATGTCTTCCCTCCTTCCCCTTCCAGCCGACTGAACCTTACCGCCAGCTCCCCGATCACCCCGCCCCGCGTCCCCCGACGACTCCCGTCTCACCGCCTCGGCCGGCACGCACCAGCCAATCACCGCCCGACCCCTCGGCTTTTTGATCATCTCCCGCCCGTGCCACCTCGCCGAGGGTTGGTGCAAGCCTGGGCGTGCGCAGAGCATACTGAGAGGTCGAGTGCAGCTCACCAAGCACGCCGAAGCTCCAAGAGCAGATGGAGAAAGGTCAGACCACTGCGACGGGCGGTGGCGCCCTCGTGTGCGGTTTCGCGGGGCTGCAACGGTCACAAGGACGCCCATTGTAGGAGCATAGCCGCGGAGATCAGATACCGTATCATGATGCGATTCTACAGGCACGCGCATCGGTCGGCGCACGCCCAGGCCTCGCCCTCGCTGGCGCTCCCATCTGAACATATCCGTCTTAGGCGCGCACAAACCCCGGCACCGCAGTCAGCCACCGGCGCTCTCCCCGGCCACCCCTCCTCGTGCATATCCACCGTGGGAGGCGCCCGTTCTCGACGCTGACAGCATTCCATGCCAGTCCGTGCCAAGCTGCCGTTATCAGTGCCCAACACGCCACCAAACGCAGCTTCCTGAAGGCCTGACCACTCGGTGGCCCACCCAACGCGACATATGACCTCGATGCCACCCTACAGTCCAGAAGACGAGAACCAGCTGGCGCTTAGGTAAAGCTGCGACAACATCGCAACCAGACACAATCAAGGAAACACCGTGTCCTTGACAGATGCCCCCTCGGAACACGATGGTGCGAGCCTACCCCGGTGAATGATGATGGTCGCAACCCTCCGCGGACCCTGTGGTGGCTGCAGAAAGCGGACAGAGCAGATCCCATGTTACCGAATAAACGCTAGTGTACAACGAGAACTCAACTTTGCATCACCCAACGGCGCAGCGAGCAGCGGCACCATTCCCTGAGCGTCCCCGATCCTCTTATCGCCATCACCTCCCACCCAAAGCTGTGCCGGGGGAAACAGCCAGCAGAGCGCCGAACATAGAGATTACCTTTCCGATGCCGCTTCCGCTGGAACATTCGCCGTTCCCCCACTCACGCTCAGCCGCCGAGCAATCGAGTCCTTCCGCCTCCCTCCTCCTGCCCCCCCGCCCGCGCCTACGCCCACCCCGCCATGTCCGTGTTCCCCGATCGGAGGATGCATGCTAGACGCCAGCACCTTCCCCGACGACGCGGACGCCACCACCGAGTCCCCGGGCACGACCCCAGCCCCAGACCGCCGTGCAATAAGCGCGCGCACCGCACTCAGCCACTTGATCTCCTCCTCTTCGCTCGGAGCACACAGCAGCAACGTCCGCTTCGTCGTCACCACCTTGAACGTGTGTGCGTGCGCACGCTCGCCCTCGTCCCCGTGCATCGCTGCCTGCGGTGGCGACGCCACCCCCGGCGACCCCACGCCCACGCTGGGCGTGTGCCGGTCGTGAGGCAGGTCGTATTCGAGTGCGTCCAGGATCTGTCCAAGAGGTATCTGCCGGTGCGGCTTCGTGTCCTGTCGCGGGCGTCATCATCAGCATCATGAGCAGAAATGGATAGCCACAGCCACGTTCCCCAAGCTCCGCGACCGGTCGCAATACAGACAAATGGAAGCCCGAAGCGTGGCACTAATGACTGAATTGCGAAGGCGAACTGAACACGCACCATGTGGCTGCGCGAGTAGACGAGCTGCTCGCCGCTGAGAATGAACCACCGTTTGTGCCAGTTGTGCCTGCGCGACGCGCATTTCATCAGGTACCCTGCAAGCACGACTTTTGATGGGTCCTTGACCCCCCCTGGGTACTTGGATGGCGAGGATAAGAGCTCGCTCTGCACCGATAGCGGCTGCGGTGGGGCAGAGGCGGTGCCGATATTGCTTGGCGAATTGTCGTCGGATTCGGACGAGGTCAGCTGATGGGTGGTATATGCAGACTGGGAGAGCGAACGTGATAGCTGTGACGCAGCAACCTGTGTGCGCGGACCGGATGTCGAGCTAGGGATGGGCACCGGAGCCGTGGCGGATGACTGCGTCGAGGTGGAGAGCAGAGACGTGCGGGCATCGTTGATCGCCCTCACCCACTCCTGCACGTTCCTGGGGCTTTCGGCCTGGAGGTAGAACGTACGTGTGGGAGAGACCAGGCCGATCGTGTTCGCATGCTTTTTGAGCACAACAGGCGTGCACGAGTGTATGTCGGAGAGATCGAGCAGACGGAGGAGCTTGTACTCCGCCTCGGTCTTGTAGAACGCGAGGTGGGCAGAGCGCAGGACGAACCACCGCTTCTTCCACGTCTGCACAGGCAATTAAGAGAGAGACGCAGCGCGGCGCCAGGTCAGCGTCAGCGCCCGGTGGCGAAGCGCGACGGGCAAAGTCTCACCTTTCGCCGCTCGCCCTTCTTCCACAGGTACCCGGTCTTGATCACGGTTTCGTCGAGGGAGGCGCGCGTGTGCGCGCCCGCAGCGTCCCTGTGGCCCTCGCCCTCGCCGTAGCCCTCGTCATCGTCGTCGTCCTCCTCCGACTCCTCGCCGCTGGCAGAGTGCCGCTCCGCGATGGACGAGAGCGGCGGGTGCTGCGAGGAGCTGCTGAGTAGGGACGTGGACATGGGGGCGTTGGCGGGGTCTGAGCCGAACGCGGAGTCCGAGTCAGACTCGGTGCCCGATACGGGGATGGGCACGATGGCGGTCTTCTGCGCGACGCGCTCTGTGTCAGATAGGCTGGCGCTGAAGGGCAGCGGTGGCGAACGCACCTTTGGCGGCGACCTGACTATGGAGAGCTTGCGCGCGATTTCCTGGCTCGAGGGTGGCGGGACAGTGCGAGAGGTAGACATGGTCAATATTTGGGTATCGTCGTCGTCGTCGTGGTGTGCGACGAGGAGAGGAGAATGGGGAATGGAGAGTATCTAGGGCGATGATGCAGTTGCAGAGGAATATGTGAATGCGCGGGTTCGCGCCTGTCGGAGCTGTGGCGGAGTTCATTCTGCGCCACACGAGCCACCCGCCCTTTCCCAGACGGGCTGTGCGCCCGCGCGCATTTTTCAAGCGAGCCAGCATGGTGAGGGTGAGCATGACGACGCGGAGACGGGTGTTGTTGTTACGGTTTGAGAAGCACTTATATGCTCTTCTACCGCATGTTGTGTGCGTCTTCCGCCACCGTTCGCGCTTCGTAGCTAGGCTCGGGCGGAGTCTCGGCGCGCACACAGAATCGCGGTTCCGAACGATCTCTCGGACGGATGCGGTGAACAAACGGAAAACACAAGGATTAATATTCTGTCTCGAATCATGTCAATCGCAGCCATCGATGCTTGGGGCAGCGCACTCGCAGCTTGGGGTCGCTGGGGCCACCAGTGCAGGCTATATGTAAGCGGAGTCTGCCGGATGCGCACTGATCACCCTCCTAGTCCTCCACACCCACACCAGCATCCTCCAGCACCGTCTGCACCGCCGCCGCCATGTCCGAGGCCAAGTTCAACAAAGCCGTCGAGATCATCCAGAGCCTCCCCAAGGACGGCCCCGTCAAGCCGACGCAGGACGACCAGCTTTACGTGAGTCGCCGCACGCGTCCGCGACGCGCCCTGCTGATCATCGTCGCGCCATCGTGCAGTTCTACAAGTACTTCAAGCAAGGTGCGTCATCGTATCCACGCTGCATCACCAAGCACGGCGCGTCCTGACGAGCGTGGGCGCCTCTCGCAGCCACTGTCGGAGACGTGAATACGCCCCGCCCGGGTATGCTCGATTTCACCGGCAAGTTCAAGTGGTATGTAAACCCCGTTGATTTTCTCCATGTCGATCTCGAACCCGCGTCCTGACGCGCGCCCAGGGACGCGTGGAAGTCGGTCGAGGGCACCCTCAGGGAAGAGTGCTGGACCAAGTACGTCGAGAAGCTGATTGAGGTACGCGCTCCTGCGTGATTGAGCCTTCCGGACGCTCACCTGCCATGCGAATGCAGATCCTGAAGCGGGCAGACGACGAGGAATCGAAGAAGTACCTCGCAGAGGTCGAGTCGGTGTAGATGGCTGGCTGGCACGAAGCAAAGCCCGTGCTGTACTTTTCCTAGCTCGTGTTGTATGACTAGAAGAGAACGCGACCAATACCTTGACACCGTATGCGTCCGACTGACGACCAGTTGCAACAATCAGCATCGAATGCGTCGCTCTAGGACATCCAGCAGGCCGTCGCCACGATTCCAGTGCAATGTTACCATCTGGCAGCAGGCTGCTCCGACCGGTCGGCTGTTCCAAGAGGAGAAACAAAGGCATTGCAGCAACAGCGATACGATACGTGCTCCATGACGGCATCCCGCCTACCATCCAGTCCTGAGGCCTGAAGGCTGACAGATCGTGGATTGTCGGTAAGTGGGTAAGTGCACATCACCACGGGCGGCTGATGCCCGCGCTTCCACTTCCCGGGCGTTCCTGCTGCATCGGACGAAGCCCAAAAGACTGTCGTACTACGGAATACCTTCCGACCAAGTCTGCGGGCCGCGATGGGTAATTCGAGTTAGTGCGCCATGCGTGCAGCGGCTGCGCTGAGCGCTCAGTTACGATTGCGGCGAAATCTGATATCTCCCAGGTTCGAATGGGTATCATAATGGATCCGTCCGGACCCGCGAAGGCAGGATTGCAGTGTTGCACGGACCCTTGCTGACTGTCCCCGTAGCCAGTGCCGCTGCGTCGGGAGATGACAAACGCCCGTCGGCATCGCTGACCCACGTACCTGCCCGCCATCAGCTTCGCGACTTCGCTGGGGTCGGTGCTGCTGACTAAACGCCCGAGGATTCCTTTCGGGCGGGTCGGCCGTGCATATTGCCTGCGGCTGATAAAAATAAATATTCGTCGATGAGGAACACCGGCGTGGCGACCGGCGCCGGGACACGCACTGTGATCTCATCGCGCAAAAATAACCTGGCCAGCGCGATCGGTGCGCCTATCTATTTGGTGAGTAACTTAGTTCAAGTGCGGGAGAGACTGCGCCCGGTGATTTCTGCCAGTGCAGCTATGTGCTAAACGGTATCAATTCCAACTTACGGCCTGGGTGTCAGCTGGACATGCATCGCATGCACCGACGTTGCGGTTCGTCGAATTTTCTAAATTGCAATAATTTGTATTCAGTTCGGTAGTAGTCAGCCAACAGTGACGAGCCGGTGCATGGTAGCGATCATAGGCGCATATGGAAGATAATTCTCGTGGTGCCATGCTAGCTGTACTTTGTTCAGATGCTGTCGTAAGATGCGAGACTGATCGGCGACAGCGCTAGGAGCAGCGAGCGCCTGCAGATACGAAGATTCTCCCTTGTACCTCCAACGAGGAGCGTCAAGGTGCGGCCAATCTGGAGCGCAGACCCTTCGATAAAATTGATGAGAGAAATCGTACAACAACAGTATATTTTTCCATGATAGTCTTCTGCACTTGAGCGTTCACATGGTACGTACACAGAAGCACAGACAAAAGAGAAGAACGGGAAGCAGGTCGTAAGCAAGATGTATCGAGTTCGTAAATCATGAGCATCGTAATATTGTCACAGAAGGTCAGAAGAAAGGCACGACAGAGGTATAACTTAGGCCGTAAGATAGGGTGTGCCCAAGGAACGGGATATTCTAGTGTTCGCGAGCGGAGAAAAAATCCTGAACGGACAGAAAACCGGCGAAGCAGGGTAGTAAGGCTATGTGGAGTCGGACCTTCTTTGATCAGGATTTGCGACGAACAGCGAGGGCTTTGGGACCACGCCATACGTGCTCGGACGGTCCTTCCGGATGCGTAAGGGCGCAGTATCCTCCTGCTGCGACATGCGCCGCTCAAAAGCCTCCACACGCGCAGCAACGTTCCCTCCTGCTGCGAGGCGCTTCGGGGGGCTTACCTGAGGGTGACCTGGAAGGGCGGGCAGCCTCGACTGGGATGCCTCAGCTTCCGTCGTTTCCATGGGCGACTGCACGGGATTCAGCACTTCGTCGTCGCCGCTGGCAGGGAACATAGCAGACTGCGAGAGGCTCAGCTGGCGCTGAGGGGCATCCGCGTCGCTGTAGCTCTGCGAGTCGGTGCCGGAGCCGCTCGCATGCGACGTGAGCGTGCTGTTCATCGCGATGTCCATCGTGCGCCCCATTTTCTCAATCATCTCCGAGTCCGCGGTCTTCGACGTCTGCAGGGACGACGCGGAGCGCCCGTGCTGCGTGTTCGAGTACAGCCGTGCACGAACGTGGCCACTCTCCTGCCGTGAGGGTGGGGAGTCGGGGTACGTGTGCGTCGACTCTTCGATGGGGATGAGCCGTGGTGGCGGGTTCGGGTCTCGAAAGTCGAGCGGTCGCGGAGAGTCTCTCCTGCTGCCCACACTCAAGCGCCGATCCAGAAGAGGTGTTTTCGCAAAGCGGGTCCACCAGCTGTCTGAGCGGCGCATCGGCTGCGTGGGGGAGGGGTTTGCATCGAGGATAGAAGAGGGTCGAGGACGCAGGGAACGGGAAGTCTCAGCCGAGCCGCTAGAATGATCAGTAGAACTCGGCCCTGCATTGAATGCAGTGAGGAGAGACGAGTCAGATGTTGTCACAGGATTGGAAATTGTGGCAACAGAAGGATGTTCCGAGAGCGGGGAGAGACGAGTCACGTTCACAGGAGTGGGTGGGACTTTGATGTTGGCAAGCGGCGGTGGAGGGGGGTCTGAGAGAGACGGAAATCCGTGGTCCGCAATGTCCAAATCTATATCTCCGCCCGCTTTGGTTTCCTCGACGTCGTAATCGGCAAATGGATTCTCGTAATGCGAGTACGATGTTCCTATTGTCGCTTCAGATGCCTGTCGCCCACCTCGCGGTCTTGCGGCTCGTCCGACGGGTGCACCATTGATCAAACCCACGTCGTCTGCGACAGGAGTATAGGAATTCTCCTCCCACCATGCTGTCGACCGAGATCCTGCACTAGCTTCTCTCGACTTCAAGCCGCGCGATCCAGTAGCATACGCTAGCATCGTGCCCCCAACGGACCGCAGCGAAGCCAACGACTCGCTTAGGGAGTCCCCGATACCGTGATGCCTGTGGGGAGCGCCTGAACTGCTTGAAGACTGCCCACTGCTTGTGTCTCTGCGCACGTTGTACCACGGTACTGCATCCTCGTCGGCCAGCATATCACGCCGCTCTTGCTGTGGCAAGGGGCGGCCGGGAACGAGAGCTCCAAGCTTACTCTTCACGTTCTGAACAACATGAGGCAAGGCCTTCTCGCGGCCTGCGACAAGTACATCGGGACTGCTTTCGTTGTCGGAGCCTCTCAGAGCATGGAAGCGGTCCTGTGCAAGCTGCCGCCGGACGTACCATGTAACCGCAGTGGTACCCGCGATAAGTCCCAGGACTCCGAAGACAGTGCTTAGCGCGATGGTCGAGGCATGACTACTGTGCGCAGATGGCTTGCCGCTGCTGCTACCGTTACCGCTGCTTCCTCCACCGCTTCCTGAGCCACCACTGTTCGCCCCACCGGTTGAACTTGGAGGATCGTCACCTGCTGTACCGGACGCGCCACCAGACCCGCTACCCGAACCTGAGTGCTGAGGATCTGACGATCCAGTTGGACTTGAGGCCTGACCTGTTCTGCTGGGACTAGGCCCTGGGATCGTATGTGACGTGGGGTTGGTCACAGAGGAAGAAGGCGTATAGGTCGAGACAAATGATGCCGACGGAAGGTCGAACAACTCAAGCGCGGCAGGGGCAGCACCATTATTGGCATACCCTTTGCCAAACAACGAGTCAGATAAGTGTAAAGGAAGGCACGAGGCAGAACCTACCGAACCCAAACAGAACCTGAGAACCTAGTCCAACGGCGAAATGATCCCGCCGCGGTCCAAGCTGAGATAACGTGTCGATAGAAGACCACACCATCGGGCTTCTGGTCGTGTCGAGAACCCACCCGTCGCTGAGTGTCGTCTGCATTTCTGCGTCGGCTCCGCCATGAATAACGACCTGCCCTCCTTCCAGAAGAGTGGCGGCGAATCCCCGCCGAGGAGAGGGTACACTTGCATTAGACACTGACAACGTAGCCCAGCCGAGTGTAGACTGTGTGGTATCCATCGCCCAAACTGTGGTGAAAGGCAAGAGGGTGTTCTCTGACTGACAGTATCCTCCAAAAACAATGAGCCATCCGTTCGAGAGGACGATCGACGCGTGGCCATAGATGTCAGGGGGTCCGTTCGTGGAGGGCAGCTGAGTAAATGACGGTGTCTTAGGGTCGAAAACATAGTGGTCGGAGTACGCATTGTTAGACCCATCCGTCTTCAGCCCACCAACGATGTAGATTTTTCCGCCGCTGGAAGAAGAAGAATGATACATTCGACGCATCGGTTCGTCGGCCCAGGAATCTGCCTCGAGATACCACACTGGAGTCTGAGCACTGCTGATGCCTACCAGCGCAGCAGAATCTGCACTCTCCGGAACAGGTGCAGTCGTACCAAGGTCTCCGCCGAAGAGCAGAAGCGTGGACGTATTAACCGCGGATAGAGTGTGCCAAACCACCGCGGGAGCCTGGGATGAGGAACAGTTTGAGCAACCGGCAACATAGTCCCATGGCGGTGACGAGATGTTGAATGATGACGACAGGAATAATGAGAGTACATCGTTGTTGACGGGTGCGGACGTGTATGAATACGAATTGTACAGATCTGTCCTGCCGCCAATCACGAAAATTATGTCCTCGACAAGGGCTGTAGCCTGGCCCCATCTTCATATTCACACAATTAATTACATCCCTTGATACTTCAACACCCAACTCACCTCGATATCGGCGCGTATTGGGCTGAACAGAACTCATACACGAGAGAAAGCACGGTGAATGCGCGGAGAATAGCTCCCATGGTCAGTAGCGTGTGTGGTCGACGTCAAAGTTGTAAAGAATGCATGAAACTTCTTCTCGTCGTTACAATAGATCGTAATGTCGTCAAATCCAAGGCCAGCCAAGAGTAGGGAGCTCTGGAGTAGCGGATGGAGTACTACCACCGTGACACCGCGAGACTCCCAAGCGCCTGGTTGGATTCCGATCTAATCTTATCGGGTCAGGACGGGCCTCGCTCAATCGTATCGACGCAACCGTCGAATTCTCTTAGAACATCTAGCATACACGGCTCTTCAAAGCAATTCAATACGATACAATGAGTCCATATACGCATACAAAACACCACCGCAAAGTTGCCCGGATAGAAACCGAACGCGTAGCGTGCTTCCGACATGCAGCTGAAAGTAATCAGAACCTCCAATGCATAGCCTTTTTGAGATTTTGCCAGCGTGAAAGCTGAGCCTTTTCGGTCTCAGGGAAAATGAATTCCCACCTGTAGTGGATCGGTAAGGAGCGAATAGCAGAAGCGGGAAACATCACTCACTTGACCAATAGGTCCCCCTTTCCGACAACTTTTTCCCTTTCTCGGATGGGCATGCCAGCACCGATGAGGCGTGTCCCATCTGCACCTTCGACGAGTGTGCGAGGTAACGGGAGTGCGAACTCTTCACCGTTCATTCCCTGCACGAGTATTTCCTGCTCCTCGGTTCCTGAGTCACTGTATTCTGAGTCGTTTCCAGTGTCTCTGCATGGTCGCGAGTGGAAATCCACCCAAGGTACTTGAATAGTGTAGACAAGATCGTCTTCTACTCTCCTATACCGCGGATGAGGTGCTTCTTCAATTATGAACACGATATCCTGGAACGACCCGTCCTTGCGTTCATTGCCACCGCCTGGCACGCGGATCTGCTTCCCTTTCTGCCAGCCCGCAAGAACGTCAACGTCGATACGCACGGTCTCGTTTTTACCAGACCACAGCGTTCGAGTGATGCGATAGTGGTGTCTGGCGCCGAAGTACAGATCATCCAGCGTGACCTGCAGAGGAAATATCCAGTCCTGGGCGAGATTGCCCTTTGAAGCGGGCGATCGGAGAGGGTTGATCGGATCGCCCACGATGTGAGCCTTGTGATTATTTTTGCGCAGCTTCGAAGCGTCGGAGAAAGCGGCGAACTTCATTTTGACAAAGTCGCTGTGAACGTATCATTAGCTCAAGTACAATTGTGGGGGCGCCGTAGTACGCACTCGTCGTCTGACCATTCGTCTGACTCATAGCCATGCGAGTGTGCATATGAACACTGAGATGGATGTTTCTTGCTTTGAGGAGAAACTCGTGCACGACGAGGTGACGAGTGATGAGAAGTGTATTGAGGCCGTCTGGTATGAAGAAGCACCGTGTCAGCAGACCCGATCGCACAAGCAGCAACGCATAAAGAGCGTTCTCCTCACCGATCATCTCCATGCGGTCTGTTGAGATCTTCTTCTGAACTCGACGACATTCCGGACGCGCTGGAGGCTGAAGACGACGCGTGTGCCGATGATGTGAACCACCGAGACGACTGGCTGTCGGTGTGCTCTCTTCGCCTTCCATCTTTTCTCTGGTTCTCAAGGTGCTTCAACAACGTCCGATAGGCTTCGTTGATCTACGAAGAATACGCAGACATCCTTTCAGATATCATCTTCTGACTGAGAAGAAAGGTAGACTCTCACTTCGACGAACTTCATTTGGGCTTCTTCTTTGTCAGTGACATGGCGGTCAGGGTGCCATTTCAGAGCCTACAGGAAACATCAGGAATTGGTGAAGAAAAGCAGCCGTACGACATACAAGTGTTTTGTATGCTGCCCTGAGATCTGCTTCTGTCGGATTTGCTGTCAGTCCTAGGATCTCGAAGTCGGTAGTCTTGGGTACAGCTACAGGCATTTTGAGCAGAAACGTCGTCCGCCAGCGAACGAATTCGTAAGTGTGTCGTACAGAGACTTAAGAGACACAGAGGACCAGCCAGTGGTCGGTTATATGTGATGGTGTAATCTAAAATGAGGCCGCAGACAAAGAACCATCGGATCTGCTCAACCACGGAGCATGATGAATTAAACGAGATGCACGACTCTTCCACCTGGCCTCGTGGTAAACATGCTGAATGTGGTGGCAGGTGACCGGTGACCGGCAGTACTGCTTCTGCGCAAGCCTCCGAGGCTTTCAAAAATTTCCACCATCAAACTCAGCAACCCGCGAGAACAGACCGAGGCTGGACAAGGGTGTTGGGCTTTTCTGGCACGTCCTGGTGAAGAGGATATAGTCTGTCTAAGTACGTTGCGTTGTCGCCTGCGGACTGCGTTTCGGCTGTGGTTAGGCACAAATTGCAAATCACTCATGTCTACACAGCCGCCCATGTGGTCTGCACGCAAAAAGTGGAGATAATACACGAAGCTCACGACCACAAACGACCACCTGAGGCGGATGATCCTGATTTTTTCAAGGCTCCCCAAGAGTAACAAGCTAAGAGGGAATGATGCGAAGTTGATACCGCTACATAGCTAGACCGAGAAGATATTAATTCATGATCAGAGCGATTGTCGCTGCCCGACACGGCGTGCACTGGCAGAAGAAAACTCTTCATTGAAGATTTCTTGCACGTGACTTTTACGCGTCGCGTTTCCCACGTGCACCGTGTAGTTTCCTGCGCACTGGCTGGCTAAATTTTCTACAAGATGCATAATTTTCGCTCTATGTGATAGTCATCTTCCTTTTTGGTTCGAATCAACTTGGGTAGTCTATTGGTCACTCGAAACTCGTCTGGAGACATGTCGGCGACTGCTACCAGAACTTCTGTACCGCATCGTGGTTCTGCAGTCTTGCGTCTACTTGCCCACCTAACACTTTGTGGCTTTCTTTGTCTAGACTCAGACCCCGACGTGTTTCCCGACGTCGAAATTATCTAAAAAATATTCTCACTAAGTGACGTAAAACACGCTCGGGAAAGGTGGAAGAACTGATGACCAGCTTGCAGGCGACCAACATCCGGCGGTGGTTAGTGAGTTGTCTGTGAATGAATCTTTTTGCCACCAAATTGACGATTGAGGAGGTTAGTTCGCATCTCTACACATGTTCTACTAGAAGACTTCCCTCTTCTCGACCGCTGGTCGGTGTCAGGCAGGCAAATCACCACGCCGTGGGCTGTCTTGAGGCTCAGACTGACACAGGCCAGCGAGGCAAGAGCATTGTGCGAATAGTCCGCCAACTGGTCCTGCTGGGATTTGCTCCCGTTGGCAAGGAAAGAAATTCCAAGGTATTTCGGTGATGGAAATCCTAGCTGTGAGGTGCGCATGGGTACGGCGTTGCCGTGGCCGGGAAACTGCAATACGTACGTCGTACTCATCATAGAATCACGTCTGTCTACCAATGTGGGGTGTTCACTCACGGCAGAACCCTAATGCCGCTGCCAACCGAGATCAAATTGGTGCTCTTGATGCTCGTGGATTTTCTACATACCGAGTGCGCCCTTTCCTGGCATCAGTAGTACAATAATGTGGCAGTACCTCAGCCGACAGGACGGCCTCGTTTCACGACATGTTGCGGCCCCAAAATCCGTTCAACGAGATCTGCGGGTCACAGGCATTCTAGTGCATCGTGCGGAGCCGGCGGACAATTCATTTTCGGTGATTCACTGTTTCCCCCGCATTCGTTGCTCCCTTCCATGAGGTTTTTGTCCCCATTTACGCAGATGTGCTACTTGATGCATCTCAACATCGTCGGCCAGTTCCGACCATTGTTCACAGCGTTCCTAGAGTCGGACGCATTTCCGTCATATCAACTCCGTGAGCAAAACTCCCGGTATTGTATCCTCACTGCTCTTATCGACGATCTCATGGGCTTCTTCCCTAGTCCATGCATTTCGAGTGTGTTTCGCTCGCTCTAGCAGCCGTGAAGAGCAAAACGCCTCAAAATGAAAACGAGTAGTCATCGTGCTACTTCACATTCCATCTGCAAATCTCACAGCCGAGCAGGTCGGTCGCACAGTCTGCCCTTGTCTTTTGCGATTGGTATTTACTTCGACACGTTCCCATCGTTTCTTTCTTCACTGCAGCTCTACATCATGTTCATCAAAACGACGGCCACTCTTCCAAGGTACGAAGTCACTACGAACACCAGCGTGTTACAAGCTTCATGGCATTGACAGGTGTGCGATATGACGAGAATCTCACGGCTTGAATATGATTCGGGGAACATCCTGTATCAGGAAAGGTTGCCTTACTACCCCCGCACGCCGGTACCAGAAATCTGATTACCTTGCTTGCGAGGTCTCTCCACCCTGTCATGGAATTGTCACATTTTTCAACTCCCAGTTCCTCTCATGTGTCGGAATCCTGCACAACCAGTCCCAACTCGGTGCAGCATCTCAAGCTCAAGTTCGAATCTGAGGAGTGACAAATTTGGCAAGCAATGTCTCTGCACTTCCCTTGTTATTAAATAAATCCACATTGCAGGTACACTACGGTTATACTGTAACATTGTTATTGAACGTCCTAAAAACAGTGCACCCACTTCATCCCAGCACTTTGCGAAGGCCCTCCTTCTGCGCAGCTGTGAGGCGGTCTGGGAATGTGATATCCCACTTGACGATCAGATCTCCCCTCCTCCTCACACTGCTGTCCTTCCGGATCGGCATACCTTCGTTCGGCACGGTCGTTTGCGACCCAGGCTTCACAATGCCACTGGGAAGGGATACCTGTAGCTTCCTTCCGTCGAGCTGCTCGACGGTACGCTTGCCGCCATCGCCTGCGAGGGCATCGACAAGGGGTATGGATACATGGCAAACAAGGTTGCTACCCTCACGCACGCACCGGTCGTGCGGCTTCTCCTCCACGACGAACACCAGGTCCTGCGGCTCCCCAAAGGGCTGTTCGTTGCCCGCACGCTGGAAGCGCACCTTCGTACCGCTCTTCCACCCTGGTTGAACATGGATTTCGAGCACCTTCTCTTCCGTACCGCCGTGAAGTAACTTCCGGCCCACTTTTAGATGCTTGACGGTACCGGAATAAAGTTCCTCCAGCGAAACTTTCAAAGGGCGTGTGATTTCCGCCGGGCCGCTGGCTGGTACGGGAGTGGGGGGACGTCGAGAATTGCCTGACGGTCGACCAGATGGCATTGCCCCTGGCATGCCGCCAAAGTACGTGCCCGACATGTCGTCATCATGGTCACCTCCAAACATGCTGGTCGTGTTCCTCCTGTTACCGCCGCCGCCGCCGCCGAAGCCACTCATGCCCCCAAGTCCACCAAGTCCGCTCATCCCGAAGAATTGCCTACAAGGAAGCATATTAGTACGTAGTCCCATACAACGTCTTGCAAAATACCCACTCGAAAATCTTGTTAGGATCTGTCGGTGAAAAGCCGCCGCGACCGCCCGGACTCGATGTGAACGTGAACGTGGATCCTCCGCCACCGGGGAATCCGCTGAACCCAGAGAAGCTGCCCCCAGGACCGGCGCCAGCACCTTGTGGTGGCATGCCGCCGCCCTTCAGGCCCTCCTCACCGAGCTGATCGTAGATCGTTCGTTTCTGCTTGTCACTGAGTACTTCAAACGCCTCAGAAATCTAGAATATAGCATGAAGCGTTAGCAATCGCATGTTGCACATTTAGATCAGTGCAGCAACGTGCTCACCTGCTTGAACTTCTTCGAAGCTTCCTCTGATCCGCCATTGCGATCCGGGTGCCATTTCAAGGCCTGAAGTACACCTATGAAACCAGTCTGTGACGCGCATTAAATATGTTGCACTTACCATTTTCTTGTACGCCTTCTTGATTTCGTCGTCGCTCGCATCCTTCTCTACTCCAAGGAGCTTGTAGTAGTCAGCGCCCATGCTTCGTTATGACTGACGTAATGAGAATAGAGAAAAGGTGGTGTGCGTTATGAATCGAAACTTGAGGATAATGATGTTGCGTAGAGAACGGTAGGACGAAGATAAATATGAGAACGAGGGGTATACATGTCGTCCCAGAACACACGAGAACGTCCTCGAAACGGAGCGCGCTGTGACGTTCGTCATATATTACGTAACTCACATACCCGTTAGGCCGGGGGAAATATCGTGGGAATCTGGAATTGCAGTCTCGGTGTGGCGAACTACTCTCCGTCTTGGCACTGGCAGAACATTCGCGCTCGCTGTTCACGATGAGTTCGACGGCAGAGCAAATACCGAGACCCCCACGTAATGGAGGCGTTGTTGAGGACGACCATCGTCGCGATTCTCTCATTCGACGATCATGGTACGCAATGTCGGACTTGCTTTCGCCCTTCTCTTCCTCCGCGCTAGCTGCACTGCCAAAGAGATTCAGACCCCACCCTCGCTATACTCGCGCCGACCACATCCCAGATACTACTCGCGACGAGGAGGGCCACCAGCCCACCGTGCGGGATTATCATTCTATAAATTTACCGCCGCAGGTGAGAGTGCCCAAGAAAATCGCTACGCCAATCAAGGTCGAAGGCAAGGTTTGGTTTGCCAATGAGAGGAGTGCGTTTCGGGTGTCTTATTCCCACTTTGCGTGACGCTGCTGATTCTGATTATTCGCAGCTTGGGTGTCATACCTGAATATTTCCGTTCTTATCGGATCCCTGGCAGTGGCCTTATTCAATGCATCCAAGGACAAAATAGCGCGCGACTTCGCCTACGTATACGCTGGGATCAGTATAGGTGTCCTGGTGGGCCGCATTTTTTGCTTCTTGCCAGCCATCTGTCTGACTGCGACGGTGTAGATATACGGTTATGCCATCTATCAGCACAGGATTACCATGATTCGCAGACGGGATCCTGGATCTTTTGGTACGTGCGTCGATATCTTGTAACAGGTGTGGACGGTTGACTTTCCTTTGCGACAGACCAAGTTATTGGTCCTGTCTTAATTAGTCTTTGTTTGTTCGTTGCAGTTCTCGCTAACTTCCTCATTCGACGTGAGTCATCCCATCGTTCTCTGAAACTTCAATTGAACATATTCATCTCACCGGTCGTGATAGTTCACGAATTGTAAGCTGTCTCTTTTCATACACTGAACCCCCGCTTACCAGTTGCTTAGGCGAAGGAAGAACATCCCTATACCCGGCTCATCGCTATTCACATTCTGAAGTCATGTAAGTGCAAGGTGCTGCACGTTAATCATGGACAATGTCGCCACCTACATAGCCTACAACTATCATGTACAAAACTTTGTATTTATTTAGATGTGTTATAGCTTACAATGTCTTTCGTTGGTTCCCCTTAACGATAATCCCAGCAGGCCTTACATAGTTTCTATACTCCGTATGATTTGCATCCGATCTGCCCTGGTTTGGTAGCCTCGTTCGCGTTGTCTAGACCTCCCATATGAGGTCACATACAAGCACGCACCGATCTCGATCTGGGACGGTGCAGTGACGGTGCATTCTCTCTCTTCCCCGGGCCTCAATGTCACAGTTCTCAACCGATGCAGCTGTTTCTCCATTTTCTCTGTTACTGCTAGAAGTCCGAGCAGCACGATCAGTGCTAGCCTCGATGACAAATTACAAAACGAACCTCTCGTAGATGTTTCGCGGGGGTTATTTTCAGGAAACAGGCTCGCGAAACCGCAGAGACCCAAGCGAGCCTTCGCCCAGCCTGAGTGGTGCTTATAATGTTGTCGACACAATTTATGGTGGCTGTAGCTAAAGGCGCACACTTCCACGCTGTCCATGCAATGTAAGGTACACGAAGATAAGCTCGCTCTAGGCACAGTCTTTGTCGGACACCTACTCACTGGTCACAAACGCCAAGTATACGCTCACAGCTCGAGTTCGGCCGGTGTAGTGTCAATTTGCGACTCGTAAGTAAAACGGATTTGCTCACTCTCCGGTGCCTCACAGATTGTACCGAGCGACCACGAGCTACGCCACTTCCGGGTGATCCGATGAATACCGTGGCTGTATGAGTTTCAGACTCTACTGTACTCTCGTACAGTCCCCTCGTACTGCTCTCCTAGAGCGGTGATTCCTCTCAACAGGTATGGGTATGATGGTGGTGGTGCAACTGCCGATTTAGGTCCTGTTTGACGCATGGCTGTGGCTGCGCTTATAAACGCGATACCCTTTTGAGCTTATCGCTGTTCATGACGCCCTCTCGATCTCATGGATTTTTCAACTCGGAGCGCCCAGCAGCCACCGCGGTGTCCGGATAACGCGCCAAGTCTCGAACAGGATGACTGTATCCACACTGTCAACTGCCGTGATAACGAAACAGTGGAGGCAGAGGCGGTTCTACTTCTCCTTGGCTCATTTTGCGTCGGCTGGGAGCACAGATTGGACGAGGAAATTGAATAGTGAGTGCACCAACTACGCTCAGCTCATAATATATCTCGACGTCGATGTCACATGCCGCGATAGGCTCGTCCGCTTTTCGCACATTTCCTCCCTGATCACTCCTCTAGTGATCAGGTACATGCGGATTGGATCGGTGTCATTGGCGATAGAGCTAGCTCAATGAAGATATCTGATGATGCACCTCACACGACTCAGGTCCAAAATTTTCGTTGACTTCGTATATAGGAGAAGACCGAGAAGGCTACGCGCTTGCGTTCACTCGCTGTGTTACCCGTCCTTGCAGCAGTGTTGGCCACAGCCGTGGCCGATTGTCCGATTAGACTCGCGACAAAATGTCCAACTCGACCGCGTCCAATTCCACCTCGGTTGTCCCCAACCCCGTCTTCCAGAACGCGTACTACATTGGCAACAATATCAACGGCATCTTGTACGGTATGATGACAATTTTCTCATTGTTTCATCGACTGACACGTTGAATCGATGTCCCGCTTTCCCTGTATCAGGAGTAGAGCTCGTCCTATACTTTATCAGCATCCGGCAGCTGGTCGAGTCGTACAAGGCAACGAAGAAACGAGTTGATATCTTCTACATGTGGTTCAGCACTGGGCTGCTGCTACTCGTTACAATCTTCGTAGCCGTCCAAGCAGTCTTCGGCGAGGAGATGTGGATTGTGAACGCAGGCTTTCCAGGCGGTGATGCCGCGTATCTGAAGATGTACGCTTCTGTCTGGTATCAAACGATGGGCACAGCTTCTACCGTCATTCTCAACCTGCTGACCGATGGACTCATGGTAATGTCTCCCAAGTTTAGATCGCACGCGTTGCTAACGTCGGTCAGATTTGGCGTTGTTTCGTCATCTGGAATGATGCCCGCATTGTTGCTTTCCCCTGCCTTTTATATCTTGCTACACTTGGTGAGTACAGCAATTGGTCTATCTCCCTTGGAACGGATCGAATAATCCGAACACCTTGCATAGCTATCGGTACTACACAGCTATATTATTCGGGCTTACCCAGCGGGAACTTCTTCGCGGGCCTCGCAGCAGACCTTGGTCTGGCGTACTACACGTGTTCCATTGGACTCAATGTCCTTGTTACATGTTTCATCTGCGGGCGCATTCTCGCCTTCGCAAGACGCACCAAGAAGACCCTTGGCCGCGAAGCCATGCGCACATATACTAGCACCGTCTCCATCATCATCGAATCTGCGCTGCCGTACAGTCTGTCCGGTATCGCCTTTCTTATAACCTATGGGCTCAATAGCGACATTTCCATCTTGTTCCTCTCCTTCTACATTCTTTTCACGGTACGAAATTTTCGTCTGCATTTTACACGTGCGGTGGTGCTGACGACGTCGCCACACCCTAGTGTCTCTCCTCTCAACTTATCATTCTTCGGGTCACTTTGGGACGGGCATGGACTAGGGAAAGGGCTTCGCAGTCAGTGAGTACATTATCGTTCACGTTTCGCCCGACACTCTCTGTGTACACTGGCAACACCGACGCCACCGCTATCAACCTGCGCACTATGGCGAAGTCAAACGGCTCGGCAGTGGAAGTGGGGAAGGTGTAGTGCGGGCGTTCTGTGTAGATGTTTGATTAAAACATTGTATCGCTTACGTCTGATCTTGGGTATTGCTGTTACTGCTGCTGTTGTTGTAACATGAAGACGATCAAACAAAATCTCATCCCCCAGGCAGTTCACCTGAGAACCTCCTCTGAGAGTCCAGGCTGATGCACCGAAGTCGTTCTCTTTGTTTGTCCCTGCCAGAAACCTTGCTTCAAGAACGCTGTGACACACCCTGCGAGATGCATCGGTCGTGTAGGCATGCCTGTGATGTTACAGTGTTTTGTAGGGAACGGGGTGCGGGCTAGCTCACCGCAACTGTGTTTCATTATCCGAGTGGAAGCCTACCCAAACGTACCCAGATTATTTAATATTTAAACATTTATTAACCCCAAGTACGATATTTTTGGCACCACGCATCTCAGGGCGGTAACTGACGAGATCAAAGCGGGATGCGCGCAGCTATGATCTGTGAATGGATCGCGTGCCATATATATGAACGCCTGCTGAACCCGCATTGAGATCTCGCCGTGAATTAGCCGATGATCTCATTTTGCACGACGACACTTCGGTTTTATATGGTCCGTCGAGGGCGAATTGAACAGGATCAATCCCGGAAAACTGAGCCATGTGATCGAGTGAAGGGCTGGGGGTTGAAGAAGAGTCTCTTTAGTATCGACAGACACCCAGCGCCACAGCATACGGGTGTTCTGTCTGTGCAATATTTTGCCAACCTCGGCAGACCAGGCAATTAATGGAAGAGGCCGGATTCACTGTAGGACAGGGCGTATACCGAGGGGGTGGTCAGGAAGATGTGAACCAGTAGTGCGACGGGAAGATCTAAGGTGTATTGGCGGCATAGGAGATTTAGAGAGCACGGTGAACCGTTCGAAGTACGACCTGCCAGGTCTCTGACCGACTTGATGGTTGGCCCCAGCTGTAGGCCACATCTGCCATGGGTGAAAGTACGCAAATCACTGAGCAGACTGAGCTACTTGAGCACAACGTGACGCGACCATCACGTGTACGTTCGTGACCGTGCTGGGGAATGCCGCTGAGGGTAAATTCCTCCCGTGTAATACGAAGCACTGAAGCAGTGCCGCCGCAGCGTGCAACTCCGAGTCAAGTGCAACTTGAACAAGACAAGGTCTGACCGTCTTTATCCAGTGGGTTGGCATCTTATCCAGAATCCTGGTTACCTCTGCATAGTTCAAGGTGGACATCCTCTTCATCCGATCCGAATCCGATCCCCGATCTAGCGTACTTTATGTTGTATGGAGCATCTTGAAGACTCCAATGGTGTGTTCAGATTGAGTGTTAACACCCCTGCAGCCTCATGACATGTCTTGTTCTGCCAGACCCAACGGGCAGCCGTAGCTTGGTAGTATCGGCGGGTGATTTTCTACCAGTTGCGGATGAGCAACGCACCTCTGAATACCAGAACGCCAAGCATTCAATACACAGGCTTCCCGTCGAACTTCTGACAGAAATTTTCCTCGATTTGACTTATTCCTATCCACATCATCAGTCTGGCGCTTACGCATCTCTTGGAACTGCTCCCCTTCTCTTATGCAGGATATGTAGCTTGTGGCGCCGAGTCGCACTCAGGACGCCTGCCCTTTGGTGCTGGTTTAGTCTCTCTTATGGCTTATCGGTCTCTCCTTTTGTTGGTCCAAAGTTGATGCGGTGTTGGCTTGAACGCTCGGGCTCGCTTCCTCTCCGCTTCACGTTTGCTTGGTATCAAGATTACATATCTGCAAACCACATATCCCAGGATGTCGTTGTAGAGATGCTTCGTATATTCGCAGATTACATTACCCGCTGGGAAGAGGTCACCATATCGACACATACCCCGTTGTCACTTGCACAGCCTAGTTCTCCTGCACCTCTCCTCCGTGTCTTACGTCTAGAGGGCCCAGAGGTCGGCCGCGTGACGCTGTTGCCTTTCACATCTGCTCCCCAACTTCGCTCTCTGCGCTGGTGTTTGTCGGAGAGGATTTCGGGCCCGCTACAGTCCATTACAGGCGTTCCTTGGGCACAGCTAACGGAGCTGCAGCTGGACAACGCGCTGTCTTTATACCAGTGTTTCAAGCTCTTGAAGATGTGTCCCGCACTAGTTCAGTGCTACCTTCTGGTCAGCCATGCGGACCACAATAATTTCCCCTCAAACTTGAGGATAACACATGCTACTCTGCGCGACTTCGCCATCACAGTATTCACTGATGTCTCTCCGCTTCTCCGATCCCTTGTACTCCCTGCACTGCAGAAATTCGAAGTGGAGAACCACTTCGAATACATGTATGAGGTTCGATTCCTTCCGCCATCCGTTCACAGTGCAATGATGGCCCTCCTGTCGAATTCGGCATGCGTTCTCACAACTTTCCGGATGACGAACTTGACACTCACTTCGGCGGAATTAATCGAGTGTCTCATGGAAACGGGCGCCGAGCTCGAGGAGTTTGGGTTGTCGTATCTACGACAGTGGCCGGTGGTCATGGATGGTATACTTGAGCAACTCACGTACCGAGCCCCACCTGCCGCTCCGTGTCTGTGTCCCAATCTCAAGAGCCTGGATTTGCGCAATTGTGTGTGTTCAACAGATGGTGTGCTCGCCGCGATGATCGAGTCGTGGTGCTGCGGGTCATCTGTCGTAGAGCGACTGCAGAAATGTTCTGTGGTCCTGTCTCGTGCGCAAGATATGGACATGGATGCAATGACGAGATGAAGGGATAATGGGTTGGCAATGGATGTCAGGGTGCAACCTCCTGAGCAGGATGACGATGTAGGCATACCGTCGCTTTGGCTTCATTGCATAACTGACGATGAGTTCCAGGAAGAGGACTGACAAGAACAATTTGGCTCCTCCTGCGCAGAATCTTTTCTTTCAACAAGAAAATGTCTGCAGAGACAAAACGATGACTACCACCCCCGAATAGCAAAATTTTCACCGGCACCAGTTTTCTTTTTCTATGTACTCGTCCCTCTTGTGATTCGTATCCAGCTCGATATCTTTTTGTTGACAACACAATCCTTACTGCCTTTAGTTTGTGTCTGCAGAGATAAAACAATTGCTACCATCCCCGGATACTAGGGTATTTACGTGTCCTATGCTTTCCTTTTCTTTGCACTCGTCCCCCAGGGCCTCTCGCACATATTCACACTACACTCCACATCGTTACTGCGCACGAAATGCAGCCTTGATCATATCCGCAGCCTTCTCCGCAACAGCAATCGTCGGCGACATCTAGCACAATCCGCGCAGCGTCAGCATCAGCATCACAGCCCACGTCCGACGCCGAACTCACCGTGTGGCCCGCAACAATCGTCGGAAACACCGACGCATCCGCGACCCTCAAGTTCGGAATGCCATGCACGCGCAAAAACGGGTCGACGACACCGCCGTCCGCGGCGGGCGCCATGCGTGCGGTGCACGCCGGGTGGTACAGCGTCTCCACGCGCGCGCGCACGAGTTCCTCGAGCGCCGCGTCGTCCAGCGCAAGCAATTTATGATTGAACGCCGGCTCCGCCTCGCCGGTGGGGTCAAGCATGCCCGCGAGTGGCTCCGTATACGCGATGCGCGCGAGCAGGCGTGCGGCACGCGCGAGGAGCGCGACATCGTGCCGCGTGGAGAGATAGCTGCACGTGTACGGGTCAGAGGGTGCGCATGCTCAGGAAGGGGAGATGCGTACTTGGGATCGATAATGGGTGGGTCGAGCGGATCAGCGGAGCTGAGGCGGATGGTGCCCGTGCTCGTTGGCCTGGGCGCCAGATGCACGTCAGTGGAATGCGGACGTAAAATAGTCAGGATGCGGGAGCGCACCGCAAGAGCGTGGCATGCAGCCCAAAGGTGTACCCGTCGAAAGGCTGGCCATATCCGTGCTCTGTATACGCCATCGGCGAGCTGAAGAGTTCGATGTCCGGCGCGTCGGGCGCGGACGATGTGTCCTCGAGCTCCGCATCTGGGATAAACTCGTCCTTGAGGAACAGTGAGCGGTCGGACGAACGTATGAATGCAACAGCCTCGGCAAGCTGCCAGCACGAGATATCGTTATGAGATCGGTCAGCATCACCAATAACCACATGGCGACTCACGTTCGTCGTAAGGGGTCCTCGGCGCGTGAGCTGGTACTGCAGCATCGCACGGAAGAACCCCAGCGTCTTCATGAACCCCTTGGGCGTGTGCGACATTCCAGCCTCCAGTGCCCGCGTCTTGTCCCTGAAGTACAGGTCGATCGTAGGGTGGTCCATCAGGTGCGCACCAACCCCAGGCAGGTCCGCGACGACGGGGATGCCATGCTCCGCAAGGTGTGCGGCGGGCCCAACGCCGGACAGCATGAGAAGCTGGGGCGTATGGATCGCACCCGCGCTGAGGACGACCTCCTTACGTGCCTTCGCCTCGAAGCGCTTGCCCTGCTCGTCGAGGAACTGCACGCTCACCGCACGCGGTGTCTCACTGCTGACGTCGAAGACAATGCGCAACACCCGAGCCTTGGTTACAACCTTGAGGTTTGGCCGAGCGAGAACCTTGCGAGTCAGGTATGCGGTCTCTGTCGTCACACGGCGGCCGTTGGAGTCGATGGTTGTCACTGTGAGTAGTGAGATGCAATGTGAATACAGAGTAGCCGCATATATACTCACTGGTCTGGCCGGCAATCCGTCAACAAGAGATTCGCCATAACCAACGACACCTGCTCACCTTGCTCACGCCCAACGCGTTCTTCGTGTTCAGGTCCGGATTGCGCGGTATGCCGACCCTGTCGCAGGCCTCGATGAAATTCATCGTATGCACCGCAGCATTTCCAAAATACCCAGCTGCAGGTTCGATCAGCTCCATATGCATATACAAGGGAGGAGACTCACTGGCGACAGGACCGCCGGATCCACGCAGCGTCGGGTCAACGAGGGGAAATTTTTCACTGGGGTGGAAATTCTCGAACTTGATGAAGTACCTGTGGGACGATGGAGGTTAACAAATCGAGCTTTGACAAAGACATCGACGCACGGGAGGAATTCGCTGTACGACCAGCCCTCTGCACCCTCCGCGCCTTTCTGGTACCTTACCCATTCGTCATAGTCGGACGGCGCGCAGTGGTGGAAACTGCGAGCTGTGATATTGGGAGCTGTGCGCGTCAGAGGAGCCTGGACTCACATCATCGCATTTAATGAGGAACCTGTGTATTTATGGAATCGTGTTAGCGCGCTAATTTAAACAAGGGCCATATTTATACTCCGTTCATGCACCCCAATGCATAGGATCAGAGAAAGGTAGAAATGACCGTCACAGACAAGCTTCGACGCCAAATCTTATGGCAGTGCAGCCAAGATCAAAATATTTTTACAAGTCCAATCCCTCCTTCAGACACAGGTCGGTGAGAACCCCGGTCCTCCTGCAAACCCCTCTGACATCATCAGAAAGGTTCACGGCAAAAGCATGCCTAAAAACATGGGGTATATGCGCGGTTTGTCAAAACCGATGCACTCACATCCACCCAAAAGCTTGGCTATCATCGAACAATTGTTAGCGTCCAACCGATAACGAGAATAACGCAACGTGCCTCGCGGCCAGTACTTTGCCTTCCCACCAGCGTTTGGTTGCGGGATGGTGTAGAAATTGTATTCGTGCTTGCCATGAAATAGAGAAGCAAAGGCAGATGGTATCTGCGAGAACACCATATGCCGGGAGCTTTAACTACCTCAGTCTCAATGCACGAGGCTCAGCACCGTAGCACAACGCACCTCTCACCGGCCTCGATAAGCAGGACACGTATCGACGGGTCCTCCGACAGCCGTGCCGCGACCACACAGCCCGCGGTGCCTACGGCCCTCTTTTGGTCAGCGTCCCATCTGCGATACATACAAGGACGATACTCACCTCCGCCAACGACAATGACGTCATACTCCTCTGGATCGTACTCCTCGTCTCCGCTCTGGATACGGCGCGCCACACGCGCCGGGTCTCCCGCCAGCGCTCGAGTATACGCCTGCGTATGTGCCCGACGCGCACAGAGATGCCGCAGGACGAGCACGAGTGCACTCACCGCAGCGGCGGGGCCGAGGAGCTTGAGCGGACGCGTCCGAACGCTTGCAAGGAGCATCGCGAGCAGCTCTGCGACCGACCGCACGCGGGCGAGTGAGAGCATCGCGTGCGCCTTGGTGAGACGGAGAGAAGGCTCGATGTTGGGTCAATGGCGACGACAATGTCGCTATGCAGTATCAACGGGGTCAAGTTGGGCGTGGGCAGGGAAACTCGTGCAGTCGGGGGGTCCAAGGCTTCGTGATATAACTGCTTCCATTTCGCAAGCGGCAAGTTCACGATAGGCCTCACTCACTTAGTTGGGAGTGAGGCCTATCTTAATTGGGTATGAGCGAGGCTTATCTTATTCGCGAGGTGCTAAGCTGGTACTGTCGTACACGGCCGCGGGACCACGGGGTGATGGCACATGCACACAACGATGCAGCTGATTTAAGTAGAGTCGAGCAGGCCGGACGAGATAGACATCCTGTCCACCCGGGGGCGGTGTCCATATACATATGCATGATTCGAGCAAGTACGAAAAGTGAAAATAATGTCTCGGGCACTGCACTCATGATCAGAGCAGTGGCACCCACACCACGATCGAGGGACCACCGTCGAGCCGAATTCGATCCATGAGCAGGCGAGCTACTAGTGCAATCTCGCATTAGATCTACATTCGCAAATAGACGCTCTTTACACGACCGAGCGCCATCATAAAAGTGCATGCCACTTGGAGGTCATGATATCAACTTTTGCGACACGAACAGGACGAAAAATGAATCAGAAACAATGTCAGGAAGGTGGAAAAAACAGTACGGCCTGCAACGGCGCAAATACGGCTACTAGTACGAACAAGGCCACTCCTACTTACGAGTCCGCGTCCGGCGCCCGCTCTCCAAACCAAAAATAAGGGAGGGGGAGGGGAAGGGAGCGCATGAGGCTCGCCAAACACAATAATGGTAATGCGAACGGTCCGTGAGAATGCAAATTTGCGAAGGGTGAGCCGGCAATGTGCAAAATGCAGATGCATAAAGGGTAAGAATGTGAAGGATGACGACAAGAAAGTGTTCAAGTCCAACATGCGTTAGATATGGCGGACGAAGGGGAGGAGTGTAGGGATGGTCCACCGAAAGACGGAAGACTGAGGCGCAGGGCGCCAAAGTATCTAGGTTGCGACGACGGGTGTTTATGACACCGTGCAGGTGGGGATGGTGAGCGGCTTGAGGGTTTTACTGCAGCATGTGTGTCAGTAGTCAAGCAAGGCGAGTGGTATTGTAAAGGTCGCGTACTTTGGGTAGAACAGGCCCCAAGAACCCTCAACACCGCCGAACTCAAGGGCCTAGACGAAACGATCAGCACACATCACCAACAACCGATTTTGTGGAGGACGTCAAACGTACTTGCCACGTCTCGTCCATGAACTCGAAGTAAAAGTACCCAGTGCCGTTCTGGTTCGACTCGCACACGAATGTGTCCATGAAGTACTACACCGCGCCGTCAGTATCACTTTACACATAAGGCAGAATCTAGCACACCTGGAGGTTCGCAACGGACGCGTTTGAAGGACCGTTACTCTCGTTTTGGATGTTAGTCGAGTTCTACCGGGATGCGTAGTCAGCAAGGCCTAATCAAGCGCCTATATTGGACAACGGAGACGGGACGTACAGATGGCCAGCCGGTCTCGCCGATATACCATTTGGGGTTGTTCGCATAGCTTGCCGTGATGGCAACGTTCTGCTGTTCGAAGAACTCATATGTCCACCCTGCGGACTGCTCGATGGACACGTTCGCGAACCATGGGTGGATATTCGACATCTGCAACGTCACACGCGCGTAACAGGGCGAAAATGATCAGTCGCCAGCGCGGATAGAGGCCGAGATGGGGACGCACCGCAAAGTCAACGGACTGGAGGACCTGGTCGTTGAAGTATGCCCCAGCGTCAGCGGTGCCAACGGGGATGCTCCCGAAACCATTAGATGCCAGCGTGCTCTTCATGTCCGTGATGTTGGAGATGAGGAGCTTCCCGCCCGCGTCGCCAACCGCGTCGTTCGGGCTCGTACCACCATTCGCACCGAGGTAGCTGTTAAGCGCAAAGAAAAATCATTCCGGTTATTAAACGGGGGCGACGAGGGGAAAAATTGGGGGCGTACTCGAGAATGAACTCGTTGCCGACGAGAACACCGAGGATGTTGTCTGTGCCGTATGTCTTGAGCGCCTCGATGATGTAGTCACGCTGCTGCTCGTACGGCGTCGAGTTTGTCGGAACGTTGTAGTCTGCGACATAGACGCTCATGTTCGTTTTCGTCTGGCGGATCGCCTCCAGCTGTATACTACGTCAGCTAGTCACAGGGATTAATTCATCAGGCGACCTACGACAAGAGCGGTTTGGTTGCAGTCTGCACCGTATAGATGAATACGCTGAGGCAGAGTCAGAGTGGGTAAAGATATAAATTGGGTGAACCGAAGCGTACCGAGGTAAGCTGGGACATCAACTACATTCGCAAAGCACATCAATATGATTCACCAAACGACAGCGAAAATCACCAACCTGGATATCTTCAATAACATCCGCTGTAGTCACACCAAGAGTTAGGCGCCCCCCACGCACACGTTCTGATCATCACGCACCGAGCGAGTTCCCGCAGTCGGGGAGCTGCGAACCCGTAGGGGTATACGAAAGACCATAAAAGACATGGCGCAGGTTCGAGTCAGGAACGAACGTGCTGGGGTCGTTCGGGTTCGTCTGGTTGACGACACCGCCCGACGCGGAGTTACTCGAGGAGTGCTTGCTGCTATTGCTCTTAGAGACGCCGACACCAACACCCACGCCGACACCGATGAGGATGAGGAGCGTGACGAGGGAACCGATGACCTACGGGTGGTACGTCCGCAATGAATCCAGAACTCGCGAATCAAATGGTGGTGCAACGTACGATGTACTTGGAGCGGCGACTGCTGGCCTGCTGCTTCTCCAACCATTGGCTGCTGCTGTAGGCAGCGTTGCTATAAGGGGAGTCGAGGTTGCTGTACGTGCCGTTGTTGTTCATGGCGGATGCGGAAGGGTTATTCAATGGCAGGACGGGGTCGGGGGTTATGATTTGGTGCACAGCGCTGCTGCTGTGGTTGAAGGAAGCGTAAGGATCGTCTGCGCCGGATAGGCGGTGGGGAGGCTGCACAGCAGGAGGACCGTTGGACGAGAGTAGGTTGTGCGTGTGTCGGGAACGAGAAGAAGAAAGAGTTGCGATGTCAACCAGGGTATTTGAAGTATAAGGGGAGAGACGGACGCACGGGAAGATTGCTGTCGGTTAGGTGGTAATAGTCGTCCTGATTCTGCAGATCTCCGTCCCAATTCCCGCCCGGGCTTTCGTCGCGGTACCGTCCTGCCATCGTCTCAAATTCTCTCCGACTTTTCTCTCAACAAACTACGGTCCTGCGACGACGGGTGGGGCAAGAATGAATCCTCGCCGTTCGTCGTTTCAGCGCCTGCAAGCTATACAAACGCTCCTGTTTCCCATCATCTGATCCTCCACTTGTCTCAGCCACAGCCAGCTTGGCCCCAGCCAGGCTCGGCTGCGGCGCCCAGTGCTGCGTGCCGTGGCCGTGCCTCATGCCGGTATTTTTACATCCCTATATTTAGATCTTCTCGCCAACAATATTCTTGCTGCCAAAATTCAGGCACTGTGTCCGAGTTCGCAATGAGTTTTCTATAGCACTGATTTCTTCTCGACATAAAGCATATGCATGGTTATATACTGCTCCATTACTTGACCACAGGACCAACAAAACAGTCTCTGAACACCATGCCAGACCCTGACATGTAGGCAGGGTGTGCAGTCAGGTCAAAGGTGTAACGGCCGCACCAACAGAAGTCACGAAAATGAGCAGAGATGAGCCGTTATGCTCGGAGATGCTTCAGGAGGTCAGACGGAGGAATCACGAACAATGGGAGCGGACGCTCATGCGTTGATTTGATGAGGTACAAAATGAGGGCAGGTGCGAGCTATATCCTATGCTGACTAAGAGTCTCCGTGCGTGATCATAGGTAGGATTCTGTGTACATATGAAGTAGTGAGCATACCAAATAAAGAAACTAAGAACAGACTGTGCATCATCAAGAAATGGCCATATTCAGACATGTAACAGCATTGCTGTTACATCACCTCCTTCCTAAGGGCAAGCAGCATGTGAGACTCAGTGATCATGATGCTGCATGGGTCGGGAAATGCGGCAGGAGCACATCGTTATTTGCGACGGGGGCTCGTAGACCTGGCACAGGTTCTGACGCACTGGCGGGGGCAATGAAGGTCGCAGAGCAGTGGCAGGTACGGCAGGAGCACGAGGGATGAGCATGAGAGGAGTGCAGGCAGCGAGTTCATCAGCAAGACGAGGTGCATGAGCAGCAGCAGTGGGCACAGAGGCATGTTTATCAGCATGTTCATCGGCTGGGGATAAAGAGAGCATGGGAGGTTCCTGTAGAGAAGTAGAAATACCTGTAAATGAAGGAACAGGCATGACACGATCAATGATAAAATGGTGTGGGCGAGGACAATGCAGGGGGCAGTGATGGAAATGCTCAAAAAGCTCATTCTGGATGGTGGGAATGTCAGAGAGTGAAGTCCATGAGTCTTCATCGTGTGATAAATTCTTCCAGTGTACGAGATACTCGTACCATTGGCCGAGTTTGTGGCAATTGAGGATGGCTTAAATAGTGTTGGTGGCATTGTTGAGATCAAAGGGCTCGGGAGAGGCGTGGAGATGGAATTCAGAGGGGTCAGAATAAGGTTTGAGAAGTGACGTGTGAAAGATGGGGTGAAGATAGGATAGATAAGATGGGAGTTTGAGCAAATAGGAGTCAGAATCAGAAATGGCGAAGATGATAGGGTACGGACTGAGCTTGCAATGGTCAAGCTTGTCATTCGGTCATGTCATCTTAATGTTGCATCGAAGGAGCCAAATGAGTTGGCTGGGAGAAAACTTTGGTGTGGGCTAAGTGCGAGTATTGAAATATCGAGCTTGTTATTCCTGCACCTCCTTCAGCTCTGCATGTAGTTTGTCATGAAGGTGTTCCAGGCATGAAGCGAGATCCGTGGCAGCAGGGACAGTGGAATGCTTAGAGAGGTGAGGCTCGAATGTCGGGTGATAGGTAAAGTCAGCGAAGAATGGAGTCTAATTGGTGGAGGAGTTGACGTAATTGTTGAAAGCGAACTCAGCGAGTGGTAGATAGTTGACCTAATCATCCTACTGGTACGAGGAGTATATATGCAGGTACATCTTGAGTGTCTGGTTCGTGTGCTCAGTAAGTCTATCAGTACAGGGATGATAAGCTGTGGAGATATTAATAGAAACATGAAGGAGGGTAGTTAGCTCTTTCCAGAACTTAGAGACAAAGATAGATCATCAATCGGAGATGATCAAGTCAGGGAGGCTGTGATAGTGGAAAATCCTGTTGAGGAATAACTAGGCTAGTCCGGGAGCATCAATCATCTCATTGCATGGCATAAAGTGCACCACATGTGTAAGGTGATCACAAATGATCCAAATAGAGTTGTAACCATGTGAGACTGGGAGCTTGATGATGAAGTCCATGGTGATAAACCTCCATGGATGTTCAGGGATGGTGAGAAGTTGCAAAAGGCTGTATGGCTTGTGATGAGGAGTCTTGATGTAGCTACAAATGTTGCACACTTCGACGTAGTGGCATATATAAGTCTGCATTTCATGCCAGGAATAGTCACAAAAAATGAGTGCCAATATCCTCGCTTGCCCTGGATGCCTCGAGATGAGTGAGTCATGATGAGTATTGAGGATTTCTGGATGCAAGGAAGACAGAACAAATAATAAACCCTTATAGAACACCAGATTGCCCTGAAGCTCAAAGTCTTGGTCTCTTCGAGCAATTACCTCTGGCCATTCAGAATCATCATAGATCACAGTTTTGAATTGCTCCAGGAGCTCTGAATTGTCAATGGTGAGAGTCAATAGGGCTGAGATCGAATGGAAAACACCAGGAGGGGCAAACAACGAAGCAGATGGATGAGAAATTGGAAAAAGTTGCTCAGTATGGACCAGAGTCAGCAGAGTTTTTTGCTGCAGGTGAAGGACATCATTTCCCTCTTGAGGTGTGTAGTCAGAACACCTCGAGGGAGCATCTGCAGGGTTTTTCAAGTCAGGAGCATAGTCAAGATGAAAATTAAATTCAGAAAGAAACATAGACCAGCGCACTTGACACTGATTAAGGATGTGCAAGGTCATGAAATATTTCAGATTTTTGTGATCAGAAACAATCGCAATTGGCACAGGAGTGCCGATTAGCCAGGCTCGCATGTTGCGAAAGGAATCTACTATTGCAAGGAGCTCCTTGTCATATATTTCATAATTAATCTTGGAAGGAGACAGCTTATGAGAGTAGTATGTGATAGGGTGTAAGAAACCTTGCAGCTCAGGCTAGTGAAGTATACCAGAAATTGCAAAGTTAGAAGTATCAGTAAACAAAGTAGAAAGGAGAGCTGGATTAAAATGGTGAAGCAAAGGGGAAGAGGTAAACATGTGTTTTAATTGTTCAAAGGCAGCAATAGCATCAGGACCAAAAGTAAAATGATCCAGACAGTTTTTTCAGGTAAGAAAATTCAAAGGAAAAACAATATGCATGTACTCATCAATAAAATGATGATAAAAATTAATAAAATCAAGGAAAGATTGCATGTCTTTGATAGAGCATGGGTAAGGCCAATTGGTGATTGTCTCGAGCTTTTGTGAGTGCATTTTGATATTATCCACACCAAGGATGTACCTGAGGAATTTGACTCCTGACTTGTCAAACTTGCACTTTTTTGCATTTGCATAGAGGCCGGCATTGTGCAGACATTCGAGTATAAGCTGAACATGTCGATCTTGTTCCTTCTGAGTGTGAGAAAAGATGAGAATATCATCAATGTAAACCACACAGATGAAATCAAGCAGGTCATAAAGTATGTCCTGGATGAATGTCTGAAAAGTGAATAGAGCATTGGTAAGCCTGAAGAGCATCACCATATACTCGAATAAACCTAGATAAGTCCAAAAAGTGGTCTTCCACTTATCGCCGGCCTTGATTCGCACATGATTAAAGGTGTTCTTGAAATCAAGGACAGAAAACACCTTGCAACCCTGCATGCAGTTGAGAAGATCGTCGATGAGGGGAAGTGGATAGTGATTCTTTTTTGTTATCAAGTTGAGACTGCGATAATTAATGCAAAGTCTCAAATTGCCTGTCTTCTTCTTGATGAAAAGAATGGGAGCAGCGGCTGAAGATGTGGATAAACTCTTTTTTGAGGTTAGTCTCAATATAATCAAATAAAACAGTGCATTCTTTCTGAGAAAGATGATAAAGTGGACCAAAGGGTGGAGTCTTTCCCTCATTAATGTTAATTGTACAATCACATAGTCAATGGGGGAGGAAGATCCTTGAGATCCTTCATGGTGAAGACAAAAGCTCAGTCATGATATTTTTCAGATATGTAACCAAGCAGGTTATTATTAGGAGAATCTGAAGAAGAAGCCAGTTGTGAAGCACAAGACGGGTCAGAATTGAGAGAAGCAGCAGCAATATTATACTCTTCAGAACTGATAGGGTGATACCAAATAGCAGCTGTCTCGCCATTTCTAGCATATTTCTGAAAATGGTGAGCATTAACAAATGCGATATTCAGAGAGGAACGCGGAGGGTCAGGAGTTGCGATGGGTGAGCAAAGTTTGCTTCAGATAGCAGAAAGTGTTCCAGTTTGACCAGAGCTAATGCTAAAACCATGATAAGGAGACAGAGGCGATGTAACTGAGATAGCGAAATAGAAAATACCTCGAGCAGTCATTAAACATTGTGCTCAATCTGAGCAACCAATGGAGTCTGAGTATGAAGGTACAAGAGTATGTTCATTTAGACCAAGACCTAAACTGAGCATGGTTGGGGACAAAGACTGGACTGAACTAGATAATAGAGAAATATGTGCAAGACCGAAGCCTTTTCCGAGTGCTGAAATGGGGTTAAAAGGATTCACACCACAGTATGAGAGCACCAAGCAGTTGCGAGTCTAATCAATTGCAGGATTATGGTGACAAAGCACTAATAGGCAACCTCAATGTATATAATATCCTCACGAAGTGACAGCTAAATTGTGCACACAGTGGTCAGTATTATATTGTACACAAAGTAACCAGATTGTGTACATTATTGTACACATTAATAACCAGATTGTACATTGTAAATGATATTGTAATTGTAAATAAAGAAGGGCAGATTGTATATAATTACAATTGTACAAAATAATCTGCACCCAGTAAGAATTAAACCTTGACCTCTTGGCACATGCTTATATAAGCACATATGACACACACATATCCAACTGAGCTAT